TATATTAAACTGGAATGATAATGCTGTAAACTTGAAAGGTTCCCTCATTGTACACTCTCAAGTGTCTGTTGTTCCTCACTTAATGGTTGATAAAGCTCTCTTCAATACGTCTTCTGAACAAGTTGTATATTAATGCTCCAAAGATATTTTGACTGTTTAAAATCGAAACGAGTTTGAGATTGCTGCTGTTATAAAACGATTTTCCTCATTGTCCACTGTCAAGTGTCTGTTCCTCACTTAATAGCTGATTTTACTCTCTTCAATATATCAACAAGCTGTATATTAACGCTCCAAAGATTCGTTGACTGTTTAAAATATAAAAAGAGTTGTTTAATACTGCTGACTGTTTTTTTTCCTATGTAATAGCTTTGTGCATTTTTATAAAAATGGGCTATATCAACACACCTGTCAGGCAGGTCATTTCTAAAGTTACAGAAACCACAGACATCTGACTCAAATTTTGAATGACGCAGATAGAAGCCTTAAATGCCCCTGATACACATAAAAAGTTCAGAAAACCTCTTTACAATCTCTTTCAGCTTCATGAAGACAAAAATCAACAACAAATCAACTGAAGATTCTTAATCTAAATTTGATTCTTATCTTTCATGATCTGATCAGTGGGTAAAAATTCTGCTAGATTAATGGGAGCTCTGAGGCTCGTTCCATTTCTAATAGATTACTATCTGTCAGACTGGAAATTAATCGTGGATGTGCATGATGTTGCTAAAAACATAACAACCAGGGCCATGTGGCGTGTGCATCCCAGAATGTGCATTATCCTTTAGATACATCTGGCATGACCGATAAGAGAGTCCTGGGCCAAACCTCTTGGCATTGATCTTCCCAGATTATTTGTGTGCATGTCAGGATGTGTTTTGATACATCTGCCATTGCCTGAGTGGGTTACATTTTTGATGGTCTTGGTCCTGGTTAAACTTCTTGGTATTGATCTTTTCCGAAATACAGTACTCTTGTACAGCTGGGTCAACTGGTATAATGAAGAAAGATGACTTACTCAATGATTAGCCATATGACCATGACCACCATATGTTGAACCTAACAAGCAGATATTGCCAATATTATGACAAACTAGATGACTTAAGAAATATACAGCTTTATAAATTGACATTGACATTGTCATGGCTACAACCACCAGACCATATTCGTCACCTGTTCAATGAACAAGGGTTTTATAAATATTGGTGTATTTACCGACCTCGTCTGGCATTGTCTCAAGGTGACAGACTGATTAAAATTTGACATTGAATGGACATTAATAAATTGACATTAATAAATTTGACATTAATATAATAAAAAAAAAATTAAGTTGAAATTGTTGACATAGTTCTATGTCAATATTATGTGTCGGGTAAAATTATTTATAAAACAAATTCCATCTTCTATTCATTATTGATATATCAAAATCATTATTTAAAGGGTGCCTTTCTCATATTTTTATTTCGGATTTTCAAAATCCAAACGATGTTTTGTACATAGAATAAAAAATTCAATGAAACAAAGAAATGTCTAATGATGTCAAGGCATTAGACAGAGTTTATAACAGCTTGAAACTGTAAAGATATAATTAGTGGGAGTGATACCTTTAATTTGAATGATTATGAAGTCTTTCTATCAAGGGCTGTGATTGACTAGCATCAACCAAATCAAATCGTTGAATTTACAAACTTTCGTGATACAATAAAAGTGCCTAATGCAGTCAAGGTATAAAAAAGAGTAATACAGCTTAACATTGTGAAGATTTAATCAGTGGGACTGATGCCTTTTAATATTTGAATAATAATACCTGAGTGTTGATTGGTTAAAATAATAATAGCCAAGTGTTGATTGGTTTAGACAACATGTGTGTTATTGATTGAAAGGTTATGTTATTTTAACATGATATCAGTGTTATGTAAACACTAGTATGATAGTTTTATTAACGATCAACGTTTAATTACTGATTTATAAAATATGTGGAAAGTTTAACAAGGATATTTTATTATGTAAATTAAACAACAGGTGACATATGACAGAGTTTTTTTAATGATAAAATACTGTATTTGAATTTATCCAGAGTTGATTTATTGCCTTCAACAGTTAATGATTAAGATACAACATCCATCATTATGACATGTTTTGAAACAGCTCAAGTTTGAAACCCCCTTTTGGTTAAGGTTTTATTGAGAAACTCTAACAGGCTAATAAGTCAGGAACTTAAAGGTGAAACAAATCAGTTGAACTGTTATTGATGAATAGAAAGTGACTGAGCTTCTTTAAATCATCAGTGAACAAAATGTGGCTAAGTTCCTCAATAAACTGAACTGACTATCCTCATCAGTATAATATAAAAAATCAAAATGGCTGAGCATCTTTAAGTTGTCAGTGAACAAAACATGGTTGAGTTCCTTTAAATCTTCAATAAACTGAACTGAGTATCTTCATCGGTCTAATATAAAAAATCAATATGGCTGAGCATCTTTAAGTTATAAGTGAACAAAACATGGTTGAGTTCCTTTAAATCTTCAATAAACTGAACTGAGCATCTTCATTGGTTTAATATAAAAAATCAAAATGGCTGAGCATCTTTATGTTATCAGTTAACTAAACATGGCAGAGCCTGTTTAAATCCTGAATGTACAGAAAACAATTTGACTTATATAGAGATCAGTGAACTGAACTCAACAGAGTCTCTTTAAATCCTGAAAGTATTAGTGTGTATCAAAGTAGAAATGTAGTCAGAATAGTCAATAATAATAATGGCCGACAACGTTAGAATCTGACTCAATTACTCCCGATTCCTCGCTCCACAATTTATTTCCGTCCATGTTTATTTTAGTTAATACTATAGTTAGATTAGTTTGATGAAAATTAACGAAATCTTCACATTCATCTTCAAACGACTCAACCATAATTCATTTAGTTCCCGCCTCTTATTCTACTACCTTATTTACCTTCTTTCCACTACTCTCTAATTTAATTACCTCCCTTTCTGTGCGTCTGTTACTGAAACATACAATTATATTTATAACTTAATAAATAGTCTTAGTTTGCTGCGAGACTTTGATTTACTGCGGCACTGTTTCCCTAACATACTTATGATTGGATAAAATTAACTAAGCTTGCTTGACTGAGATTATTTGAAGTATTGTTAATAGCTATTTTGGTAAATTCCACTTCAACATTTTCCTGAAATATTTTTTGGACAAAAAAAACATTTGCTTGCTGCGATTAGAGTTTTCGAAGTATTCCTACTTCAATTGGAGTAGTTGAAAATCTACTTAAGAACTGTAACTCTTGCATATCATTGTGATTCGATAAGCCTTCCTTGCCATATACCAAATTAACAATATTAGGTATGCGACCTCTCTGAAAGTGATGCTGAGTTCAGTTCTGCTCTCCACTGGATTCATGGCTTAGATTAATTCAAGAACCATAACTCTACACACCTATAACTGATTAAATGCCTTTGTTGGCATGGCAGCATAGACCAAGCTCTGCTTAGTTCCTTTTTTATGTTGGCTTAAGACTAAGATCTATTGAGGAACATTAACTCTATCATACAAATACACTATCTAAGCTCTATTCAAGTAACGTTAGTCTTAATTTCGATGGTGCTCTGGCTTAGATACACTAAACTAAAGGACCGTAACTCTAATATATAATCATATTATTTTTACTCAGCAGCCAAAATCAATTCAAGTACCATTAATCACCTCTTTAGTCAATTTCACGTTTTGAGAAATGACCGTAAGATGACCTCCTTCAACATTATTTCAATAACTGTATTGATATTTGATGTAAATTTCTGCCATGTATTGATTGAACTGTAAGAAGCTTAAAAAAAGTAAAAATTAATTCTATTGAACCATCCATTGTTGTCGATTGAAAGTGGGAATGTAGGCAATCAGGGGGAGGGTATTATAAGAGCCAGCTTGTTCCCAAACATATAATGAAAGAAAGAAACATCTTACTTTGTAAGGTTCACAAGAATCCTTTCTACCAGCTGGTTCATGGTCAAACCTCTTGACATTGATTTTACAAGGATAACAACTTAAGTTCACAAGGATCCTTTCTACCAGCTGATCTACAACAATGGTGTTTATGGAGGACTATTTCTGCACTTTATTCATTGAAGAGTATATACCTGCTTGCGCTTCCATTTTAATTTTGAAGAGTCAAGCATTAAATCTTAACAATATAAATGCTCTGTTATAGTATCCATGGGATAAAATTCATTTGTAAGGTGATTGTTCTTAGCTGTTGTCGATATCCAATTACCTCTTAGATGAAAGAAGAAGGGAGGGTCTTTAAAATATCCTAATTTTCATTCTGTGCCTTCCACCATGATAGTCTATTAGAAGTTCCTGATATTAGCTAGATTATTGTGTCATATTTAATCAAGAGATAGCTTATTAGTTGCCACAGCTGTTGATTTTAGTTTCCTAGTTTTTTCCTACGATATTACGTTTTTTTTAACCCTTTCAAGAATGAAAATATATAACAGAAGCATTCACTCACTCAACTCTGTTTAATACAGTTTGATTTGAGAACAGTCTGTAGCTCAGTTGGTTAGATAGTTGGAATATTTAATTGACATCATCAAACAAAAATGGTGGACATGGGTTCTTATCTTGAATGTCTTGGGACTTTGGATGAGTCATCTTTTCTCATCATTCAAGTCAATCCAGCTTTAAATGGATGTGGATAATCCAAGCTTTAAATGGATGTGGATTATCCAAGCTTTAAATGGATGTGGATAATCCAAGCTTTAAATGGATGTGGATAATCCAAGCTTTAAATGGATGTGGATTATCCAAGCTTTAAATGGATGTGGATAATCCAAGCTTTAAATGGATGTGGATAATCCAAGCTTTAAATGGATGTGGATAATCTAAGCTTTAAGTGGATGTGGATAATCTGGGAAAGATTAATAGGTTTGGTAATGTGTCAATAGATTGATTTATTTCCATATTTATTTCGATTTTTGTTTGTTTCAGCTGTACAAGATGTACCCTGAGTGACTTCCCTTGTACATGGTGTGTACAGAGTCACATCTGTACCTACGAACCTGACCAAGAATGTCAAGGTCAAAAACTGGTCACAGGATCTCAGGTAAGAACAATAACTCTATATTTTGATAACCTTGACCTTTGGTTTGTTAGTTCTGAACAGGTTTAATCTCTTCCAATTCTTGCGTCAATCAAATGGTACATGGTACGGAACCGGATATGTTAACATTGAAAATTTTAACCATCTTTTCCTTTCTGTGCCATTCCATGAATCTTAAACATTCAGAAGTCATCATTTAACTCGAAGCCATTATGTAGGTAGATAGATTACGTTAACTTGTCATCTACCAACCGACTTACTTACTTACTTAATGGCTTAATTGAGAAGTTCTACATGTTATGGCATTAAGTCTGCCTGTTTCTGATTTGTACCCCCGTTTTTCCAGGAAGCTGGCGCCGGTTAGATATGAGATGAATCCTTTTAAGATTAAACGCTATTCCAATCATTCCACTGTTTTAATTCCTTATTATTTATTCTCTTTCGAAATTCTCTGTGACTTTAAACTCGTGAAGGATTTCAAACATTTTGTAGTTTGAATAATTAACGATGTTAATTCTGTTAAAATAGACGCCTGATTAGCGGTACGGGGAAACGTGACGATGATACTTAACCCATAAAACATGTCAATTAATAGACTGGAAATTGAAATGGAGTTTTACACCCCATTGTTTTTTACCTTATTGAGTTTGAAAGGACTAAAAGTTATTAATTCCCTTTCATGTCTGCTCTTTCAAAAGAAAATATTGTTTATATGTTCAATAGTGTGGAATAAGGGAGACAACTACATTTAATGTTACATTTTCAGACTACAATTAATTCTTCATTGAAATTTAAGCTTACAAGTTGATTATATCGAGTTGAATCTTTTAGTTACTAGTCCAAATAAGAACTCTTACACAACATCATCTTAGATCTTTGGGGTGGTCAATATTTTGGATATTATTTTGGGGGTTTTGAAAAAAAACAACTTAACTCGCAGGTTTTGTTGTTTTCCTGCACATTCGCTCTAAATGTTGATGATTTTTATTACAGAGACCAGGAAAGACACTAGCCCCCGGACCAAAGTCCTGTCCTCGGATAGAAATAGTCAACTCGTTGGAGAAGATTCTGGTAGCCTCCAACACAAAGACGGATATTTCTGTTAAAGCTGTTAATCTTTACGTAAGTCACAAGTTTTACTTTTTTAAATGATTTATGTCTCTGTCACACTCAGCCCTGTCTTCAGGAATGAATTGGTGCTGGGGCTCGAATTCTGTACTCAGAAAATTTGAAGAATTAAAGGCCAAGAGAACTCATTTCTGACAATTTTGATGTGCCCAGCCCACCCTAAGGACGGAGCACAGCCACAAAATCTATACCACCATGTAAAAGGTTTTTTTATTACAGGATTTCCAAACGTTGAATGGAATCAAGTGTTTTTTCAACATTAAAGATGGCTACACAGTTTCAGCCCAGGTGGTCCAGCACGCTGACAGTACAGATATCACTTGTGGAGAGGTCTTGGTGAGTTTTCAGTCAATAACAGTTCTTTTCCTCCTGTCAGTGATGCAGGTGGGGGGGACTGACATGGAAAAAGCGTCTATTTGTTTGGAAGGGACATTATCTAAACCCAGGACAAGTGTGATTTGGGTTGTGCAAGTTAAAGATTCCTAAACGAGTAAGGTCCTGGAAAAATTTCCTCATATGCATTGGCATTGCCCCTTCTCACACCTTTTCAAGGTGCTGAAAAGTAGGATGTAAAACTCCAATTAATTCTGAATGTATTGTTTTATTACAGTTTGATTATATACCTGATATCAAGTCTCAAAATGTTCCTTTTGAAATATTATGGGATACAGATAAACCACTGGATAATCCTTCTAACATACAAGGTAGATAACTCACTTTGACTTTGACTACCTTCACACAGATGCAGAGAAAGCAAAAATTGAAGTTCCGTTTACGTGAGCCTATTATAAAAATTTTAACACGTCTGTTTACGGTAATGATAATAAACCGAGGCTTCATGTGCTACAGGCTGTACACGTTAAAGATCCCTCGACAGTTGGAAATCGAAAAAGAGCAGGCTAATGCCGCTGTCCTGGAAAAATATCCCTCATTGCACCATGCATGGTGTTGCCCGTCTTCATTAACCAACATGGTGCAGAAAAGTAGGACGTAAAACTCCATTCATTTCATTTTGTTTACAGTAATGATGTATAAATGTGAGATTATGGCCAAGTCGTGTGGTGAATGTCTAGCTCTAGATGAACAGTATCTATGTGGCTGGTGTGATAACAGATGTAGCACGCAGAAATGGTGTAACGACAAAAATAATCGCTGGCTTCCCGCTAAAACTTCCATTTGTCCGAATCCTAAAATTATCAAGGTATGAAACGAGTTATTTTGTTGACTGTTAGTTATTAATTTACATGAAAGTATAAAGATTTAAATTCTTTAATGGGGGACACAAATCTGTCCCATTTCAAGGTCCAAATCCTAATCCTGCATGTGTGGAAGAGTTCATTAAAGATAGAAGGGGTGACAGGTAGATGATTTTCCAACTTTTTCCAGCCATATGTGATATGATCATGAATTTACTCTTGCTTTACCCATTATGTTTCCTACTTTAGATATCACCTGAATCTGGTCCTCTATCTGGAGGTACACATCTCACAATCACCGGTCAAGACATGGGACAAAATAAAAAAGACATCACGGTGGAAATCGGTAACCAGATCTGTAAAATCATTGACTTTAAGGCTCCTAAAGAGTAAGTTAGACTGTTGGATACATAAAATTTATATCTATATGAAAAATTTCCCTCATTGCACACTGCTTGGTGTTAGGGTGTATTGAGACGAGTCTCAATGAAAGCATTGGCCTAGGTGAGAGCAATAGATAAGTCTATTGATTATGTGAAAATTACTTAGTCATTAGTATGATTTTAGTAGAAAAGACACACACACAAACATACACTGCATGTTATATAATATACTGTATATAGCCATGGCACCAGTCCTGAACCCATCTTCACTTGCCCAAAAAGGTGCAAAAGATCAGGATATAAAACACCATTCATTTCATTTTATAGTGAAATTGTAGGACTCACAAAATATATACAGACATTTGGTTATTGTAAAATGTGGTTTGAATGCAGAAACCCTCTGTACAATCTCTTTAGTGAAAAAACAAAACAAAAAATATGTCATATCAAGTGCAATTTATGTGGAAAGCTTTTTGAATTTCAAACTGCACTTCAAATTTGTATTTTATAAGAATCTTGAAGAATCAGTACGTTCCTGCTATTTTCAGGTTGGTGTGTGAGACTCCTAGTTTTAACAGTGAAACCAGAGTCCAAGTTTATATCAACGTTAGAAATCAGTATAAAACTAGTGGACTTCATTTCTTTAAATATGTGGTAAGTACTGTATCAATACATTAAACAGACAAGTGCGCCATTTATTGGTGATTGATTTGAGTCTTGAATATATGTAAATAGTGTTCAGAAGTACTAGAAATGTATGAAATTCCTTGAAAAATATCTCTAAACTAGAAATTTCGTTTCTTTTTTTCTTTAAATGTCTTTTTATGTATCGCAGAGTCTCAAGAAAAGACGAGTCGTCATTTTAACATTCAAATGCAGATAATTCTGGCCATTCATGAACATGACAGTGAGCTTAGAACACTATTACTGCTTAGCTTAGCTTTAAATGCTTTATTATTTGGATTTTTTCAGGATCCATTAATATCCAACATCTACCCGAGTAAAGGTCCACTGTCTGGTGGTACCCGGGTAACGTTGAGTGGTGATAATATGGACGCTGGATCTAAAGCCATTATAACTATTGGTACTTTACAATGTATTGATATTGAAAGGTATGTAGTGCTCCGTCTTTTAGAACTTTTAGACGGACTGTTTAATGAATCAATTGTCACCCCCTTATCTCCTATCAATAAATAGGTGAAATTCACTCTATTCAAATAGCTTCGAATCTGACAGGTAACTTTAACCAAAAAAAATACCTCTTTTATACGAGAAAAATAATACTCCACTGCATGAATGTATAAAATAATTTCATTTTTCCTTCTTTCATTTTAATTTCAGAAAAAGTGATAAAGAGCTGGCCTGTACGACGACAGAGGCTACAAATGAAATGGTAGAACAATTATCCAGGGTCAGTGTGACTATAGACAACCAGTTGGTGGAAACTACCACGGATATCGATTATAAATATGTCGCTGACCCGACCATTAACGCGATAGACCCTAAAAAATCTGTCAGAGAGTAAGTATTGAAAATTCAATGCCCTTCCAAACCGTTTTTTAAAACGGTTCAGGAGGATCCTGTCTACCAGCTGATCCTTGACCAAACCTCTTAGCGTTGATCTTGTCCTGATTAACTGTACTCATGTGTAGCATACTGTACAGATTAATGAGGAAAGATGACATATTCAAGGTCACTAAATTTTCACATGCTTACAGAGTTAAGAGCCCACAACCATCACGGAAAATGACATCATAAGGATTTTGAATTGGAATTGAATATATACTGCGAGGAACCTTCGGAAGGGTTAAAAGTAAAAGATCATGGATTTCATATAATTATCCTTTTTTATCTTCAGAGGTGGATTGACCATCACGATTTACGGGGAAAACTTTGACAGTGTTTTAAAACCAACCATGATCTTTCCTGATGATGAAAATCCCATTGAAGGGGTAAGTCGAGAGTTGCTAGATTTCCAGCCTTGATAAAGCTATATCCGGCTAAATGTGAAAGGTGCAGGCTAAATGGCCCTACTGTAGGCTGCACACAAATTTCCCTTATAGCTCACAGCATGGCTTGATTGAAAATGCAGAAAAGAAGAATGTAGAAACCACATATCGGAACAAAATGTTCATCAGTCCAATAGTACAATGACAAACAACGACAAACTCTATTTCAATTCATTAGTCCAATAAGATACAGAACAGTAGGTTATAAAACTTCATTTCATTTCATTAGTTCAATAAGATACAGAACAATAGGATATAAAACTCCATTTCATTTCATTAGTTCAATAAGATACAGAACAGTAGGATATAAAACTTCATTTCATTTCATTAGTCCAATAAGATACAGAACAGTAGGATATAAAACTCCATTTCATTTCATTAGTTCAATAAGATACAGAACAGTAGGATATAAAACTCTATTTCATTTCATTAGTCCAATAAGATACAGAACAGTAGGATATAAAACTCCATTTCATTTCATTAGTCCAATAAGATACAGAACAGTAGGATATAAAACTTTATTTCAATTCATTAGTCCAATAAGATACAGAACAGTAGGATATAAAACTCTATTTCATTTCATTAGTCCAATAAGATACAGAACAGTACGATATAAAACTCTATTTCATTTCATTAGTTCAATAAGATATTGAACAATAGGATATAAAACTTCATTTCATTACATTAGTTCAATAAGATACAGAACAATAGGATATAAAACTCCATTTTGGTTATATTTTCAGTCATGTGAAGTTAGATCCAGTACGAAAATGGTTTGCCTGTCACCTAAACTACAGAGTTTTGATGAACCTTATGAAGAAATATCCTATGGTTTTAAAATGGATGGCGTCAAGGAACTATACAACCTGACAGAGAATTTCATCGATTACGGATCTTTTAAAGTTTTTCCTAATCCTATTCTCAAAGAATTTCCTAATGGCATGGAATCACATCAAACCAAAAACCAGTATTTAACCATTAATGTGAGTTCTGGTTTCCATAGATACATGGTGGTGATTTGGTGCCAATGTCGTAGGGCCTTGAACTGATATTAACTTTCTTTTCATTTGGTGGATAAAGACTTTAGTGACCAACAGTAAATAGCATCAAGGATTCTTGTCTATCAGCTCATCTGTGTCCAAACCTCTTAGTATTGCTCTTTCCTGGATTAACCTTACCTGTTTACAGCTTGATTGATTGGAATAATGGGGAAAGATGACTTATTCAAAGCCATCAGACCCACAACCACCATTTGTTCAACTGACAGCTTACTTGTGACTTTTTCTAGATTAAACGGCCATTTTGATCTTGATCTACAAGTAAATAGAATTGAAATATTTGTTAATCTTACTTTTAGGGTCATAATTTAAACGTGGCTGTGCAGAAGTCAGAATGGAAGGTACAGATTGGTCGAGAATTCTGTAATGTTACATCGGTTGCTGAGACACAGTTGACATGCACCCCGCCTAAAACTGAGCCGCCATCTTTAAATGGAAAAGAACACCCAGAAGTTGTGGTAGGCTTTGGTTTCATTTTTTACCAAAAATTAGTCTAGGACCTTTTATTATTATTGTTCTCCTCTTGTGACCTTGGCCAGTACTTCTGTAGTAGAGTATCTTCTTATTAAACACCTAATACCAAAATGATCTTGTGTGCAAAAGATTGGTCTTGTTAAAGTTTCCTTAATTGTAAAAAAAAAGAGCAATAAAATCAAGCAATTTGTAATAATTTTCCCCATTGCTAACTGCTAGACATTAATATCCTTCTTAATCAATTAGTAGAAGAGTAGGCCATTGAATTTTTTTTTTCTTGCATTTCGATTGATAATTTCTTGTTTGAGTCTAATTTTTTCATGATATATTTTCAGGTATTTGTCGGTGCCAATTTTTCCAGTAGTATTGGATTACTTCAGTATGAAGAACCAGACGGACTCTCATTACCTGCTATTATTGGTATCAGTGTTGGTGCGGCCATCTTGGTTGTATTTGTGATAATATTCTGTATCGCGTACCTGGTCAAATCTCAACGCAGTGACGATATGATGAAGAAAATGAGGATACAGATGGACAGTTTAGAAAGTCGGGTAGCCAATGAATGCAAAGAAGGTGAGCAGCGTTTAAAAGTTTTTGATATTTTAATGAGATTTATGGATTTTGAATGTCTTTATAGATTGAGAAAAAAAGGAGGACTGAGGTACAAGAAGATGTTTTCCACAAACTGGTCCTTGGTCAAACCTCTTGGTATTGATTTCCCATGAAAGCAACTTAGGTTCATGAGGTCCTCTTACCAGCTGGACAAATCTTCTTGATAATGATTTTATAAGGATAGCAATTTCAAGTTTTTAAGGATGTTGTCTACCAGCTGGATCTTAACCAGACCAGAATGATGTTGTCTTTATTTGTACTCACTACCAGTGGCTGGGCCAGTTTTAAGTCCAAGCGTAAAAATATCTGAAATTGCCTGAATTTCTAACCTAGTTATGATATTTTTGCCCGAAAAACTTGCTTTCAGGGCCGTAGGGGCCACTGCTCACTACATGCTTTCTGTAATAACGCGCTAAGACAAGGGTGTAAAACTCCTTTTCACCTTATTTTAGCTTTTGCCGAGCTACAGACTGATATGACAGAATTAACCAGTGATCATGTAGGACAGATCTCCATTCCTTTCTGGGATTATCGTACATTCTGTATGAAAGTTTTATTTCCTGGACAAGAAGACCATGTTGTTGTTCGAGAATTACAGGTAAGAGAGAACCATTATTTTCAAGAATATCAACTTAGATTCACAGGCATCCTTTCTATGTGCTGGTTCTTGGCCAAACCTCTTGGCATTGATCTTTCCTGGATTATCCATACCCATTTACAGCTGGGTCAATTGAAATACTGAGGAAGATATGACCTTTTTAAAATCACTAGACTTTAACATGCTAACCTAGATTAGAACCCACCAACACCATTTTTTTTAACATATCCTAGATTTCAATGCTTTAACATACCTTTTTGAATTCTACATTGAGATGTGTTTCTGTTTTCTTATCTGCAGGTTGACATCCGTCATAATAAAGAAGATATTGAACGAGGCTTACAACTGTTCTTCCAACTCATCAGCAATAAAACATTTTTATTAATTTTTATCCGAACGTTAGAATCCAACCGTAACTTTCAGTTGAAAGATCGAGTCAATGTGGCTTCTCTGATATCTGTTGCTTTACAGACAAAAATGGAATATGCTACAGAGTAAGTCGGTTTTTTTTTTCATTTTTCTAAATTTATTACAATAAATGGTGTTAGTACATGTTTCTGATATAGAATCCTCATCAGGACTAGTTTAAAAATGAGAGCTAAATGGAGATGATTTGTTTTCTTCTTTTGTCAATTTGTCAAGGTGCATATGGTTGTCTTGTTTCCTTTTTTCCATCCATTGGAAGTTCAGTGAGTTTACTGATTTAGCTGAAGAGTTTGAAGCCCAAGTTTCCTATATATTTCCCATTGTTTTTCCACAACAGAATTTTTCGCTGACTTCAAATTTTACTGTTCTTTTTTCAGTATATTAAAAACTCTGTTAGCTGATTTGATAGAGAAATCAGTAGAAGGACAGAAAAATCATCCCAAATTATTATTACGAAGGTAAAGATTGTATTTAACAATGTCTATTAACAGTGGATCTTTCTTTCGTTATATAGTGAAATCAGTTTTTCACTCCCCAGTCAGCTAGCCATAGTATTATGGACTGATGCGTTAAATAGATATTTAAATGAAAAGCCTCTAAATTATCATGAAAAAAAATTAGGATATCGACTATTTTTTTTATCGTAGAATTCTTTTGATTTGATGTTTCTTCTTGCAAATTTCTTGCCATTGAGACATTAAACTTTTTTTTCCGATGCGAATTGTTTAATGTATCTGCAACTTGTTTTATTTATTTTCTAGAAATGAGTCTGTAGCTGAGAAAATGTTGACCAACTGGTTCACTTTCTTATTATACAGATTCATGAAGGTTTGTAGGAATACAATAGTTGTTGGTATTGCCAATCTACCTCTTTTTTGTGCCATAGATATCCCTTTCAGAGAGTCCACATAGCTTATAATCTTTATTGGTATTTGTTAACTCTGCAACTCTTTCAAAACTAAAATTGTTTTTTTGATAAATTTATTACACACCCCTCAAATCTCGAATGGACTCTTCCACACATGCATACTTTATATCAATATGATACAGTGTTATGCATAGTTAGAATAGTTCATTTCCTAACATAGGGGTGTTTCTAGCTTTAGTTATGAATATTATTGTTTCTATTGTAGGAATGTGCAGGTGAACCATTATTTATGCTGTACCAGGCTATAAAACAACAAGTATCTAAAGGACCAGTAGACGCTATAACCAGTGAGGCTCGATACTCTCTATCAGAAGACAAGCTGATTCGACAGCAGATTCAATATAAAGTTATGGTCAGTATCTTGTCTTGTTTTATTGGCTCGTTTTGGGTACACACTGTGAAACAGGACACTACGATAGAAAACTAACAACATTATTGAACACTGGGTTGCAAGCCGGTTTTTTAAATTTTTGTGATTTGATTTTTTGAACAATTATTTATTCATTTATTCTATTATTCATCTTTTCACACGTTTCTCTTTCATTCATCTTGGAAATCCTCTATTTGTCCATCACAAATTCATTCATTCATTCATTCGCAAATTCATTTATTCATTCTATTATACATTCATCCATCATTCATTTATTTATTCACCATTCATTCATTCATTCATTGATTTTTACATTCATCCATTCTTCTTTCATTTATTTGTACATTTATTCATTAATTCATTTGTACATCCATTTATTCATTCATTCATTCATTCATTCACTAATCTATCCATTCATTATATTTAAGATGGTACATGTGGTAGATGTTGACAGTTTTCCTCAACAAACTCATCCAGTCAAAGTTTTAGACTGTGACACCATTTCTCAAGTCAAGGAGAAGATTCTAGACGCCATTTATAAAAATGCTCCATTCAGCAGTCGACCATTGAAGGAAAATCTTGATTTAGGTAGGTTGTTTAAAATTAAATTTGAGATGAGGTCAAATTATACATAGGAAGACTGGAAATAGTGTGTCCACTATTTGACACCCCTCATTTTTTTAATGGACTTTTCTGCACATGCATTTACCCAATTACTATAATGCAGTACTTGTTTAATATCATGTAGAGTATGCATGTATAGAAGAGTTCACTTGAACATTTAGGGTTTTTGAGATTTGACACTCCTCAAGAAATGATCGAACTCTGCCACAAATGTACTTCCAAGACTGTATAATTTGACTTCATCTTTAAATATCGAGAGTGATTTTTGTAGTCGATTATTTACAAATGACATTTTGATCGATGTAGCTTACGTCTGTTTTATATTTTTTAGTCACATTTACCCAGAATTCATTTCAAATATCATCCTAGTTCCTATGTTTTGCTTTTTGTGGCATCATTTTTCGTAGCCATTCTTCGCAATCATGATTTTTTTTTTTTTCGTTGTTTTTTAAACGTAGTAAATGTTTTTTCAGTTTATTTAAAGAACTTAGGTTAGTTTTGTTTTTAGTTAACACATTTTAATATTTAGTTTTTTTTTAATTTAATTTTGTTATGTTTTGTTTGTTTTGATTTTAAAGAAATTGTATAAGAATTTCCATTGGTTGAATTTCCATTGATTGAATTTCCATTGGTTGAATTTCCATTAAAATATTACTGAAATGTTTAAAATTTTTGGGGGGAGTTGTTATTAGATTGAAATTAAAAAGATGTTATTAATTTTCAACGAAATTTGGAATATTTTTGGAGGTTTGGGTATCTGCAGTGTTGAATTTCTTTTTTCCTTTCTTTTATGCTTTTTTTAATGTTAATGTTTTGCAGTTTTTCATTTTGAAATGCTTCAGTAACACCTATCAATTTCTGTGTTTTCAGTCAGGTATTCCATTTGGCAAAAAAATCTGGCAAAAATCTCCCTTGACCTCCCAAAATAATCACGAGTTCCTATGATTTTAGCTTATTTGTTGCTTAAGATCAAAGTTTCATTTGGATTGGAAAGCGAGAATAATGGCAATTACGCTTTTTGCAATGTGGACTCTTTAAAAGACATTGTTGACACACCCAAAACCAAAACATTAACTATGTGGAAACTCTGAAAGGGAATATAATATACCAGAATAATCTAGCTATGTGAATTCCAAAAACAGGATTCCAAGTTGACAATCCAGAATAAGGTTTCCTGAAAGAGAGATACACCAGCCATTTACTCTGGTATTCCAAAACACAGAAATTTATAGTTCTGAAACATTTCATTAGATTTGTAGTTCCTTTTAGACTTATATTTCATTTTTTGTTTCATTTTTCACCATGCATGAGTAGAGTTTTGCACGTAATTTACTATGTATTTGGTGGACCCTAACTCAGTCATATTTTTGAAGAATTGTCACCATTTTGAGATGACTGGTTAAAGAGATATTGTCATCTAAGTTTGCTTTAGAGTTGTCAGAATTCAATTCAATTCAAGCTAACTGTGTCACTTATCGTAATGAAAATCAGACTTAAAGTTTGTCTATTATCAATTCAAAGAAAAGGAAATAGCAAAACAAATTAAGCTGTAGGATTTCATTATGAAAAGTGACGAAGCTAGTCAAAATTGAGCTCTATCAGCTGTTTAAAGCAAATATTTCGCCGACATATTCCTTTAAAGGGTAAAACTAATGCTTAGTATGATGATATTAAGATGCATTATGGGATAGTATCCTAGAATAATAACAACTAACATATATTACTAAAACTTCATTCCAAATATCAAGTCCTGCCTTGTTACTACTGCTTAGAATAAGGAATTTGATATTTCTTGACCAGACCAAAACTCAAAATATGTAGGCTACTATTAAGCTTTATTCATTGTGCTTGTTTCTTAACAGAGAGCTTACTGAGCTGAAACATGCTTGAAATCTCATCGCAGCTTAAACAGAATGCTAACATATTTATATATAGAATGCCAATTTAGCATGTTTCATAACTTTATCATAACTTTAAGCTTTTGTCTGATAAAATTACCTGTATGTTATATGTAATGCCTAAGCTTAATGAGATTGCCAAGTAATCATTATGTAAGCTTATCTATAATGCTAGGGGCATGCTCAAAGCTAAAAACATCATTATTACATCTTCCAATTTTAAGCTATTACGAATGTCTAATACCTTGACACCATCAGGCACTTTCTTATATCACGGGATGCTGCGATTTGATTGGATTGTACGCTTGTAAATAACAGCCAATCAGAGCCAACAACAGAAGAAATGTAAACATGATGATTTCCTGTAATAAGATAGCTACATTTACAAACTGCAGTGATACAATTTAAGTGCTTAATGATGTCAAGGTATTTGACAGAGATTGTGAAGATGAATCATGTATTAACTGGGTATGAATTAGCGTTATCCTATAATCTTATAACAGAGCATGTCTATTATATTTCGCTCGATCAACACTGCAGAGCGGGGCTGTTTTTTAACTCGGGGTTTTATTTCATGTTTTCAAACAGTTTTATTTGACCATAAACCAGAATGGCTGTGTCCACCAAACGAGAAAGTTCAGAGTTATCTCCCTTCACATAAAGATACACATCGCTTGGTTCTACATGATGAAGACGCCACATCCAAGATGGATAGCGATTGCCGAAGGTTGAACAGTCTGGCACATTATAAGGTAAGTAACTCTACTTTTGTTTTATTTTTTGGTCTTGTGTGCTACAGGCTGTACACGTTAAAAATTCTTAGACAGTTGGAAATAAATAGACTGCAAAGTTTCCCTACTATATCATAGTTTTATTTATGATTTTTTATAACTTCTGGAAGTAAAGCTAGGACTTGTTAACAATCCCTTGACATTTTAAATCAAAAGGAAAGAAGGGGTATTTCACCATAATGGCTAAAGTTTCCTCATTGCACACTGCAAAAGTACAGGGAAGTATAGTATTAATTAGTCATTTTGTACTGACAGTTATTACTGATGACCTGAGTTGAGTTGAAACTGCATGTAAATATGTCAATATTGAACTAGAAATCTGGCAAGGTATTAACTTTCAGATTTTGTTATTTGAGCCCAAATAAAGCTCTATCAGATTTTTAGATGACCAGATCCCTAAAGAGAATGCAAATTTTTAATGTTTCGTAATGCCTATACCTTGACAATATTTTACAGGTCCCTGATGGTGCCTACGTGGCTCTAGAAGCTAAAAATACCATCACTTATAACAGTAGTATTATTTCAGAAAAATCTCTTAAATATGGTGAGTGAACAAAATACTTTAAAGGAACACTTCCTCTTAGAAAATATATAAATTTAGATTCTTAAACTAGGTCAATTTGAGTATATATTCATCAGTGGATAAAAGTTGTCATAACTATACAACAGAATCCCTGTAAAATCTGGTAATTCTTAAAACTAAGTAATTATTTGTAACACTAAAAGTAATTATTTGGATTCTCGAACTTGGTCAATATGAGTATATGTTCATCAGTTCAACACTTGGTTTGATACTATGTGATCAGTCGATTTACCTGGTGTAATAACTATACAACAGAAGCCCTGTATAATCTGGTAATTCATAAAACTAAGTAATTATTTATAACACTAAAGTAATTATAAAACTAAGTAATTATTGAAAAACTCTATAAATTTTTTTAAATTTCAGATAACATGTCTTTCTATAACCGCAGTCCCTCGTTGAACCGAACAACGTCACCTAATTCTATCAACATAGACGTAGATAGCGTCAAGTCATATCATCTGGTGAGTGGAATTTACAAATCAAAGTTAAAACAATTGCAATATCCAGACATCTGAATGAAAATTGGAATAGTGGAAATCGATGCTATCAGTGTTCCTGATACACATAAAATTTTAGAAGACCTTTTTACAATCCTTTTGATTGGTCAAATTCTTGAGTGAATGAACCATTTTTTTCCATTATGTGGAACTTTTCACAATATTTTAAATAATTATTCATATTTTAGGTCCGTCAACACGATTCTGATGTCCAGAAAGAGGGTGATAGAGGTAGTAAAATGGTGGCTGAAATTTATCTTCCACGTTTATTGGTCACCAAGGTAACAGTTGCTTCTAATTGGGGATCCAAGGTGCTGCATAACCAAGAGACTGACAATGAAAAAATTAGTATATGAATGGAACCAGAAACATTGGTCTTTGCATGCTACAATCTGTGTATAATCTTTTGAAACCCAAAGATATGCTATTGCCTCATAGCAATTTCCCTCATAGCACACTGAACAATGTTGCTTAACAGTCAGAACAGTTGGAAGTCATGGCAAAATTTCCTTCCTATCACAATGCATGTATTTGCTCACAATATGCAGTAGACCTTTTGAAATTTATTTCATTAGAGAAATACGGAGTAAAACTCCAAAGGGGTTGACATGGAAACAGTGTCTAGTTATGGGACAATACCAAGGCCCAGTGTGCTTCAGGCTGTGCAGAATCTTTTACAAATGGAAAATCAAAAAAGAAAAGAAAAGGCATATGTCAATGTCAAGCAAAGCACACTGCTAAAATCAAATGTGATACTGAACAATCTGGTGTAAAACTCCATTTCATTTCATTTTATTTGTGAATTTCAGGGAACGTTACAGTCGTTTGTAGATGATTTATTCGAGAGAATATTTAGTACGGCTAACAGAAGTAACGTACTACCCCTCGCCATCAAATATATGTTTGATTTCCTGGATGATCAAGCCTTATTACATAATATACAAGATAATGAAACTGTACATACCTGGAAATCAAATAGGTAAGCAATTTATAAATTCCGTGGCTTCTAAGTAATGCTCCCTAACGCCTGACATGGAAAAATCATCTAGTCGTGGGACAATAAAGACCCGTGTGCTACAGGTTGCCCATGTATGATTTCACATGGGAATTTTTTTTTCCATTTCATTTCATATGAGCAATATTCTGTCTATTTCATTTCATATGATTGATATTTATTTCATTTCACATGAACAATATTTTCTTTCTGTTTCATTTCAAATACACATGCTCATTTACTCATATTTCATTTCATTTTCCATTCCATTTCATTTGATCAATATTTTTCTATTTCAGTTTACCGTTGAGGTTTTGGGTGAACGTGATGAAGAATCCTAACTTTGTGTTTGATATTTATAAATCTAATATAGTAGACTCATGTCTTTCTGTTGTGGCACAAACTTTTATGGACAGTTGTTCAGTGCATGAACATGTGTTGGGAAAGGATTCCCCTTCTAGTAAATTACTTTACGCCAAAGACATTCCAAAATACAAACAATGGGTGGATAGGTAAGTCTCTGAAGATTTTTGGAATGAAGATGAAGTCTGTATTGGGTAATCTCAAGTGGTATTTAGTTTCCTATATTTTCTGTGGGTTACTTCACTCAATCAAAATCTATTAGGCATAGATATGAAAATGTGTCTTATTTTGAATTGAAGTTACCATACTTGATATGATATTTCATAAAAAAGTTGATATTTTCTGATTATTTTTGTTGTAGATATTATCAAGATATAAAAATGATGCCAGCGATCAGTGATCAAGATATGACGGCCATGTTAACAGAGGAATCTAGGGTTAGATATATTACTCTCTTTACAACCCCTAGCTAGAGGGCTTCCTTTCTTGAAATGGGACAATAAACTGAGGCCCTGTGTGCGACAGGGAGCAGTTATATTTTATCTTTGAGCCTGAGTGGTGGTCAAATATTTCTTTTATCATTAAAATATTTATGATATTTTTTGTAAATTTTGATTATGAATTTTTTTTTCCAGTTACATAATCAAGAATTTAACACGAATGCTGCTTTATACGAGTTATATAAATACGTCAATAAATACTATCCAGAGGTAAGGTCTTATCCTTTTTCTTATATTGGTCTTCATCTGGAACCATGGTAGCTTTAAGTTGAGTGCGGTGGCTCAATTAGTTAGATGCTTGCTTGCTAACCTGAAGGTTCATGGTTCAATCGCGGCATAGGTCAAGTTAATACCTTCAGATTTTTCAACCTGGTTTTCCCCTGTCAGTGATGGAGGTCAGAGGGGCTGACAGCAATGAGCAGTAATGTTTGTTGTCATGGAAATGGATTCATTGGATTAAATCACACTGAAATCAACCTTTTTTATCTTTCAGTTAAAAGATTCATTAGAGGATGACGAATTTGCCAGAAGAAGTAAATTACGCTATAAACTAGAGAAAGTCCGAGCGACGATGGATGGTGATGCTGTCTGCTAGGTAACCAAACATTGTTGTACATGTTTTTAACTTTGTGATTTACTCTTCAGACAATATGACAGGGGTCAAAGTTCAAGGTCAATGTTTGTTGATTGACAAAATTGAAGGACAAGAAAATTTTGCAAAATGGATTTTCAAAATGGTGGATGAAGTCATGTGGTCTATTGAATATTTTATACATGATCTATTTTTAGATCTTACGCTACTGAGGCAAAGATTTTTGCAAGATGGTTGCACAAAACCAATGGAGTAAAGTTCATCAAATGACCTTTCCATATACCTTACAGTTCTGTGTTTAATCCAAGTGATCTTTTGATATGCATTTACCATATAATTGTGACTATAATGCTCCAGTTTATATAACGCGCACCCTAGACTCTGCAGTATATATTATATGTATGTGGAATTTGTGATTGGTGCAAATTTTTATGAGGCACGGTACAAAACCATTGAGTATTTTTCGGCGGGCAAAATTAGGATTGTCAATTCATAGAACTGAAGGATTTTGTGTTACTTTAAGAAAGAAACACCATATATTTAGCAATTATTTTGTTGTTGGAATTTTCACCTAGTGCTCCTTACTTTCCTTAAATGGCTAAAAATTGAAAAAATTTCAAAGAATGTGTGAGGTCATTCTAATATGCAACTTTAAGGCAATGGCGATTTTGAATACCAAGTAATAGACGAAGAGCTGTGCCTATTTTCTACTATCGTTTAGTCTTTGTTTATTCCTTGTGTACAGTGACGTCATTGAGTTGGATTCTCGAATATTTTTTTTTTTTTCGTGTGTGCTCATCAAAAGTGCCAATCTTTCCGACATTTTAAGTTTGTGTACAAAATTTTTGGATGTAAATGTTCGTTAGATTAGAATTAACCAATCAGGACTCAGGATTTTTATATATATATAGTCGTTAGATTTGTATAGTGCTCATGGGAGAATTTGTGTGACGGACTTTGTACATGGTGCTCTTTTAGAGAAGTCGTCAAGGTTGATGTTGAATCTGGGAAATTTTTGTTTTTCCTGACCAAATATGGAAAAGTGTGCTGAGATATTGAACCTGTGTCATATGAAAAAGGAGATGTAAGATGGAAAAAAGAAAATAAACACATTTTGCGTAATGGCAAACATTTTTGTAATCTTCAGTCGCAGTATTTTTTAATAAAAATTGGCCGTCTGCAGGAATTTTGCAGTCTATGAATCAGCAGAAGGATTTTTATTTGTAGGATTTTTGTTTTCTAAAGTTTAATCATAAAATTGAGATTAAAATAAAAATCGCGCTCATTTGTATATAGGACAATTATTTTGGTGCTTTTTAACATTTATACCAAATAAACTCTTGTTTAAATATGTAAATTAAGTTGACCTTGAGCTGACCTTGGGTTGACCTTGGGTTGACCTCATGTATCATGATATCGCAATGCCTTCTTTATTTCATATTTCAAAATTGCAAGATCTGTATTGCGGCAATATTGTCAGTGAAATTTGTAACAGAAATAGAATTGAATTCATAAATTTGGCTTGTCATCCATCTTGGAATTTGGGCAGTAGTCTATCCTTAGCCTAAGTGTTGGACTGTCAACTACTAGGGAATAAGGTGCCATAGGTTTGAGTCCTAAATTGAATTCTGCTGCCATTGCCAGTACTTTTGAGAGGCTGCTGGTCATCGAAACAAAAATATGTCTTAAGGTTTGGGAAACTAATTTATTTCGATTTCTCTTTACTTAGCTTCCAAAATTTTGATTGATTTAAATTTCGTTACTTTCTTGGCTATGTGACTTAAACTACTTGGTGCTTTAAGCAGTTCTATGCATTCATTTATATTTTCATGTGTCCTTTTGTTTATAAAAAATGCAGAGATATTCATGCACATCCATGGACAGCTCAAAACAAAAATAGGAGCAGTCCATTTTATTTTAAGTTAGTTTAAGTAGTAGTGAGTACATAAGAGCATTGGTTTGAATAGTTTCAATAACTATTTATTCTACCTTTATGCGAAATGGACTGCTCTTTCAAGAATCAGGAACAGTCCACTATATTTTGAGGTAATTTAAGTAGTAATCAGCTCAATATAGGTTACTGTTTACTCTACCTCCAATAAAATGGATTGTTCCTGTTCCAGCATGTGCATAAATATGTCTGCCCTACTCTAGCTGTGTTAACTTGTCTTGATTTTTATATATTTATAACCTAAGATTAGCTTTAACATCATCATACATTATATGACAAACTTTATTTTATTAAACCTGTTCATAAATGATATTCGACAAGCCTGTAGGTAAAAAACAAGATTTATGAATACTTTCGTCTTTAATTTGAGAGCATGATCAAATACATAATTTTTCTACTATAACTCACATTACATGTATTGTGTATGATGATAACTTAATATCATATAATCTACAATGTTATATGGCCTACTTGGCAAGTGTTTTATGGCCTACTTGGCAAGTGTTATATTACCTACTTGGCAAGTGTTATATGACCTACTTGGCAAGTGTTATATGACCTACTTGGCAAGTGTTATATGACCTACTTGGCAAGTGTTATATGACCTACTTGACAAGTGTTATATTTCATGTTATAATAACAGTATTTATTATACAGTGTAATTATAAATCATATAATATATAGATATATATCAGTGTCTAATTAATAGCAATCATTTCTAGTCAACATAGCATGAAAATTTACATAAACCCTATTATAAAATAATTTTATATTTCATTTCAAAATTTCAACATGAAAAATGCGTTCTCTAGAATTTATCTCAATATGTATATTTCAGTAATGTTTAAGTTTTAGGTGTGAATGTGAAAATTTTTATGTTGCAATTGTTTGAAACTGGCTGCATTTTTGCAGTTTTTCTGACTATGTACTGTTTGACATCTGTCAATCAATAGTCGGCATGTTTTGAATTTCGAGAATATAAGTGTAAAATTTTGAGTGCCTATAATTTCAAATTTTGTATAGATAAAATTGTTTTAATGTAGAATTTTTATATAGATTTTTTTTATAGATTTTTATATGTGGAAAAATTTGATTAAAATGCAGAATTGGATGTTGTTTCTTTTTTTCTGTAGGTGTCACCACTTGCCCTCCATTAATGACGAGTGGAGTCACCCAAAGAATAAATATGAAACAAAATATCTCGATCTTCATTTTGATCAGATGGTACATCAAGAGATTTGTTATTTCATTTTTTTGTATATTCATTTTGGCTTTCATATACAATACAAATATTAAACAAATATTAATTGTTATACAAAATTATACACAATTATGATATATAGTTCCGTGCTGGCATGTTATTCAATTTTGTATAGTAGGTCAAAGTAAGGTATGTACATCCGAGGATGTCTAAAATCATCCCATTTAACAGTTCCTGACATAACCAATCTAAAATTGTTCGCATTCTCATAGTAGTTGCTCAGAATAAGCTCTTAGCTCAGAATAAGCTCAGATATATAATTTATAAGATAGCAAATAAATGAAAGCTCATTATCCATCTTGCCATATATTAATCATATCTACCCACCAAAAGTAGATAAAATCAAAAAACGCTTTTTAAAATTGAAACTTATAATTGCATTGTTAAAACGCATTTTTGTATAACGTTCATTTAAAATTGACAAAAGTACATTTGAATATTTGGCCTCATACAATAACTGTATAATTGCGAGAATAAGACGCATCTGTGTAATGCGCATGTAAAATGGACAACTTGACCTCATACGGTAACCGTATAATTTCGAGTACAAGACGCATCATTGTATAACCTGCAAACGATAATACATACTCTCTTGTCTGTAATGGTGCATATCTACACACTATTTCTTACTAGTTTTGTCAAGAACTTTGCGATGTGATTTCTCAAGTTAAATTTGTGATTTTGAAGATTTTTTTTTTAAAAAAAGGCCTGTTTTTCCTACTGTACTTGAGCATGATCGGCGAATTTTTTTTAGTCGTGTAATTACTTTGTGTATTAACATTAAATATCATTTTATCTAATCATTTGTCTGTATATTATAAATATGTATAAAGATTTTTATATGAAATAAACCAACAAAAAATTTACAGCAATCCAATCGTTTATATTATTCCTTTGAGGTATGACAATTTAGGTCTGGAGGCCAGTTACAGCAATCCGGTTGTGTTTATCATTCCTATTGGGAGGTTTTTTGAGGGGTTGAGGAGGGAATTGAGAGGTCCGAGGGAAGGTATCAAAATTCGTTAATACTTGTAGGATTCTAGCAGATCAAAGGAGAAGAAGTCTTCACTAGTATTGAGAGGTTGGCTCTGTAAGAGTGCTTAGATGGACACTTGTGTATTGGGCCTTATTCTGACCTATATATTATAAAGAGTTTATTTATTAAAAGCAACTGTATTTTCTGCTACTGCAAGAATATGTTTGTTCAATCGCTGATTTAGTGATTCCGTGTTGTTGGTTTGGTAGTTGAGAATACGAAGATCTGGCCGGGTCGAATGGCATGGCGGGGGGAACTAAACTATTTTTGCCATGTCTTTTAATAGGCTTTATTCACGCCTCGTTTTGGCAACCTCGAATACGAGGCTTACAAAACAAATTACGTCATCAATTTTAAAGATGGCGGTTTCAAAAGAAGAAGTAGCCTAATTATGTAACGTCACTAAAAACCCGATTAACAGCGAGAAAATGAGCTTGAAACAACAGTTTCTCAGAAATGTCTTAATACAAACATTAATGGTTAAAATGATGTAAATTTGAGAAGGTTTGAGCTCATGAAAATGGAGGAGGCGTTATAGACGATTTCACTGCCGTGACTGAGTGACACAATGTTATTCGTTTACTTTTGCGTTATGAGCCTCGTTCTGGATTCAATATGGTTGACGCTTGAATAAGGTGACTGAATGATCCGTACCTCTTGATCACTTATCACTAATCAACTGTTGAAGGCCGTGAGTTTTGCTGAACAAATATATGTCGAGCCTCAAGCCGCACTTACACTTGTTCACTTCAAGCGGGCAATTTTAAAGGCTGAAGATTAGGCTAGGCTAATGATCACCTGATTCTGAGTTTTGCTAAATCAATTTGAGCTACACATGTATTATATAAATCAACCCGCTCATTTGAGTAGTGAACTGATTCTGAGTTTTGTCAACCTGAACACTAAACCTCTATAGTTATTACTCCAGTGAGACTGTTTGATTTTCCCTAAAAACTGTGCTTTCATTGCCTGAACAACTCCTAAACATAGGATAGCATCGTTTACCACAGGCTTGGACAGAACTGAAACCCGTTAGAAAATGTGGACTGAAAATATAAGACTGAATTTCTATCTGAAATGAGAGCATTCATGGATCTGAAGATTAATTTTGTGTGGTGTCAGTGAACCTTTCAAAGTGAAGTAAGGTAAGAGTTTTCTTTTAAAATTTATCAAGCTGCTGTGTTGGCCAAACTCTGACGCCATCCCTCAACACACCCACACAGCCATACATATACAAACCCAATGGAGCCCTTTTAAATATCTAGAGGAAGCAATGACCCTGTATATAATGCAAGTCACTTAGTTCCATTACTAAATGGAGATTTTCTTTAGTATTCTAAAGAGGAAAAAATACAAACATATTATCAAGTATAGGCCTAGACCGAAACATCTGTCTTTATTCCACCTCGGATAGCTGTTTGGATAGATGTGGGATGGTATAGAGACAGAAAAGGCAGGCCCTGCTAGATGGAGACTTTCCGCATCTCTGCATCCACATGTAACAGGACCTATTTTTTCTGACTCTACGCCAACCGACAACTGTCAATATATCCATCAGAGACTGAAATAGAGGAAGATGTTTCGGACTAGTATAGGCCTTACAAGTAAAACTTTCTAAAACCACAATAGAAATAGAGAAGAGGAATAAGAACAGAGGTTATTTAGACATCATAAAAGCCACTCCGAACTGGATCTATTGTTTTAAGAAATGTTTAAACAGAACCTGAAACATATTACTCAGAGATTCACGCTGTGCGATTTTAAGACGACTGATCTACATTAGCGTTTTGTTTAAAGGGGCAATACCTTATGCAAATGGTTCATTAAAAATTATGTATATATTCCTTTTGTATCTACTTGATCAAACTGAATTGATCGAAAAAGATTAATTAAGTAATCAAATGGAGTGTGGATTAATTAAGTAAGCAACTACGTGTAGTTTGGTGTTGGGTCTCATAAAGACTCAATATTTTTAGTTTCAAATCAGTATAGTAATTTGGCAAAACTTACCAAAAAGCATAATAAACTAAAAAAAAAATTACGTAAAATTTTAAAATAGATTTGGCGTTAAACAAGTAGGGGCCTAACTCAGGATTTTTTTTATTTAAAATTGTTTGGTTTAGGGACCCATTTCACTTGATTGAGATTAAAAAAAAATTAAACCCATATTGCCCATTTAAAGGGACGGAAAGATGGTTTTCTCATTTTTTGTTGTTGTGGTATCGGGAACACTGATAGTATCAATTTGCACAATTCCCATTTTCAATCAGACGCCTGTGGTTCCTGCAATTCCACTGAAATTAAGTGTTTGATGACGTCACCAATCGCAAACATGCTGCTAGTGGAAGTGCAGAAACTACAGACGTCTGATTGAAACTTGGAATGGTGCAAGTCGATGCTATCAGTGTCCCGATAAACATAGAAATAAAATTAGAAAACCTCTTTACTGTCCCTTTAACATAATGGAACCATTGTTTAGGAATAATTTTGTTTAATATTACATGGTTCATTGGCTTTGAAATAAAAAGTCTATAGGAGTCAATCCCAATCTCTTCTATTATGCATAAATCGCATTGTTCTTAACAAGGAAGTTTTTTACATTGAATATAAACATTAAAGGGTTTGTAAAGAGGTTTTATAAAAAAAATTTTATTTGTACAGGGAAGACTGATAGCATCGACCTGCACCATTCCAAGCTTCAATCAGATGTCTGTTGTTCCTGCAATTTAACTAAAACTAGGTGTTTGATGACGCAAATAAAGATAATATGCTTATCACTTTAGGTCTTTAGATTAGTGACGTCACCAAACACTTATTTCAATGGAATTGCAGGAACCGAAGGTCTGACTGAAAACCTGGCAAATTGATGCTATTAGTGTCCCCGATACACATAAAAAAAAAAAATAAAAATCCTCTTTACAATCCCTTTAAAATTAATGTCGAACATTGTAGTTCAGATAGGGACCTGAATTATTAAAAACTGTTAAAGTAGCCATCCTACATGGATAGCAAACTTACCACTTGGTTCTTGGCCAGACTTCTAGGCATCGATGTATACCAGTCTATCCTGAACATGTCGGTCGAGATCAGAACTCACCACCACAATTTGTTCAAGCAAATGTAACGCTCTAATCGCAGATTTCATGGCATAATTTCTCTTATCAAAATGGAACAATAGCGCATACAGAACTATCGTATTTTATCGGGTAGCAGATTGCTTGGTACAATGATAGTTTTCTGTGGTCAGAATAGGAATAGGGCATACCAAACTATCGTATCAACCTAGCTGTATACTAGATTGCTTGGTACAATGATAGTTTTCTGTGGTCAGAATAGGTCTATAGCATACCAAACTATCGTATCCAGCTAGCTAGTAGATTACTTGACATAATTTCAGTTTAATATGATCAGAATTTGATTAGTGTATCCGACAAGCTAACATTGCTCGAGCTTTTGTTAGAATTTGGTAGCCAACGTCAAAGTCACTGTGGGTCATAAATTCGCATTTTTTCTATCCGTCACGCCACCTTTAATTTGTTAATTTGCTGACACTAAACTGTCTTTATTTGTGTAATTTTTCATTAATTATCTATTAGATTTCTAAAACTGATTATGATAATAATTTATTGGCTATTGAATTTTTCCAGGGGTCGCCTTTTATTTTATTGAAGACCGACACAAATATTGGATCTAGACCTAAGAAAGTTATCATATTTTTTGAATGTATGCGTGGACAGGCTTTTACTTCATTGGTAACAATTCTAGAACAAGTTGTGAAAGTCCAGTTAGATCGGGACACTCTAAGAACTTATATAGACACAGCTTTCACTGGTTAAAGTTTTAAGCTGTATCTATATACCTTACTTACAATTACTAAATGCCATTCAAAGACTATAAGAAGTTGTTATATTCTTTTCGATTTTTGAAAAGTTTTGAAAGTGATGAAAAAATTAGACCGTTAGTTATTCAAGGACCACACGCGTAGATGGAATTGGACCCATAAAAGTTTTATATAATTTTTGTCAGTGATTGATTAAGGGTGATGGAGAAAACATATTTTATATCCGTTGTTTTGTTATTTATATATTTTATGGAAACAATCAACACAAACACGACTTTTTTAATTAAAAAATCAGAATTCGACAATAGAATAATACGAAAATTTGTCTTGGAGCAAGTGAATAACACAGAAACGGTGACCACTTGCGTATATCGTTGTGTTCGCGATCTGAACTGCGTGTCGTTTTTTTATAATCAAAACCAGAAAAGATGTCAGACGAATTCAGTGGGGTTCATCACCCCAGGGGACGGGGAAGAGGAAAGTGGAACCAAATATTACAGTCTTTATGAAGGTTTGTAATAATTTCTTGTTTAGCTTTCCAATGTTCTACAAAGGCGTAGTTTGTTTCTATTGACTAAAAGTAAACTCGACTTGAAAGGTAACACGACGACGTCATATCGAACGTCAAATAGTCTGCAACACTTCACGATGACGTCATATAGTTTGCGACACCTCACGATGACGTCATATCGGAGGTCAAATAGGTTCCAATACCCCACGCTGGTATCATATCAATTGCAATGCCCCACGATGACGTCATATATCGGACTTCATATCGTCTGCAAATCTTCACGTCATTTCCCTCACGGTGGTGTCATATCAATTGCAATGCCCAACGATGACGTCATATATCGGACTTCATATCGTCTGCAAATCTTCACGTCATTTCCCTCACGTTGGTGTTATATCAATTGCAATGCCCCACGATGATGTCGCATCGTCAATTGATTGAATTTTTATGGAAGTCATCAGCTTGATTATGTCAAATTATATATGTATATAATTAGGTCTTCGGTGTTGTGATTGACAGTTTAGGCCCGCCTTTTGCGTGTCAAATAGGCAGAATTATTTTGTGAATGTCCTGTATCTTTCAGAGGGTTGCCCTGCTGATTTTATCAGAAACAGAAATCTTGACTTATGCTATAAACCTTATATAGAAACGAAAGATGACGATTTTGGGGAAGCCAGGGACCTTTGTGTGGCTAATAGTTACGTTTTAGTACGAGGTAAAACGACGGAGGACTATAAACATATATCAGACCAACTTAGAGCATCGACAGGTAAGTTCAGTTAAATACTCTATCACCACCATCTTGATTTCTACGGAGGTCTTATCTACTATTCCTAAGAATACGAAACTACGTATGGTTCTTACATGGAAATAACACACACGAACGCAGTTTGAATCTCTTCCTCAAATTTTTAAAGAGGCTGCAATATTTCAACAAAGCCTTCAAATCACAATTACAGGCTCAGAATAGGCCCGACTTTGCTCACCACCCCCCCCCCCCCCCCCCCCCCCCTTTCCACTCCCCTCAAATAGTTATAATATAATAATAATATAATAGTTATAGAACGAAATGTCCCTGGGCACCCTCGTCCCCTTGACCTTTCTGTGGCCCAAAGTGAGTCCTCATGCATCTTGTCCATAGATCTGCGATTTAAACTTTTTTTTATTTTGTAGATTATGCATCCAAAAAATTTTGGATTGACGGAAGCGATTCCCAAGTTGAAGGAGTTTGGAAATTTGACAATGGACAAAAGATGACGGCGTTTTTTTGGGCGCAAGGAGAACCAGATAACACAACATCCGGGAAAGATAACGTGTATTTGAGGAAATCGAGTAACGGTGTATATGAAATGTCGGACACGCAATATTACCTAGATGCCTATCGTATTTGTCAAGTGTTGTAAGATTTACTTTTTTGGTTCTGCTTTTTGAGAAAATAGGCGTTTTTGTTAGAATTTTACACGTTTTGTTTTATGCAAAATGGTGTAATATATCGCTGTCAACGGAATCAAAATGGTTATTTAGTCTCAGAATGTATACATGCACAAGGGAAGCTATTGCTATTACTGTTATTGTTATTGCTTGACATTGCCGATATGGATCCAATAAACAGATTCTTCTTGTAACAAAAGCAATTGTCAGTTTTCTGTGTTCCAAATATATGGCCCGTGTTGCTGAATTTGTAATTTGGAGTGTCCACATATCCTATTTGTTATTATTGCAGACTGTGACATACAACAATGAAAATACAGATAAGACTAATATAACCAGTGACTATCAGCTGATCCTACTAAATGTCGAACAGATGACATCGTGACCTGAATTTAAAACATTTATTTTTTTTAAAGGGATTTGATCGTTCAATGGTTTGATTAAGCAGCTGATAAAGCTCCATTATTATCTCAGTTGGTTTTCGCATTTTTCGTATTCTACTCCACAAAAACATAGGTCTAACGTGTACCGGAAGTACCCCCTTATCGCACCCTTTGCGGTGACAGGCCCGTAGCCAGACTTGGTTGTTCGGATAGGCAAGTAATATAACCAGAGGGGCAATGGTGGATGGTGTTTAGTTGAAGTTATGGAATTGGTCTGTTGTCAGAATTCTTCAGGGGTATGGGGGCAATTTTTCGTATTCCTTCGCAGCCCTTCAGTGCATGACATCTGTGGTCTTCATGTCTAAAACATGTACAAAAGTAGGAAGTAAAACTCCATTCCATTTCTTCCTGTATTTAACGATTAGGTTATTTTGGTTCAGCTTTTTATTAAATTCAGCGGATCCATTAAGACCGGATATGTTCAGACCACGTTTACGATAAAATATTATCAACGCCACTCGACTTGAAGAGTTTGTTATCGTTTGTTTCGCAACTACTCTCTTTTCTAGCTAATAGATTCAAATCTAACTTGTCATACAGTTGCCTTTTGATATTACAAACCTATCGTTTAATCAACCATCTGGTGACTTCACACACTTATAATTTGTTTAATTTAGATCACAGATAAGAGACTAAAAAACCAAAACATTGTATAATACGACATCAAAATAAACGGACGTTTTTTTTCAAAATGGTACATTGCCGCTCAGTTTAAATGTCGAGGAAAACTATGTACCTACACATAGCCGTACTATTCGTTGCTTCTGCTTTTCCGTTAGTGGAGAAGGTGAACCACGAAGACGAACCTACACCCCAAGATGACCCGAAAACAAAGACGGAAAGGAGCGCAGACGTTGCTGGAATGGTGGTTCTTCATAACAAATTTAACTCCAGCGTCCTGAAGGCGTTTTTGGCAAAGAAAATCCAAGCTCAAAAGACCAAGGACGTGACAGCTGGAGGTATAAAGAAATTGGTTTCCTTTAAAAACAGCACTCACTCCGATCGTAAAGTAGATATTGCGGCAGACGATAACTTTGATGACGCACCAATTGATCCGTATTTAGATGACGCAGTAGGGAGTGATTGTCAACGAGTTTTTGGATTTAAATATACCGGAATTGTTAGTGTGCATTCGTGTCCAAAGAATTTCAAAAATATCAAACTTCGAGAACTGTGTACGTCAAGAACGACCAATCTGCACAACCCCAATGGTTACGATCTGGAGGTACTTCCGGTTCAATCGGAAGAAGGAATTGTATATAAAAACCGCTACTGCGCAATATGCAACAATGCCAGCAAGCCAAAACATTGGAATATAAACTTTCTGTGCGAGGCACCAACCAGCTTGCTTTTCCAGACGGATTTTTCAACTGTGAAAGTTTTAGAGGACTACCAAAATACAAGCACCTGCGACGTTCATATTAGCCCGCCATACGACAAACCCATAGAGGAGTGCAGCATGCGCGCCAAAAGAGACAGCTCGGCAAAATGGCGCCATGGAAAACCAGAAACTGATATGTACCCCATCTCATTCAGCTTGCTCATGAATTTCGGATTTGATGGCAAAACGCACGTTATGTTTAGCACTAACGACGAAATAACCGAATCGAAAAGTCATTCAAGATGTCATGAAAACGAAATTTTCGATCCGGATCAAAATAAGTGCAGAAGAGTTAGTTGTTCGTCTGGATATAGTTTGATGGATGACGAAACGTGTGTCAAGGACGGCAGCGCCATTATCTACAACGATACGGATATTCAGAATATTAAAGATGTCGATTCTTTGACCAACAACAATAGAGTCGCAATGGTGGCGCTCGAAGTCAACGTCACCTACGACGATCTGGGTTTCGTCTTGTATGCTATCGAATTCAAGCCCATCATCATTAAAAAGTTGGCTGATTTGCTCAATATCAATTCTGAACGGATTCAAAATTTCAGCATACATTTCCTGAACCAGTCGCAATTCTCGGGACAGAACATTCGAGTCGAAACGATGCCAAAAGATGAATTCGAAAAGCAGAACCAGAAAGTCGACGTCGGAGACTTTAATATTGCCGCAGACGAAGTCTTTCTCGATTCTCCCTCAATGTCGGATCAGCAAAATGAGTCCACATCAGAGTCTAATATTGTGACAAACGATGTCAACGTTACGGGTACGGCAACGGGAACGACTACAGTTGCGGAAATCGTCCGCAAAGATCATGTGATCCTAAATCCCCAGATACTGCAGCTGAGTTTTATTCTGTTACCATCGCACGTAGACAAGTCCAAGGAATCGGTGGCGGACATCATTTCTAGAATGAACGCTCTGAGGGAGAAGAACTCGTTCAAATTTGACATGAACGGTACAACGTTTAATATTGTCCACGTGGACAAAAAGGACCCTGAGCGGAAGAATACATTCTGTAAATTTGGAGTCATGGACATGTTTTTCAACAACGATTTCGAGATCGTAAAAGACATAAAAGCTGACGGAAGTTCGCCTGTGACGCGTGTGTACATTCCTTCAAGCAACGCCCTGTACGCACCCGGCGAATACGATTTGACCCTTCTTGTAGAGGGTAATCTAGGCTTCAAATCCAATCTCACTGGAGTTGCCGGTTACGTTTTTGTCTGCATCAACCCACGGATTGTTAACCGGAATTGCGCTCAGATTAAAATTTCTCCCGAGGAGTACAAACTATTCAAAAATAAGTCCATTTTGTTTAACGAGGAAACGTACAACATGACCCAATATTCCGTTCTAGATGAGCTTCGCGGAGACTTGGAAATATGCGTACCGGATGCATATTACAAAAATGAAGAACTTCGTCGACGCCATCATCGTTTTATTCAGAGCTGTCACGATGGTTTCAGGGATTTCACACAGGCTGAGGGATACATAACGGCTATAATTGGTAGGTTGTCAGTAGTCGCCTTGTGTTCCGTTCTGGTTACGTATTGGTTGTTCAAATCATTGAGGAATCTTCCAGGTATCAACACGATGAACCTCACCTTGGCCTTGCTGATTGGAGAAACCATGTTTATTGAGGGAGAGTCGTCTGCTATACCTTGGGTCTGCTCATTGGTCGCCATATCCGTACACTATTTCTTTCTTGCGTCCTTCTTTTGGATGAACGTTATGTCGTACGACGTTTACAAAACATTTGCGAACAAATGCATCTTGACGCGGATTAGAGGAACGAAAAAGTTTTTACCACGATATGCAATGTATGCTTGGGGTTCACCCGCCATCATCGTGGCGCTCTGTGTATTTATCGAATATGGAAATGTGTTCGGATCGTTTAAGATTGGTTACGGACAAAACATGGATATGGCGACCGGAAATGACAATGTAACGGAAGTGTACAGTAATGATACGAACGAGACTTATGGCGTGAATCACTATTCAGGGTGTTGGATTACTCGTCCGGTTGCTGCTCTGATAACGTTCGGGTTGCCCATCATGGTTATTTTTGTGATCAACACTGTGTTCTTTATACGAACTATTATTTGCATCCAAGCTACAGCCAAACTGGCTCATCATACAACGAGGCGAACATTTAGTCACATGACCGGAAAGAGTGACGTTATGTTGTATGTGCGCATGTCTACGGTCATGGGCTTCACGTGGATTTTTGGGCTGGCGTCGTCCATTATAAGCTCTATTTTTACCAAGCCTGATCAGACTGTGTGTATGGCCCTACGGATTTTAAGTATTCTTTTCACAGTGTTCAATTGTGGACAGGGATTGTTCATCTTTTTCGCTTTTATCTTTAAAAGACGGGTTTTTTATTTATACAAAGGATTGTTCAAACGAATAAAAACGTCCATAGCCAAACGGAAATTTAAAAAACTTTATGCATCGTCGTCCAATACCATCTCAACTGTGACGTCACATATCTGAGCGACACAACAATATTATTTTATATTTTTTCATATTTATTGGGGCAAACATTACGAGAAATGTGCACAGAACCCCGCTATAGCAAAATATGTAAATAAAAGGTGATTTGTAAATTATGTACATACTGACATCTGTAAAATAAAGAAAATATTAGCCAATGTCTTCCTATTATATGTAAGAATATCGCGCCGTATATGGCTGTCATAGTGAATGTAATGGCATATCTCGACGTGTTTGGACTCGAATATTGCGCCTTGTATGGGATTGAATTTAGAGCCATGCTTGAGACAGGAATATCGCGCAATGCTTGGAATTGGAATATCGCGCAGTGCTTGGGATTGAAATGTCGCGCCGTACGTGGGGTCTACAGCTACGATTTGTAAATTGGAAGGAGTTACGTCATGAAAATCTTCTGAAGATGTTTCCGATATCTTTAAAATCCGTATATACCGTCTATTATTCCGTCCAATTGTTGCAGAAAGACGTAAAACTCGATTTCATTTAGAATCTGCATAAGAAACATTTGACAACAGAAACATATCTGGTGGAAAACTGAAAGTACAAAAACTGCTAATGAGAATCCTGATGTGAAAGTATTTGAGATTTTGTATTGAAATTAAAAAATCTAATAGGAGACAATCCAGCTGCGTTCGCAAAGAAAGACGAAATTGTAAAAAAATCGAAAATTAAATTTGATAACGTTATATCCTAATCCACGAATTTACTTCCTCGAAAATGTATGATTTTACAGCGTATGTTATAACGTTAGGACACCCTTCCCCACAGTATCCCCTCACCGTTATCCCCCGGCACTAAAGGGAGGGAGGGGCGGTTTTGCTAGTATACCCAATAATCTGATCCATGCGCGGCAGTGAGATAACTCAGCCGATAGTGAGCTGGGTTGTCGTCTGCAAGGCGATTAGGTGCCGTGGGTTTGAGTCTCAAAGTAAGGAAAATTCGGCTAGTGCGACAAAGTGTCGGATTCAACCCGTATAACCTTATAGCTTCCTTTCGCCTATAGACTTATCTCCCCTTGCTATCAAGTTCTGAAACAAAACCACAAGTAAATTAAATTAGATATTCTATACCAATTTCAAGGCAAGGATGAAAAAAAGATACAAAAGAAATGTGAACTCACGAAAGGTGAAGAATGGAAGATCAGATTAAATTATATGACCCAACAAAAACGATACAAAGGGAATGCAAAACCACTAATTCTAAATAAAAAATGTCAAATAAAGGCTTAGAAAGGAAAAATAAATTCTAAACAAAATTAGTCAAATGAATATGTGAGGACCAGATATGATAATATGAATCACCTCGTATGGTTGTTTTAGTAGTTAGTTACTTGCCAAGAAACTCGGCAATGGAGACACCATGTTTTACGAATCTGCTTCAGTTCTTTCTGACATTTCTGATCATAAAACCGTCTAATTCGAAAATCATTAAATGGTCCTCTGATTTAAGCAAATTTCCGCATCCTCCGGAGTCGTTCGGGAATCTACGGGAATTGGCGAGTGAATTCCAAGGATGGGATCGACTAGCCGAGTTAAATGGTTGGAAAAAAGTTCCTGACAATTTCAGTGTTAATGGAACGGCATTGGAAGCAGATGTCGAGCCTTTGGAATGTGTTCTTCACTTCGAAGGTAACTCTTGCTTCAACTCGTGCGGTATGTTTCGAAGTTTTTTTTGCTCCTGCGACGAATTTTGCTACATTTACCACTCTTGCTGCAACGACTACGAACAGAATTGTCTGAATGAAAGTAAACGTAGCTTAGATCGTTATGGCAAGTTCATTGGAGTTCCTATAGATTGTATCTCTTTGAAAGTCGGTTATGACGTAATTTCCGGTTGTCCAGAAGCGGCAAACGTCACCCTGTCGCAAAGATGCAGGGAGGCGGGAGCAGAACCGCTGTCCGTAATCCACACTGGACTTCATTTTAAGAATATTTTTTGCATGCAATGTTTTGATGTGAACGAACCAGTAGAGAAGTGGAAGATCGCCGTTGGAATGGACAGACGAGGCAAACGTTCCGCAAAGTCTTTCGATCTCAGCATGCTGTTCCGTAATCAAATTACGCAAACGCACTCGTGGGAATTTACGTCCAAGTATCTGACTCGACAGTGTGTTCCTGGGGCGATCAGCAGGTGCCCGAAGAATACACCAATCAAAGAACAGAAACTTTGTGACTATGCTCGGCATCCTTTTAAACTTCAGTATCAAGGCAGCACGAATCTGGAACTGTACAATAACGCATTTTGTGCGGATTGTAATTCCCGTTTTCTCAAAAATGTTTCTCATTGTTCCTTCCTGGGTAACGAGTATTTCAGAACAAGTAACTCTCATCTGTTCAAAATTCTGATGTCTCTGGAATCGCCCGACAGCATCATTGTAACCACCATAGAAAAGACGGCCCTCTTTCCATGGTCGAAGATCAAGTGTAACAGTATTGTGGATGACGTACCAACAGGTTGTCACATAATGGACTGCAAGGACTCTTACGAATTCGTTAACGGCGAGTGCGTTAGAAAGAAGATCGAATATTCAGAGTGCTTTTTGTTGAATTTTTTATTAACGAAGGAACAAGCGGCCGATCCGAATTTCGAAAAATTTATCAATGACATTTTAGTGGTCACTGAAGACTTTCTGAAAGGGATGAATTTAACGATTCAGAATTACACCTTGGATTCCGCTCCGTTGCTAATGTCCGGAAACGTAAGGATCGTATTGCGCTACAACTTGGTGTGGAAATGGATTCCAGATATCAACGTCTTCATCTCCTACGTAGATTATTTGGAAAGCCGAAAGGAAATTTTTGATTTAAAGGGAGAATTAGGTATCTGTACTGGCTCTCCGGATATATTAATGTGTTCGATGGCCAATTGTTTTTTGCTGTCGCACAATAAGACCATTCGTTTAGGTGGCGATATTGAAATTAGCACTGCCATGGCCAGGTCCTCTGTCAGCTGGCATAATTTCGTTATGATTCTTTTTGTTGTGTTGGTAATTGAATAATAATAATTTAAGTGGACACGATTTTTCAATAATGAACTTGAAAGGAGATCCGTGACTGAAAAACCCATGTCTTCTTCGAAAGGGATGTCAATATTTTTCAAACCATTATCTATCTGAAAAGCCATATTGTATTTAATTTGTACCCAATTTGTTTCCTTTTAATAAATAAATTTATGGATCCCTGAGGAACTGAAATTGTGATTGCCTAATTTTATTATGTCGATTACAAAAACGTATAAAACTTTACATACATTGCATAATTACAATACAAGACGATACGTAGCAGCGTTATTAAGCATGTAACTTATAAGTTATAATTCTATATAATGTCCGCGTTGGGCTTCCGTATATAATAGATTTATATGGTGAGCTCCGCCGTTACTCTCGATTTTGCGGTATCTTCTGAGCATTTAAAAATTTCAAAATGCAAACTGTATGTGAGAGTAATTGAAGATATGCACGTAATATTTCCAACCCATAATGATAGGGAAAACGTAATTGTGGAAGGCCAACGCAGCCATTACGTATTCAATCATTAATCGAGAAATTGGACAGAATTAAAGAATAAGATCAAAAGTCATAACGTTTAAGAATAAAATCACAGCAGTATGTATATTTACATGAAAAAAAGAAGAACCATCCAATTCCTCAAATACGGCCAGGAACCACAGTAATAAAACGAAAGTAGTCCTACAAAAGGGGAGTAGTTCCAGACGGCAGTTTTAAATAACAGGTTGCTCCGATTGAATTTTCTCAGGAACATAACACGAATCTGGAATATGGTCTTGGTCTGAAACGATATAAGATTTTAATAAAAAGTTTTACGTCAATGCAACTCTTTCCCCACTGTCTCTGCTTGGTAAATAATTCAACCCCGACTGAGTTTCCTCATTGCTCACTTTACTCCATCCGATATTCAAGATGGGACACCTTATGGCTAAGCAGAGTCTTTCCTCAATGCCAGTCCTCCAAACAGCCCCGTCACCATGAATGAATTGGTGCTGGGGCTCAGATTTTGTGCTCAGAATTAAGAATTGGAGGTCTAGAGAACTAGTTTCTGACAATTTTGAGGTACCAAAAAGTCTAAGTCTATATCTTTTTAGTTTTGTACAGAGACACTGTAATTTGTAAAATGAATCAATAAATCGTCACACACGGACCCCACCCAAACGACGGGGCTGCCTCCAAAGCATACATTGTTTCGTCACTGTCCTTGCAAGGTATATAATTCAACTTCCGATGAGTTATCCCGAATTCCTCCTTTTCTCCAGATGATCTTAGGGTATCCTAGAAACAGTATTAGAAGTACCCTGGAATACGGGGCCTCAACTTATCCCCCGATGCTTACCATTTGGGATGTTGGTGTTCAAGATGGTTTCAGGGCACGATTTGGGGAAGTAGAAGACGCTGTGTACAGTCCACTGACTGATGGAAGACAGTGGATTACGGTGTAAGAATGAAACCACAGCGACTGTTACGGCTAACGTAGCGTTGATAATAGACACCATATAGATGATGGTCCTGACTATGTCTACGCCTATCATTTCTCTCTTTTCTTCTGCTACATACTTCCAAACTGGAATGAATGAATGAATGAATGGATGAATGAATGACCGCATTCACGAATGAGCGCATGAATGAATGAATGATCGAAAAACCAATCTGTCAATAGATTCGTTATAGTCGCCCAGCTGACGAAGCTGCGTTTCACCTCAAATTCAAAATCTGTATTACTTTAAAAGTCGACTCCGACGCAAGGTTTCACTAAAATTCAACAATAACTAATGCTTCAACTTTCCAATGTGCATCAAAAAAACACGCTGCTTTTCTTTGAATTTTGACCATGATAACTTCAGGGCCTTCTTGACTTGGAACAACAAAAGGCACAACCCAAACCAAAAAACCACCCCTCCTCTCAGTATACCTACAAGTGTGTCTCTTGCTCTCAACAGCAATGGCGAAATCGGAGTTGGTGAAATGGGATCGTGTCAGTCGGAGATGAAGTTCTTTGTTCTCCGAGCAGAATTCATCGTTTTCTGTCACCTCACTCATACAATTAAAAGTCTGAAAAAGACAATGAACTTTATGAAAGGAATTCCGAATTGAGAAAAATCATTGCTAAGTATCATTAGGTGTTCTGGAAGAGTAAGAATATCTTAAAGATACCTGCCGCAAGCGTACCCTTTCCTAATTTCCGACTGTCGAGGGATCTAATATGCAGAGACCCCCTCCCTTACTTAAATTTGTAATCATTGATTTCTTAAATTCCCAAATGCCCGGTTTTTCGCCACTGGCGATCAACTGTACATAAAGTCCTCTAATTTGTACCTCATTATGGTTCCAGTGTGGCTGAAGAAGATTCGTAACCACCACACTCATGTCACAATCCCTAATCGGCTTCACAAACCGTAAGCAAATTTCTTCATATTCGTCGGAGGCGGTAGAGAGGAACGTGACGTCACAGACGCCCGGAAGTTCTTTGGAAATGTGGGGTCGACGATGGGAAAATACCATCACTTTTTCTCCAGAGCCTAACTTATGTTGAACATCACAACTTAGCTTGGAATCCATGTAATCTGAAAAAAAAACAAGGGCAGTAATACAATTATTGTTCGGACTACAATTAAATAATGTAAATAAATTAAATTAAATAATTGATGCACTGCATGGCAGTACTGCTCAGGAGACCAATAGGATTTCAAACGACCCCTAGCTTCTGGTGCCATCTTTTAGAATCGCTGTATTAAATAGACCTTGACACACTGACATTCTGGTAACTGGCGAACACACTGTAGACATGCCCCAAAAGACCAGTTTTCAGTTGTATTCCTGAAATTGAGACATAGCTTTACGTCCCTATAGCCCGTAGTAGCAGTAGAGTACTTACATATTCGTCTTATATGTGATATAGGCACTGCCTGGACCTTCATCGAGAATTTCAAAGACGGGCCGTCAGGAGCGGACTGTTCCGTGAACTTGACTCTGACTGAAATTGTCACCAATGATTCTGATGTACACCATTCACCAGTTCTAGCATGGCGGTTGTCGATTTTCTGAAACGGAAATTAGATGAAGTTTTACGTCCCGGGGCTACTGTTTTTGCTTTGAATTGGGAAATGCCTCTGAATGGTCAATGGATACTTCATGAATTTTCTTGAGGCCTCGCCTCTCATACCTGCGTTTTTTTAGATACAGCCCTGAACAACCCCAAAGTATTCTACGTCCCCTCCAGCCTCTTACCTTATCAGGTTCATAAGTGTTGGTCTGAAAGAGTATCTCGACATCCTTGGACAGCGCTACGTCCATGACAGAGATACAGAGACCATGGTCGACCATACCAGTTATTACAGAGACCGAGCATTCTTCATGGCGTCTGAAATCAGAGTGGTCTATGTCGGTTGACTTTAGGTACAGATTGTCGTACAGGTCCACGTCTACTAGAACCCTCGGGCATCTTTTAGTCACACCCACATATACTGAAAGGAAATTTAATGAAGTTTTACGTCTTGCTGTTCTTTAAGTTACTAATGCATTTGATAAGATTTCTTTTCTTTTCTTTTCTGATACGCTATGGTAGACAACGCCAAGCAGTGTGCGATGGAACTGAAAGTTGAAATGTCATTCTGTAAAGCAATATGGAAGTTGATTAGCCATAAAATAATGAACAAACTTACTTGTGTGGTTATTCTGACAAAAAACAGCCGAAATATAAAACAAACAGTAGAATAATATCCCTGGAATAGTTAGAAAATCCATTTTAAATCTGGCTATCGTAAAATCTTGTGGAAGTTTGGCTGTAAGTTGTTGCTGCAAGTCCGTTAGTCCGTTCCGTCCTGCAACTCTGTTTGCTACAAATCCGGACAAACTCCAAGACGCTTATACTAATCCGTCTTGGAAATCTTGTATGCGTCGTTTTTCGGTTGCGTCCCGAAACACTGCTTCGGGTCGCCTATTCCGTTCCGTTCTGAATATTCCGCTACAAGTCCGTGTTTCCGTTCCGTCTGACTAGTGGCCAATAAAAGGAGAATCTGATTCTTTACAGAATTCCAATAAATCGAATCTTCTTCATTAAATCCATTGGCACTTCTCCAAAGTATTAAAGCGATTAGGTCTCAGGTATGTGATTGGTTGACAAGAATGGTGGGGGCAACAGTTAATCAACATTTAAACGCCACGCAAGCCGATAAGCTTCTTTAGGAATAGTTGATTTATCACTATCAGCAGGATTAGCTCCTCTATTCGTTTTTTTAGCAGTGATATAACCACTATTGTGGTATCTGTGGCTTTTATCTAGAATTGGTAAGCGAAATTATCGGGGGATAGTTGCTTTATATCCCGTGTGATACCAGTCCGTCAGCCACTTTGGTATCGCCACCATAGATATGAAGAGGGCAGTACAGGGTTGGCCGCTTTAAGCATACCTAATACGACAAATATTGGGCTATCTGTATGTTTATCTAAACATTGATTAGCATAATTAGCTCCTGTACTGTTTTCTTGTTATTGTAATGAGCAACTGAAATTTGACTGCTGGAATAATTTGTGTCAGATCGGAGACAGTAACAGTCGCTAATCAATATTCAATGAATAATAAACATTCCTTCTGATAGCTGGCTTATTTTCTCATTAACATTTGATCCTCTAGCTCGGCTAGTTCGATTTTACTGATATAAGAAATCGAATGTCTCCCATACTAGGAACTGAGATCTATGGAGTTTTACGTCCGACTGAAGATAATGGTTCAGAAAAATGACACGTCATACTTTTCTCGACCTGATTTGGCCAATGAAGACGGTCGACAAAAGGTATTATCTCAACATATGTCGGGATTTAACCCTGGACCTTCGGGTAAGCGGACAAGTACTACTGAACCACCGCCATCCTACCACCCACCAGGGAAAGATTCAATCTAGGGATAGGTTGAGATAGAACATTCGGAATTTTAACCCAGTCTCCACCTGGTAGACATGCTAGCTGCAGGGGTTGATTGTCGTTCATAAGAATCATTTGGTGGAATTTGGATTACCACATAACGGTCAAGTTCGAACTGACAGGCTTTTGGGAGAAAGGGGCAAATCCTGGATAGTGTGAATTCATGGAGCTCTTCCATCCCTACTCCTCACCCTTAACCCTCTTTATCCCGTAGAAACACCACTGTGACTGACAGAATATTAACGCCTCGGAGATCGGAGATAGGATATTTATTATAATAACATATATCATCTTTCTTAAGATCGCTGTGTCACTCTACGTCACTTCCGATTTCTATTTAAAAAGATATTCGTGTCCACTTGGACATCTAATTTCCGGGTCAAAACGGCTGTTATTTTTTTACTTAGTCATTTAAAACGTTTACGTATGTCCTTTCACAAGCCCTTCGATGCGGTCGTTGATTTTAAGGTGGGTGAAGTGTATTATCTCCATACCCGACCGGGATGTTATAGCTGACTAAATCAAGTAAATAGTTGCACATTGTCGGCGTTCGAAAGCATTGACCCACCACAGTTTAACCCAATTTACAAACTAGGCTACTGAACATTTATTATGGCAAGAGTGAGACACCCGAAAGAACTGGACGTGGATTTAGAAAAATCATTTCAGGTGATCGTCGTCTACCAAACGATATACATTGATGAAAATTCCGTAAATTCCCTAAGACTGTGTCATATCAAAAAAGAGGTTAGAGGTCTCAACGGCCCCGAAATAGCTCAATAAAAAATAACGATTCATCAGTAATAAATCACCATACCGTATTTCATAAGAAAATTAGGTCTATAATTCTTAGTAACCCCCTTTCCCATCCAACATAACGGTTTCTCTGTAAATATTAAGATATAAGCTTGGTATTTACAGAGAATAGCAATATCATGGCAAATCCACTAATTGTTCCGGACATGCTCGGTTATTTCCAATGAGTTATTTCTATTTCTGAAGGAGGAAGTGTAGGCGTGTTATATTTTGTATTGACTTGAGTCAAATAAACGGTAATTGTTTATTCAATGAAATATTAGAGGTATTTCTAGTATTGAACCCTTAGAACAACAAACCAATCTTTCCAAATTTTCATTCTCAGTGAAGCGTTTGTTCCATTCTAGGTCTGTAAGTTTGAGAGAATCAAACCTTATTTCCACGAAACACAATAGTTCCTTGTCCGACTTTCAGAGCCGAGGATGAAAGGGATTTTTAGGGCCCTTGGATATTATTAGCAACATTGGCGATAGTGACGTCATAAAACACTTAGTTTCAATGGAATTGCGAGAAGCACAGACGTCTGAATGAAAATTTGAATAATGGAAATCGATGCTATCAGTGTCACCGATACACATACATAATTTAGAGAACCTCTTACAGTCCCTTTAAGATTCTTCGCCCCCCCCCCCCCCCACCTCCTGTAGTTACGGGCCAAATGCTTATTTCTTTTATATAGCATATTCTATAATATATATAATATACATGCAGTACAGTATAAACAGTATATTCGATGACTATTATCCAGCTTTCGTGGAATTTTACCCGGGAAATAAAAGTATGGAAATAACATTCTTGTTAGTAAAACTGATTTTCCGAGAAAACCGGATACGTTCTAATCATTACAAACCTACTCATGGACCATAAGCATCCGGGTTATACGTCTGCTGACCATGAGAGGTATAAAACCGCGGGCTTTGTTCACGTCTGCTCATAGTTTAAAAAAATATACGCAGGTATAACGTAGTGGTATATAGAATAGTAACAGCGCGTGCTATTTTCGAACAGGTAAGTACGAATATAGTGACATTTTGTTTGAAATTTGGGATTTAAACAACGAATTAGCAATTGACTTTTTTATACAACAGGGCAGTTGAGCAAAGAATTGGATATTTACAAGAGTTAAGGGACAGATGTAGACAGTAACGGGTCATCTTTAGGCCAACATTCGGCTTCGATTTTTGTATGCTACAGTATTCATTTGTGACTACAATGAATTTGTGTTAATGTACGATTAGACTGTAGGGTACGTTTCGGCATTATCGAAAAGTAGCGAATCGTATCTGCACTGTGTCCGGGCTTGTACCTAATGTAGACCTAGTCGTTTCCTTTATTTTCTACTGTATCGATTATCCTGCATCGTACACGTCCATGGACACCGTACCTCGTCGATTCGCGGTTAGAGTCGGAAAAACGTAGGATCAAATCGGGTCTGCATCGTGTCTAGACCTGTACATCGTGTATTCGTTTCTTCCATTTTCGATAATCCCATACCGCACGCCACAGTGAACACTAGACCTCGCCCATTCGATTCAATATATAGGATTCGCGTATTTTCATGATATGAAATAGGGTTCTACGTCCTACACTAAGTCTTATGCTCCTTGTTGGTTTAACGCCATGCAGTGTTCAATAGGGAACTTTTGTCAAGACTGAGTTATTGACCTTGATTGTTTTTCCGTCATTAGCCTCGATTGTTTTTTGTTCATTAGCCTCGATTGATTTTCGATAACCATCGATCGACAGACCGTTAATGTCCAAAGACTAGCACAGTGCTGTTGGTATACTATTAGGGCCTTCATGGTCTTCTCAATGTGTCCAGTATAATAGTATTTTGAAGTATCTTCAAGTGAAAAAATTGATGATTTTAGTACCTTAAATGTTTCGTTTTGCGTTTTTCTAAGGGTTCCCACATACTCCATCCATGATCTGACAAAATTCTTCTCTTAAATCGTGTTCAAGAAAATTCTGTCATAATTTATGCTAGAAGTGCGCCCTATCCTCCCTCAAAACAGAAAAAAAAGTACTGTAAGAAAGTGCACAAGACGCCATCAAATACTTTCTGAAGGTCATGTGGACAAGAATTTGAAAAATGTGGCCGAAATAAAAAATCGGACAAGTGACATATTCTCACGATTGTCATAATGTAGCTAATTACTTCCGCCATCTTTGCCGCATATTTTGAGTTTTTACAGGTCACTATTTAAACTTCCGACATTTAAAAATAATCTTGACCTTCAGCGTTGACATGTTCACGTATCTTAAAGTGAACCCTTACATATTTTTAATGGTACGGGTCAAACTAACCAATGCAAACAACCATAAACAATGGTAACCAAACCATTTTTTGCTCTCTTGTTCGCTTTGTTAGCATTTTTAAGTCGCATCGTTTTGTACGTGACATTCTGTGCATCTTAATGATCCCCCAATGCACCTGTCTTGTCTTGTTAACCCAAGAATTAAACTACATACATAAATATTGTTCACTCTTTTTCTTCAGAAGACAAAAAAAAAGATGGCAGCCACAAAACCAGAAGGTGTCAAAGTTGAAATCGAGTCTGAACACGCTCAAGGAAAACTTCCAGCCATTCATTTTCACGACAAGAAAAACCCGAGTACCATTGGAGTGATTATCTTACAAGAATGGTGGGGAATAAACCAACAGATTCAAGACGAAGCCGCAGATATCGCCGCAAGAGGAGAATTTTCAGCCCTGTGTCCCGACCTTTATCGAGGTCAGGTGGCTACGGATAATGAAAATGCCGGTCACTTGATGAATAATTTGGACTGGCCCGGCGCCATTAAAGACATCCAAGCCTGTGCTAAGTTTCTTCTAAGTAATGGCTGTAAGAAAGTTGGGGTGACAGGATTCTGTATGGGAGGGGCTTTAAGTATGGCCGCAGCTGCCCTTGTTCCAGAAATAGGTGCTGCTGTCCCATTCTATGGAATTCCCAGTCCTGAATTAGCCGACCCCAGCACCATCAAAGTTCCATTACAGTGCCATTTTGGCGATTGTGATGAACAGAAAGGCTTCTCGGCACCAGAGGACCAAAGTAAACTCGTATCCAAATTGAAAGCAGGAAATGTTCCATATGAGTTCCACTCGTACAAGGGTGCCGGTCATGCCTTTACCAACACCACTGGTCCAAACTATAATGCCGAGTATTACGAAGAAGGACTCAGAAAAATGTGCGACTTCTTCAAAAAACATCTCTTATAGACATAAATTCTTTTAATCCTAAGACTTTTTATTATTATTTTACTGTTGGCTTATATTTGTATGTTTTTGTTCCCATAAAAAATGTTAAAATCAAAGTTTTGTTCTCAAAGTATTCTCTTTTAGGCCTCGTCTTGAATCCTGTCATTCCAGGTGAACATAAACAGATTATGAGTTATGACGTCAGTATCGCAAACACCATTTAAACCTGATAAAATTCTGATAAAGAAATGTTGATAAGCGTCAAGGGAAAGAGAGTGTCAGACCGACAAATTTGTCTCTAGCAGTCCCTCAGGTGTGATTTACTGATATGATTTAGTCACATGATATACGGATGTAATTTGGTCACGTGATGTACAGATGTAATTCCATCACCTGATATACGGATGTAATTTGGTCCCGTGATATGCGGATGTGATTTCGTCAAGGATGTGATTTCACCAGGCTCGTAATTCACGTCTGAGGAACCGGAAGGTATAGTTTTGTCGGGCTAGGTGCAAGAATAAACTAAATGCTTCGCTGATAAACAAACAAAGACTTTCTTCCAAATAGACAAGTTTACCGATTTGCGAAAATTCATTGCAATATTCATCAAACAAAATCCAAAGACATACAGTAAATTTTACAACTGACAAATATAATAAGCATCTAAGTCGTGGTGCGTGTCTGACATTTCATATACACCGTTACTCGATTTCCTCAAATACACAAACTCTTTGGCAGAAACATTATCTGGTTCTCCTTCCGCCCAAAAAAACGCCGTCATATTTTCTCCGTTGTTAAATTTCCAAACTCCCTCCACTTCGGCATCGTTTCCGTCAATCCAAAATTTCTTGGATGCATAATCTACAAAATATGACAAATGAATGTAAACCGCTGATGTGACAACAAGGCACATCAGGGCTATATTGATAATGATGATTGATAATGATGATGCTGATTAGAATCAATGATGGTTGGTAACGATGATGTTGGTAATGATTTGTAACGATGTTGAGGAAGATAAATACGATTATTGATGATTGTTGTTGATAATGTTTGTTGGAAACGATTCTTAATGTTTGATGGCGATTGATGATGATTGGTTACGACAATGGTTGTTGATGATGATCAATATTTGTTGAATGATCAATATTTGTTGAATGATGATTGTTAGTAACGATGATGGTTGGTAATAATGATGGTTGGTAACTATGATGGTTGATAACCATGATGGTTGGTAACTATAATGGTTAGTAACAATGATGGTTGGTAATGATGATGGTTGGTAACTATGATGGTTGGTAATTATGATGGTTGGTAACTATGATGGTTGATAACGATGATGGTTGGTAACTATGATTGTTAGTAACAATAATGGTTGGTAACTATGGTGGTTGATAACAATGATGGTTGATAACAATGATGGTTGGTAACTATAATTGTTAGTAACGATGATGGTTGGTAATGATGATGGTTGGTAACTATGATGGTTGGCAATGATGATAGTTGGTAATGATGATGGTTGGTAATGATGATGGTTGGTAATGTTGATGGTTGGTAATGATGATGGTTGGTAATGATGATGGTTGGTAATGATGATAGTTGGTAATGATGATGGTTGGTGATGATGATGGTTGGTGATGATGATGGTTGGTAACGATGATGGTTGGTAATGATGATGGTTGGTAACTATGATGGTTGGCAATGATGATAGTTGGTAATGATGATGGTTGGCAATGATGATAGTTGGTAATGATGATGGTTGATAATGTTGATGGTTGATCATGGTTGTTAATGATCTACGTTGAATGATGATGATGGTGCTGATTGGGGATCAATAATTTTGACGGAGTGAATCAGAAGGTTTTAATAAGGCTCTATCTATTGTTAGGCGAATATTTGGACTGTATTCTGTATTCATTGAGATCATTAGCTAAAAAACCATGTGGGTTTTAAATATTCATCATGTTGATCGATTTTGTGTAATTAATTGATTTGTTCTCTTTTGTTTCATAGAAAATTATTTTCGAAAAGTAGGGTATTGGTATTCAAATATTTGAGCAACAAAAAATATTCAGGTAACTGAACCACAAATCCAATACTATTAAAATATTATCTTGCTTTTCTATTTCTTAAAGACAATATACACTTTTCTAATAGATCTGATGTAATTTTTTTAAAACTTAAAGCGTTCATCCATTTAGACTTTTACCTTTAAACATAGACGTTGATATGCATGGGACAAATTGTTTCTTGATATCTTTGAATTAGTGCTTTGATTGTAGACAATCCTCTAGTTTTGAACTGTTTAACCTCGATAAAGGTGATCCAGTATAAAAAGGGGTTGTAAAGAGATTTTGTAAACTTTTTTATGTGTATTGAAGGCTGGGGGTCTGAGCTATTTTGGCACCTTTTAATGCACGTATCTCTTACTTTTATATTGCAATAACAACAAACGTCTGACCGGAAAATGAAATGGGGCAAATTGAAAAAAATCTTTTTACAGTCCCTTTAATTAAATTACCTGTTGATGCACTTAGTTGGTCTGATATATGTTTATAGTCCTCTGTCGTTTTACCTCGTACCAAAACGGAGCCATTAACCACACAAGAGTTTGTGGCTATCTCAAAATCTTCACAATATGTTTCTATATAAGGTTTATAGCATAAGTCAAGTTTCCTGTTTCTGATGAAGTCGACAGGACAACCCTCTGAAAGGTACAGGATATTCACCAATTACAGGCCTATATGACATGCAAAAGCCAGGGCCAAAGTTGTCAATCACAAAACGATTACATGGGCGGGGCCATGAGTGCCAGTCAACATATTCCTATACATTTGCAATAATGACAGTGATGTAACGTCGTCGTGAGGGTATTGCTGAACGTATGACGTCATCGTGAGATATTGCGGAACGTATGACGTCATCGTGAGATATTGTAGACGATTTCTGATTCTGATTTCTACGCGTTTCGAGTAACACTTTTCCACTAAACTTCGAATCATGCGTTTATGTGGAAAAATCAACTAGAATTGTTACAAACCTTCATAAAGACTGTAATATTTGGTTCCACTTTCCTCTTCCCCGTCCCCTGGGGTGATGAACTCCACTGAATTCGTCTGACATCTTTTCTGGTTTTGATTATAAAAAAACGACACGCAGTTCAGATCGCGAACACAACGATATACGCAAGTGGTCACCGTTTCTGTGTTATTCACTTGCTCCAAGACAAATTTTCGTATTATTTTATTGTCGAATTCTGATTTTTTGATTAAAAATGTCGTGTTTGTGTTGATTGTTTCCATAAAATATATAAATAACAAAACAACGGATATAAAATATGTTTTCTCCATCAACCTTAATCAATCACTGACAAAAATTATATAAAACTTTTATGCGTTCTAATTCCAACTACGCGGGTGGTCCTTGAATGACTAACGGTCTAATTTTTTCATCACTTTCAAAACTTTGGAAAATTGAAAAGAATATTATAACTTCTTATGAGGCCCGGATCAAACTCAACTTTTCACTATCATTGCTTCTATTTTTTCATCAATTTCATTGAAAACATTACTCCCGCAAAAATTCAACAAAAATGTTATAACTTTCTTGGGTCTGGATCCATTTTTACTTGTGGTAGCTATAGTCTCGGTCTTCCAACATCGTCAATCATCGATTTTGAAATAAGTTAAAGTGCGACCCCTAGAAAAAGTCGATAATTATTTTCTTTACCAGTCTTAGAAGTCTAAAGTTGGGAAATAGACGATGTCCGGTGCGGGATTATCGATACAGTAGAAAATAGTAAAAGCGAATCGTGTTCTGGCTCGTACCTTAACTTGTTGTTCCACTTGTTACATTTTCTACTGTATCGATAATCCGGCACCGGACACCGTACATCGTCTTCTCCTAGATTAAGAAAATTACATACTTAACAAATTATAGGTGGATAGAAAACGGATAGTTGCTCACTGGACAGTTGCTTACTGGACAGTTACTCACAGGACAGTTGCTTATTGGACAGTTGCTCACAGGACACTTGTTCACTGGACAGTTACTCACAAACAAGTTGCTTACTGGACAGTTGCTCACTGGACAGTTGCTCACAGGACAGTTACTTACCGGACAGTTGCTCGACGGACAGTTGTTACATATATATAACCAAATAACCTGAAAATACTCAATTGAGATCAAAGAAAATTACAAGAAACGTTTAAATAAAGGCTTTATAATCATTAAGAAATCTTAACTTGGTCTACTTAGTCCCATTTTTTTTTTCTTTCTGGGATGGCTACTTTAACAATTTGTAATAATCAAGTTATGAATCAAATTACAACACTTGATGTTTATATGCCACACTTTTTCTAATTACATGTACTCTATACAAGTTGAAACAATGCCTCCGTACTTAAAGGGGTAGTGCGCATTTTTTTTTGACCAATAATACTTTAGTCTCAGAAACGGGAATATTTTAGCTAAGCCAATCAGTAATACAATCCACAGCTCACTGTCAAAATTTGGGCCTTCAAATCCATGTGTGTTCAGAATTATCTGCGATTGAATGTTAAAATGGCGACTTGTCAATTTTGATACTTTGTGATATGTTTAAAAAACACATATAGAAATAGTTTGAAGAATTTTTAAAGGAGTTGTGATTTATGTAAGTGTCTAGTACTTCTGAAGACTATTTACATAATATTCACGACTAAAATCAACCCCATAAAATACCGGACCTGAAACCAGTAGGATGGGAGTACAAATAGGGGAAAGACTGACTCAACGTATACAAGTTATATTTTAATATTTGTTAAGAAATAAGGTGTGAGTACAAATAATCATTTTTCTAATTGACACCCCCACCCTTTCTGTACCCCAACTGGTGCCGCCATTGATTGAGTCAGATGGTAATTAATGCACTTGATAATCAAGTATCAATTAGGCTTTTGAGGCACTAAAGCAAACAGTCGATAAGTACAAAACTGGTTTTTGTAACAATGTCAAAATAACTTTTTCTTCTTCAACTATTCTAACAAAAGTAATAGTGTTTTCACTACAAGAACTGTAAACAGCTCCGAACGTCGCACCAGTCTTTTTCCAGTGGCATTTCGTACCTTTTGGGACTTAACACCAGTTGCATATCCCTCTTAAAAATTCTTTTAATCATCTGAACTCAAGAATCATTCGGCAGTCCACGGCAGTTTCCATGAAGCTGCATCTGTTACAGAGCAATAAGCGTAACTTTCACGGTAGACCGTTTGCTACAGAATTTAACAAGATACTGGATTTGTTTTATAATTTGAAAAGCTGTCCAGCATGTCACATATCATTTAATTGAGGATAAAGAGTACATTCTGATTATGAAAATCATATTTATGTGAGATGGATACATTGAAAGTTAAAATTTGAGCCATATTTGTTCATGCATTTTTGTGTAATCGTTATCAGAAGAAAAGGAGGTGAAGCTCATAGTTCAGGAGTCCGTCAATCGCCCAAGACGGGTAAAACTTTGTTTTTGTTTTTTAAAATCACATATACGTCCATTCTCTGTAAAGAATAGTGTGTCTTCTAGGGTGAGTATGTTTACTTCCGGCATTCCACATTTGTATGTCAAACGATAGTAATATTGCAATCTGGATATAGCTCTTAGCTTTATTGCCTGTTGGGAATAATTCTGACACAAAACTAAGTATTTAAAATTCCAATGTGACTATCAGCTTACCAATTATACATTCTATAATTATTTTGGATCCATTTCGTACGTTTTTTGATATTTGAATGACCAGAATCACGTGATTCCGTGACAATTAGGACATACTTCCATATTTACATAGGTAAATAATGGCTGCCATTGAAATGTTACACAGCTATAGCAGAACTTTCACGGTAGTTTTTTTATATACGTCGTACTCAACGGGATTCTAAAGACGTTTTCTAAAATTCTGATAGGATGATTTTCACAAATTTAATTTTCAGTCAATCAGACGTCTGTGGTTATTTAACATATACTAAACAAACCACCGTACAAAAGCCAATGAATTACTTATCTGAACTCTTCTACATAATTAATGAAATATCAATTAAACAAATAATAGATATTGTCAACGAGGGAAAAACTATCAAATGAATTGAATAAAGATGGCGTGCCAGATAGAATACGTCTAATTATTGATCAGCAGGAATTCTCAAAACTACTGGCTTGTAATACACAATTGTCTTAGTATGTACAACTCTGTCTTAGTATGCTACAGCAACTCTGACCACAGACCCGTAGCTACAGGCAATGCCCCTAAATACCATTGCCCCTGCGGATATATTACTCGCCCCTAACAACAATCAATTCTAGCTGTGGGCCCGAAACTGTCACGTACAGAGCAATCTGTTATATTTGCTCTTTCAAACCCGCAAGATAAACTTATTGGGGTTTTTTCTTAGTTGATGGAAATGCATACAATATTTCAGTATTCTATATATCATTTTGAATTTTGACAACCTTTCAATTCCATATTTAATATAATATTAAATCAGCTAACGTCTTTGTTTCTTTAGTTACGTTATGGTATGTTGTTTAAAGCAATGGTTACGAATTGTGCTCAAGGGTGGTAACTCTTACTTGTAAACATAGGTGTCGCTTTACTTCCGCCATTGATTTCTTCAGACACATCTGTCAAAAATTAGTAAAATTTTGTTTATATCGTTTGACAGTCAAATACAAGATATTGAAAGCTGTTTTTTAAGATGACATGCGAGGCACCGGGCATGTCATACATTACACTGTACCTCATATCGTTACATATTGTAAATACTAATTCGCGTAGCTCAAATCACCACCATTGGAAATTGAGTCCTGTTGATGGAAAAATTGTCCCAGCAAGTGACGGTTCCAGTGAGTCTGAAGATGAGGATTTGATGAATATTTTGACAAATAAAGTTATAAAAAATGGTGGTTGGAGAGTGGAATCGAAGTCCACTCATAAAATTCCATGTACAGGCACCCAGAAAAGTCCCAATACCAAGTAAGAATGACATTTCAATCATTATGATTCTCCTATCCTAAATCAGTAATTAAATATGTGCTTTTAGTTTGGTTTTATATATTTGTCATGTGCTGTGGGAGAGATTTGACCCAAAGCTAGTGAACATACAGTTGAAATAGACAGTCTGCAGTATTTATTAGATTTCCTTGTCAGTAGCCTAAGCTTATCAAGATGATTGTTTGAATGTCAATAGTCATATCATTTTAGTTTTTAACCAAATGTAATTGTAAAAATATCATCATATAATCTCAAAATTTTCAGATTTAACTATCTTTTTTTTTCAGAAATGAAGACTCAAAAAATAGAAAATCAACAAAAATTTTGTCTTGTGGCAAACTAGTGAATAAAACAGATTATGATCATTTATTGGGAATTGCTAATCGCCACAAACATCCACATATACCAGAGCCTGAAGTGGCTTTAATATTCCACAAAAAGGGCCGTAGAACATCAGAAATAGATCTGAATGATTTAGAACAAAAATTAATTAAAGCTAAAAATGAGGTAGGTTGGTGACATGACTTTTGAAGAGGAGATTATTTCATGTTCATTGAAAGCTTAACACATAAATTACTAAAAAAACAAAAGTCTAAAAATGGGGTGGGTTTGTAACTTTTCAGAAGCAAGGTCACTTTATTATGAATGCTTTCCTATTTGGGTTGTAATTTGTTATGCATAAATACTTGAGTTATCAAGGAAATCGCCCTATTTTATTTCTTACCAAATAACTATTGCTGAGTTTAAACGACGTAAAGCACATGATCAAATTCACCCTTCTAATGTGCCTTAACTAAATCATATGACCTATAAACTTGAAACTTATGAAGCTGAAATTCAAAGCACAAAATCTATGTATGATGTTAACTTTATTGATAAATTTTAGAGGGTTGACATGATTATTAAACGATTGTTAACTCCCTTAGACTTCTGATATTTTTATTTTCAGAAACCAGATTCCAGTGAAGTTTATAATCAGATTGGCAATTTCTGGAGAATCAAAGGAAACACACAATTATCTATAGAATGCTTCCTGAAAGCTCTGACATTATCTTCTCAAGAATCTGGAATTTTACTGAACTTGGCACGAGTTTTATTCAACCTACAATATTTGGAAGATGCAATTAAATTGACGCGAGAATCGTTGAAATATCAAGACGCAAATGAAAATTCCTGGTTACAACATTTTACGTTAGGTGAAATTCTTAAAGCTTATGAACTTTTTGACGAGGCGTCGTTCCATTTTAAGCAGTGTTTAGAACTTAATCCTGAATTCCAACCTGCTAAAGCAAATCTCCGCGAAATGGAAGCAACACCAAATCCATCAATTACACAATACACAGTTTTTATCATTTTATTTTTAGTTTTAGGTGTTTTATTTGGCGTTGTATCATCAATTGAGGCCAATTTTGAAGGAAGTTCTGAAACCACGAAGGCCCCACGTCATTTTAGTCGAGCAATGGCTATGCGATCAATAAAATTAAGAATAGATCCTTCACGCTTGATTCGGTTACGCAAATTAAATTGTTAATGTTTTGTCCAGTTGTCCCACTTGTTATTGGTTTTGTTACGGTTATTTTTAAATAATATCCCCCCGAAATATATATTAGCTATTTGTAGGAAGTTATATATTAATCCTACAGCTGAGCTGTAGATATTTTGTCTTGTGTATTTTCTGTGGGCAACTTCACTCATCTCATAGGAAGATCTAGAAACAGCATGTATACGAAGTCCAAACTGATATATCTATTGCATGAATAGAGCATGACAGGTTCTCAAAGGTTATATGGATTTTATCTGAATTCGAAATATATTCAGAATGAGTGAGTCAACCCACAGAAAATGAATGAAACGAAATAACTTCAACTTTATTTTAATTTGATCAGAATATCTTATTCTTTGTCAAATTTTTAAGCTAATGAAGTTATATATTAAGTGTGAGGTTTTAAGGCTTTATTAGAAAAGTGCTATTGGTAGTAATAATAAGTCATTGCACTTAGTTTAAGATCATTGCATTCAAGGCTGTCCATTCAGTCAACAGGCTTTCATATTTCGCCCTTTGTGTTCAATTATATATTATAACATTTTTTCTGTACCTAAGGTTACAGATATATTTAAAATGCATTTAACTCTTCCTCGTAAAGGAATATAGCCTTCTGATTATTTGCTTTATCATCAGATAGAGCTCATTGCCATCCAGGCTATCCATAACACTTTTGAAAGTGAAAATACAAAGAGTGGTTTGTCTGCAATCAAAGTTAAATATACAAGCGGAATTGAATTCTTTAAAATCATGACCTCACATTATAATGCTAATGACATGGACAGACGTTTGTCCCTTTTCATTAAATTGTAAACCAACCAGGTGTATGAATGTAAATCGTAATGGATGGCTCTATCGACTGGTAAAGCAAATAACTGGATTGCGATGTTTCATAAATACAGGAATTCATGTTACCCTACAGGAATTGAATTGTGTGGATACACAGTGATCCTCTCTATATCTATTTTTGGAGATCAAATATATGCTAGCAATATGTATGTACCGTTTTATCATTGTGGCACATTTCATATGTTATTCTGATATCTGGTGATGGTTTTAGACAACCATATTAGTGAATTTCTGTTCTAAACGTCAACAATTTTTAAATCCCACCTAGTTGGTTTGGTTACGATTTTAGTCACAAGTCTTCCCAGTTTATTAACTCAATAATTTTCAACCCAGTTTATTGTTTATGATCATTATTATACAATAAACCAGTGAATTTAGATAATATTTATCATGAGTCTTTGTCCACTTGTCTGTATGTCCATTGACAGAAGCAAACTGTAAGATTTAAACTTATCTGAACGTTGTCAATCCAGTAATAATCATCAATCCAAGGGTTATAATTCGGATGACTGACAATAAATCTGTGAATTTAGAGACTATTTTCTCTAAATTTTTGCATGTTCACAATCTGCCGAGTCTGCAACACTAGACTCATTTTACATTGAGAAATACCATTGTTATTTATTGTTAATTTTTATTATGAATCATTGTCTAGTCCTAATATGCAATAGGTTCAACTCTTCTGCACCTAGTGGGCTATCAATGTTGGGGCAACACCATGCTGTGAGCATTGAGGGAAATTTTGTCAATTCCAACTGCTGAGGGATCTTTTACGTGCATAGCCTATGGCACACAGGGCATCCGTTTATCTTCTCATAGGAACAACTGGACGCTTTTTTCCAGTCCATATTTTCTCCGCATCATGACAAAGGGAAACCAGGTTGAAAATTCTGAAAGTTCATCTGGATCTTTGCCGGGATATAACCCAGGACCTCCAGGCCAATGTCTAACCGAGCCACCGCGGCTTCTAACGCTCTCCAATGACCAAAAATAAAAACTAAGGTCTTGTCAAAATGTTCTGAGTTTATTTTCACTCTTCTATCGACTTTCAAATATCAATAAATATATAACAATTTTTAACCAGCTTGGAACTGTCTTAATATCTTAACGTAACATATTGGCCATAGGGTAATGCCAAACCACATACAATTTAGTTCAGCTTTTAAAGAAATGACAAGTTCTCATGCTATAGAGTATGGTCCATCAGTGTGCAATTAGGGAAATTCAATTGAATATCTGCTATCAGGCTTGGCATCTCCTTAAAATATTGAAATGAAAGGAATCAAACTTAAAACTGCATTTTTCCTTTTTCCCCCCATAATACTGATTAGTATTCCACCCATAGCCTTTTGATAAATGTGGTTGAAGCATTAGTTTTAGATGGCATTGGTTCCCAAAAGTCAGTAACATAACCAAAAAACAACATCCACAGATAGCAACAAATTCATTTAGAGCAGAACAAGGACATTTTCTGTTATAAAAGCAAACAAAAATATCCATCCAAAAATTAAATTTATTAGATCTGCTCAAATCCTTTCCCCCAGGAAGTTTGAAGGTAACTAATATTTCCAGAGATGTACTCGAAAACAAAGTTAATGTGGCTTAGAGTGGACTCTCCTCCAAATAAATATAAATTTCAGTAACGACAAATTTTAACAGTTTTTAACGGAATCTATTATAAAATGTTCACAAAATATCATCATCTTCACACATCAAGAGTTCAGATCACCTCGTTAACATGTTGATTAATTAGCTAATTACTATCCTCATTATTGAGTGATGCCTAGTTTCTTTTTGAGCGATTCTGGCATCTCTGGTGGTGGGGGTCTTGGCAATCTAAAGAAGACTTTGACACTATCATAGATAAACCATTGAAGAGCTGTTAAGGTACCAATCATGATAATTCTGGGCATTAATCCCTTCCACATACCTGAAGAAATAAAAGGTTTGTAGAACTTGAAATATGATTTTGATTATCGAGCGCAGAGACACTAGACTAATGGCCAATCTGTAGGTAAAATTTGCCTTAAAGGTGTTTACCTGTTCTCAAACAAGCAATGCTATTTGGGAGATTGTGCCAAGAAAGCAACATTGACATACTATGGTTCACCCTGTCTTAGCCCAAAAAAACGAGTTGTAGGTTAAGAAATGCTACAGAAGTACAGACATGTGACCTAAGAAATATACATATCACCAGCACTTACCCATAAAGCCTAATCTTTTAGCGATATCCATAAAGTTACTGCCCTTGTCTTGGTTTAATTTGGATACAATAGTATCAGCAGGATGGGAAACGATGGCACAGAAAACACCAGCTGAAAAAACAAGATGAAAATATTGATTCAAGGGATATAACTCAAATTTTCCTGAATTTGGATTTGTTCTAATAGTAAGTTATCTGTTCAGATACTATCCACAGAACAACTAGTCATGGATTTCATATATTTTACTGAATATTTTTTACTTAAATGTATCCATAGGAATTCATTTGCAATAAATTTATTAGAATCTTTGCCCTTTAATTCTGTTCCAAATCTGGCAAGATCCGCATCAAAGTTTACATTGAACTTCGTTTCTAGATTAGTGAAAGGTTTCTTACCAATATAACCAGCTGCGAATGTCACCACCAGTTGTTCCCCTTTGGTGCAGTCAGATCGGGGTTTGGGTACCACAAATTTGTATATAGCTTCTACTGTTCGTTCAAAGCAAGCAAACTTCATCATGGTGTATGGGATTTGTCGGCACCATAGTGGCACTAAACCTTTGTAGAAACTGAAATGAAAATAGAGTTTTATGACCAACCTTTCTGCACCAGATTGGACTACTGAATATAGCCATTCCATGCAGTGTGAAATGAGGGAAAGTCTGCAGAACAACAGCCTTTTGTAGAAGTGAAAAAATAATACAGTTCTTTAACAACATAGCCTGAACAAAGACTGAAGTTGAATTTTATGAGGCAGTGTGCAATGAGCGAATTTTGCCACATCTTCAAACTTTTTATGACTTAATTGTCAAGGGATCTTTAACATGTATAATCAGTCATCAACTGCTCTCCCTAAGGCTAAGTATTCTCCCCGGGGCCTCAGTATCCCTAAGGTTTAGTAAATGGGCATCATAAATAAAGCCAACCAGCCCTGGGCAACGAACTGATAGACATTCTGATGCAAGATCTTGGTTGAATTTATTACTCCTAAATTTGAGTGACATACTTTTGAATGAGTGAAGCAACCCACAGAATAGAATGAAACATAAAAACTTGGTGTAAATATCAGATTGAATAATAAATTCAAACATAATCTATTGAATTTGCGTCAATTATTATTGGTAACTTGAGCGAGTGCAACTCGATAGCTTTGAATGAGTGAAGCAACCCACAGAAAAAAGGGAAACAAACACAGAAAGTCTAAGCAGCTATCTTACCCAGTCATGCCCTCTTCTTGTAAAATTCTAGGGAAACCTTCTCGTAATGTGTTACTCCAGCCTGGTTGTGTTTGGATTCGTACTTTGATAGCCTCCATGGGACATAGTGCAATATCAGCGAAGAACTCGGCTGAGGCACTGGCCGCTAAATATAATGATGTTCTCCATAAGAAAGTATTTTCCTGGAATACACAAAAAAAACAGATTTTCAAATATATATTCCACATTAATAACCTTATTATGTGTATCAGGGACACTGATATTATCAAATTGCACCATTCCAAATTTCCAATGTTCAATCAGATCCTGCAAATTCACTAAAACTCAAGTGTTTGATGACGTCACCAATCGCAAAAGGGCCTTAAGTGATATGGCATATTTCGACTGATTTTTTTTCTTCTTTTTGCATAGTTCTGATTCAAAGTCCAAGTCTGGTGTCATGTTTTCCCTTGATGAAATATAATAAATGAAGTACAAACCTCTCCTAACATTTTAGAATAGACATCCTTAAAAACTTCATAAAACCCAAATTTACACAAGCCTTGCATGGAATAACCAATAAATGTTGGTGCCCATCCTTTTCCGAGAGCCCTAAACCCTTCTTCGGCTAGCGTCACTCTAAATCCATTTACAATATTCTTATATTTGCCAGCATCTACTTGAATACGGCATTTGACCAAGTCCAAGGGTACAACGGCAGTATGTGTAATACCACAACTTAAAACACCACCAAATGCACACAGGGCAAAATATTTCGTAGAACCAAATTCACAGCTGGTTTCATCTACAAAGAAAGAAAAACATGAACTGGTCAGATCTCCAAAAAGTTAAGACTAGGAGCAACAAGGGAAAATTGGGTCAAGACTTTGACAGCCACTGGCACAATTCCTAACGTATGCAAGGTAGAGATACAATTTTGACAGCAAACAGAAGTAAATTGTCACCCATTGACATTAGCTAAGGTTATTTTGTTATTAGGCCTAACTAAAAGCTAGTGAACTGTATTTTTTCACCATAATGACAGACTGTTCAAATCAAGATACTATGGTAGCGTTCAAACTTGTCATTTTAGTCTGTACCTGTACCAAATTATACACTATGTACAAATGAGACATTTTTCTGTTGTCTAGATTGCAATGTTCACCATATGAGCATATGAAAGGTTGTTCAGGTGTCTTTTTGTCTAACTACACCTTAGATTATTGGGCTTACCTGTGCCAGACGATTAAGTCAAATAGAACTCTGATCCATTTACACTTTTGACCTTGCTTGCCTTAACTACACAAAAAAAATGTCAAGCCAATGTCTGGACCAGAACCGCAGAAAAAACGTTCAATTAAGTCTTCATAAAACTTACCTGCAACAGCTGCTGCTTTGATTCTTCTTGCTGGATTTATCTCAAGTCCGTCAAGTTTGACAGATCCATCTTCATTTTTGCCGGCTTCACAAGTTGCCCGAAATGGATTCACAAACTGGCCATTTTTTGCCGAATTTAAGAACGTGGAATACATTGTCCTGCAATAAAAACGTACAGCAATGAGTGATCAAATTTCTACAAAAATTTCTAAGCGATCTGTTGGGTCATATTGAAATAATCGGTAAAAATTTCATAAAAATGTCCTTCTTACCCTTGAAGATGGCGTGCTCGTTCAAGAGAATGGCTGGTAGTCACGTGGCTTCTCGGCTTTTATTGGTTGAAATGTAATATTACGTCACAGGATTGTCCTTTCTACTAGCGTTCGTGCGTAGTCAACTTGTCAGTTTATTTGTTCGTGATGTGTACAGAAGCGTAACCAGAAGCAATGAAATGTGAATCAAAAATGGTGTTTTTGCAATGACCTATTAATCTGGAGATTGATCACACAATAGATTAATGAAATAATGATAAACAATTTTATTTTTTTAATGAGCATTCGTTTGTCGGAATCACGACGATTCGACCCAGGGTCAAAATTTCATCCCATGATATTTGGCCAATTATAGAATTAGTAATAAAGGACTACTTGGTGTAGGATTAGCGGATTAAGGGATTATCTTAATATCTTGATAGCCTTTTGATGACCCATCAAAAAACTGTTAAACGGGATTTAAAGAAGTTATCTACCTAAACAACATTATGTGTATCGGGATATAGATAGCATAGATTTGCTCATTCCAATTTCAGTCAGATGTCTTGAAATTCCATTAAAATTCATATAATTAATAAGTTTATCTAATGCTATGTGATCTAGGCCAGTGCTTCCATCTAGACTCTTCACAATACACCAATACTATAAAACTGGGCTTTTTTTTTTAAAGGAGGTTTAGTTTAGTTGAGTTGTTGAAATGAGGTGCACATTTTCTTGTAAATTTGAAGACTCTAAACAATCCCCCATTATACACCTAGCCTCTTTTACACTCAGTAAGAAGAAATCTGGGTGTCAAACACTAAGAATCTTGAATACATTCTTCCCATATTTCCCCTATTAGAGACTTGTCTTTAACTTGGATATTTTGTTTACTCGAAGTATACAGAGGGATGTAATTCATAATATATTCTGGTTTCTACACCCATTCGGATATTTTCAATTGATTCGTAGGCCAATAAGAGAAAACATTCAAAATGAAGTAAGGCTTTGTGTGTACGATTAGCCTCTACTTTCCCCTACTATTTTAACGTTGTCAAATTTCTATTGGCTAACAACCTGCCAGCACAGCGTTATGATATCGAGGCTACTGCCGATCACTGGAGGCGGCCATTAAAATTGTAAACATTGGAGATTTTTTAATCCGATTTCATCTGCATTATTGAATGAAAATGGCAACGCATTTTCGGTTGTGCGTTTTGGCCATTGTCTTAAATGTTGTCTGCAGTGCCAATCAGGATAGCATCAACAACGATTTGGTGAATTCCAAAGTGGAAAGGAAGATCGACATCTCCAGTCATATAGTAAAAATAACGACATCCATCACTATCGAAAACAAGGGTTCATCATCAGTGAAATCTTATTTATTTGTGTTAGACAATTCATTACAAAATAAACTTTCATTTATTGGAGCTGTTGTAAGTTCATTTCAATGTTTTCTCTTATTTTTGTTTATGAATGACGTGTACCAAGCCGGCATGATGGGCCTTTTCTACCTTCTTTGTAAGGTGTTTGAAGAGCTGTCTCTGAAAATGCCACTTTTTCAAATCATTCCCCCAAAAACTCAACAGTGATTATCATAAATATAACTGGCATCTATCGAATTTGAGTCTCTGGCCCTGGTCATGTAATTTCACATAGAAATTCTTTTTTAATAAAGTACTTGTGACTTCTAATCTTGTTGCCGTTGGTTGCTTTCTTGAAATCTGCTCCTGGGATAAATTCCACCTTCCAAGATAAATTTCTCTGCCAAGGGTGCACTTATTCTCTGCACAAGGGGTTGATAAACAATAAAAAATGGCTTTTAGGTGCTCAGGGTGAGTGAGCATGACAGTCTTAGATAACAACATCTGCCACATAACTTCATAAGTTACGAGCATCTTACATCTAAGAACTGCTTTGTGAAGTTGTCAGCCCCTTCTCACTCATGAAGATTTAGAAATTATTATTTTCTTTTTCAGTCTAAATCAAGAGATGAAGAGAAAAAATTAGATGTAAAATTAACATCAGTTGCTAATCAAAAGTAAGTCGTATATAGAAGCAGATTTATATATTGAGTGCATCTAAAGCATTACAATGATTTTTACTACTCTGTCAAAACACCAGCTGAAAATTGTACAGTTGTGAAACTTTTAAGCCTATTCCTAGTATTGTTTTTACTTTCAATTTCAGAGATAAATCATTTTATCGCATTGAGTTGAGCTCACCACTGGGAAGTGGAAAAACTACAACATTAGAAGTTGAGACAGTGTTTGCCCATGTTTTGACCCCTTACCCTGCTGAGATCACACAAGCTGAGAAACAATTTGTGGTGTTTAATGGCAACCTGTATTTCTTCTCTCCGTATAAAACTACCACTCAATCTACCAGTGTCACTACTACATCTTCAAATATTGAATCATACACTCGTACCAAGCCTGTCTCTGTCAGTGATAATGTTATTAAGTACGGACCATTTGAAGCCAGAGAACCTTTCACAGAGGTAATTACATATTTCAACCCAGTTTCCAGTGATGCAGGGGCATACATGGAAAGTCATCTAGTAATAAACTGAAGGCCCTTATGCTGCAGACTGTGCATGTTTGAGATCCCTCAACAGTTAGAAATCTGCATGGTGTTATTTAACGTCTATAATTAACCAAATTGGATTTTAAAAAGTTAGACGTATAAGTCCATTTCATTTCACAAGGGTTATTTACTGGATTTCTCCATCCCTTGAATAACAAGTATGCAAATCTCTTATTCATAGCACAAAAAGATAAAAACCCTGGATCATCAATATTCATTATAGAAGGCAAGTATCCTACTCACTGAGCCAAATGAGTAAATTCAGTGTTAAATCATCATTGATTCTATTTTCTAGGCTGAATTACGAGTTCATGAAGAAAATAACAGTCCATTCCTGACAGTGACCAGTATTGAGAGAATTATTGAGATATCTCACTGGGGAAACATTGCCGTCGAGGAACATATTGATATGAGACACAGTGGCGCCACCTTGAAGGGTCCTTTCTCAAGATTCGATTATCAGAGAAATAACGATGGTGTTTCTTCCATAAAATCATTCCGAGTAAGTAGAGAAAGCCTAATTCTGGGGACACGAACGTTTTTTGTCACCGACTTGTGTGATCGCACTTACATGACAAGACTATCGTGAGAATCATTATCCAATCAGATTCTTTTTCACCTCAATCACATGATCATCATATGATTGTCGATGGTAAACGACGAACTGGAGATTTTTCTGGTTCCTTGTGTGCTCACGGCAATCTCCAAGATATGGATTTTCAATTTATTATTCAGTTTTCTTCATCAGTTCATCTTTAAAATTTCAAAACCAAATTATTTCTATTTTAGACTCAGTTCCCTGCTGCAGCTCGTGATGTCTATTACCGAGACGAGATTGGCAACGTTTCCACAAGCAATTTACGAGAACTGGAAGATTCTGTCGAGATTGAGATCCGACCACGATTTCCATTGTTTGGTGGCTGGAAAACTCAGTATTATATTGGATACAATATACCCAGCTATGAATACCTGTTCAACAGAGGTAATGGTTATCATTCTAGCCCCTTTGACTTAAATAGATTGTAAAGAGGATTTTGAACCTGTATGTGTATATGAGACACTGAAAGCATCTGTTAATTCCAATAAAGCCCAGCATTTTATGGAGGCGCTGTTGCTATGGTACTTAGGATAATGAGGTCCTTCGGTGTTAAGCATTTCTATAATTACAGAATATGGGACTTAATTGATCGTGTCTATTTGTAGGTAACGAATATGGGTTAAAAATGAGACTTATTGATCATGTCTATGATGATATGGTAGTAGATGAAGTAACTGTTAGAATAATTCTTCCTGAAGGATCCAAGTAAGTTTTCTTTTACCATAAGCTTTTTACAACAAGTTTGTCATAGAAAATATTGGTGATATTCCTAACTTTAAGCGCCTATTTGGCAAGAATATGTTTGCTTTGCTCATACACTCAGTCTTATTTTTGAAACTTGCCTTGTCTTGATGTTAGGAAGCATGAGATGAGTTCAAGTCAAATAAGAGACATTTATTGAACACTTCAAATAAAATGAAAAAAAATTAAATTTGATGTCTTGATGACGATTTTGTATCCGAAACGTGTCCGCAGCATGAGTCAATAAGAGACATTGAGTTACCTTAAACTTTAAACATTTTGTCAAGTTTTGCAATACGTGGACATTTCGCACATTTCGATCTTCATTTAATTTCCCAATTTTATTTTGTAGAGATATAGTTGTAGATCCACCATATCCAGTTAAACGTGGCTCTAATGAGCTCCATCATACTTATCTTGATACTGTCGGCAGACCTGTTATAGTTCTATATAAAACTAATTTAGTAGAACAGCATATTCAAGATTTTACTGTAAGTACACTCAATGGGTTACAAGATAAATTTAAATCTGTTTCTGTGCCAAATTTGGCTCTTGTCTTAGTGAAAATTGGCAAAATATAGTGGAGATGATATCCCATATAAAACATCATTAAATGTCTAGCCCTGTAATTTTCAAGGAGTGTGCAGTCTCAGCGATTTGAATGCTTGCTAACCCGAAGGTCTTGGATTCAGTACCTACTCTATGTTGTCTTTTATTCCAATGAGGTTCAGAGAAGTAGGGCTTAAAAACTCAATTTCATTTCATGAATTAAGATTAGTGCTGTTAGATGTAAAACTTTATTTTATCTCTATTTTCAGGTTACCTATTCATTCCAAAAGATGTTGTTATTACAAGAACCATTGTTAGTGGTTGGAGCTTTCTATCTCTTGTTTCTTATTGTTATAGTGTATGTTAGGTTGGACTTCTCCATCACTAAGGTAATGATAGAAAATTCTAATCTAGACCACAGTCGAAAAGAAATATCCATTATAAATAAACCCAAGTTTGTGTGGATTCTTTCTACCAGCTGGTCAATGGCCAACCCTCTTGGCAATGATCGTGCGTAGATTTTCTGTAGACATTTATAGGAAAGCCAATTGGCTAGCCAACTTTAATGGGTAAACGAGTCAACCAATGTCTGAACATTTGTTTTCAGTAAAAAGATGTCACAAGCACCTCAATTAATCCAACTACAGTCCTCCCCAGCAGTAGTTCTATTACACATTTTATGAACAATATTTTGTTAATTGTAGGATGAAGCCAAAGAAAGCAAGTTGAGAATTTCTAGTTTGATTAATGAAGTACAGGACGCCCAGGATAAACGAAGCGCCCTCTATCAGAGTTACGATGATGCCATCAATAAATTTAAAAGCAGTAAAGATGCAACCACGTTTGGAAGCAGTCGTAAGAAGATCAATGCAGATTATGCTAATCTCACCCAGCAGATCAGCTCCATTCAAGCTCAGCTCAAAGCTGAAGCTTCTGATGCTGCTGAGAAGGTAAAAGCTTAAAAGTATTTCCATGTAGAGCTTGAGTCATAGACTTTTATTTGAAAGGTGGGGGTTGAGGGTGTGGGATGAACTCCTTAATTACCCTGAACATTTCAATTTTTTTTTTGCCTTAAATGGTCAGAAGCATTTCTAGCCAATTTTGAATCTAATGCTACAGTTCTGAGATTACTTTAGTTTAGGGTATGTAGTCCCAACTTTGTGGTTAATATCCATGCACAAACTCAAAATGGCTACCTTATTTCCTCTGAAAGCTTAATATCCATGGACAAACTTCAAAATGGCTACCTTTTTCCCTTGAAAAGCGCCTGGTTTGTACCTCGTAGTTACTTTCTTTGGCCAAGTCCAAAATGGCCGCCAATCATTTTCATATTTCTGTGGTTTTTATAAGATCTGTTTTATATTGTAGATTGCTGAACTTCAAAAACTGGATAGCCAGTATAAAGATTTAATAAATTCTGCTATAACTTCTGCCGAGAGGCTGATATCCAATAAACTAAATAAACAACAATATCTTGAAGCAGACGCAACCAACACAACCAAGCGAGAAGAAGCAGAATCGAAGATGGAGGCTCTACGTGCTATTTTTTAATTTCGTTCATTTTGTTTTTTTTTTTATATAACAGAAAGTGTTAGACAACTGAGTCTTTCTCCAGAAACAACAAAATGGAAATTGTTAATAAATTATTTTAAGAAACTTGGGAAAAAAAGAAGAAGGTGGGAACATCTCAACTTGCAAAGTAGATGGGATAATGAAAAATGGATGGAATACCATTGGGATATGGATACTGTGCACACATGGGAAAGGCATGAATGGATGTCTCTCTGGACTATTGTTCAGATTTTGTATGCTGTCTGTTTGCATCTTTGGGATTCCGTTACTACATATACCCAAGATTTCTTAGATGATAGTGGTATGACATGGTTTATTTTTTTTTTTGCAAGAATGTTAGGATTGTCTGCCCTTGTCCTGCATTCTTTATTGTATGCTTCATTTGCTGATTTCTAAAAAAATATCACAATACAATGTTTGTTGTTACATCTCTTTTATGAGAAATCCCTTAAAGCATAGTCAAGTTTTATTTCCCTCATTACACAATGCACAGTGTCCTGGTCTTCATTAGCTCATACTGGAGCAGGAAAGCAGAAATTTGATTGGCTGCAAACTCCAGTTTCAAACCATTAGACCCCAAATCGGGATCTGCTAGTTTGCGACCAATTCCATAGAGTATGGTAGAGTAATGGTTGGGCGTCTTGTTCCACATGTGAAGTCTCGACTCTTTAAGACGATTTTGCCCTGTGAAGAATTAAATACATTATCTCCCTTGAAATGTTCATGCCTTTGGTGCTTAGAGAGGAAAACCAAGCAGTACGGACCATTTGTTTATTGAACTTGAGAATTGTGGGGGTTTAAAACTCATTATTCATCTATCATACGAAAATTAAAGTTTTGTTGGAATTCGAAAGTTCGTGCTTGGTTGTGTTTTCGAAAGTCGCTTTAAAACTTTTTACCGGCCAATTATCCTGAGTATCTTGGTAACCCTGGAAGTATGAGCATTTTTTGCGCCCCAGCTTGCATAGCATGCTTTGGAGAAACATTAGGCCTAGTTTGGCTTATCGTTTACCGCCAAGCCGACATAAGTTGCTCATCCTACATCCATGCAAGAAGCCTAGCCCTGACGATGGATATTATGTCAAAAACTGTTGCAAAAGCCAACAACATCTAAGATGAGACCTTCTAAATTATAGTCGACTATTAAATCGGTGTTATAGAAAATGCTCTCTTATAGAAGCACTGGCCAAGGTATTTGGTGAGTGAGATGTGGTTGACGATAACTTCTGCTGCACGTCAGTTTTTTTCAACGTGTTCAGATGATTGGTTATATGAGGGATGATATCAGAGTAACAGATTGTAGTATATCTGAAACGCTATGTAATTGCCGTGACCTAGAAACTTCCTTTCGAGTATTTCGATATTTCTTTGTGCCCCATCTTTTCAAGTCCTGAGATTAGAAATTTCATTTTTCCAACATTTGTATTTATAAATTATCAACATCATTATATATATAGGCCTAAAGCTACAGCCAATGATATATTTTATACTCATGGCGTCAAAGCAGCCAAATCTGGTCTAGACTGTAGCCTTGAACATCAAGGGGATTCGAACCTACGACACTCAGCTCTACAACCATAGATTCGTCACTGCCACTAATGAAAAAGCAAATAGGAAAGTCGGACTATAAAAATGACTTTTCCCATAAATTATTACCAAAATAATTTGTACAAAATGTATCATAGGCTTTGTATTATGTATTATACGATTATATCACTTATAAATGCGTCGACAACATTTAAATATTTTCTTTCAGGGCACCATAAAATTCTGGCTTTTGATTTCAGATGGGGCTTTTTTCCTTTGCTGAAAGCATGGCCTCTTCTCTTGATAATTGTAGGTCTCTACTCATTGTAAATGTTTCAGTTTGAATCTACATTGTAATTGTGGATAGAGATATCGATTTCTTTTGAGAGAGTGTGATAACCTTTTATTTTAAAAACCCTGTAACTATTTCGGTAGATCCAGTTGTAAATGAGTATGGATAAAACAGAAAAAACGCGAACAAAAAGTTTCGGCACAACTGTGCCTTAAGGCCCAACAGAAACGATCCTCGAGAACCAATTTGCTAGGCACGATGTCCCACGAACCAATAAGGGCGATTTCCTTTAGAAGAAGATGCATGTAATGAGAATTGGTAGAATCCTACTCCCAAAGATTGCTGGTCATATTTTTTTTATTTCCAATTCCTAAAGGCACAAATTTCCACAAGATATATTTATTTTATCAAATTGTTATTTTGAACTGGTCCCCAAGATTTTTGGAATTAAGGCACCAATTTTGTCTATTGACCTTTATTAACATCATTCTAGTCATTTCCGGTAAAATTCAGTCCATTTGTAGCAATTGCGACTTAAAAATGGTTCAAAAGAGCACAATTTGACAACCTTGCCTCAGAACCACAAAAACTGCCGTGCATCAGTGTTATGTTACAGAAGTCGGTCGTTCAAATTTTGTCAAATTTACCTCAAATATAGAATGTCATATCTCTTAAAACTTCCAGAGAGACTAACTTTTCATTTTGCAATGATTCCACCCGACATTTTTCATGAGAAATGCTCCAAAGGCCAGTATTTCATGAAAACGTCAGAAAAGCGTCTGCTTGAAGCTGAAAAATCTACAAGAGTTATGTCCCTCGTCAAAACGCGCCATGTCGGCCAGAGCTAGGTGGCGTTGTTGTTGTTATTAGCAAGAAGGACGACAATTTGTAAATGTCGGGCAAAATTAGCCAAATTTAAAAGCATGGAATTCAGTCATTTGTTGGCTGAATTGAAAAATGCATCAGAAGAATATGGAAAAGATGCATCACAGAATTGGTCAGAAACATCACAATTTTGCCAAACCGTGTGCAAGGTGGGTAAAATGTCGAAATAATTAAGACAAATTTCGGTCAACAGCCCAACTGGAATAGCCATTGCAGTGTTCTTATTTATCACGCACGCACGCTTTACATTCCGACAACAGTAATAACAATCGTGAATGCATTTGCCAGTCGTTGAAATATCGTGTGGGTATTATTATTGAAATTTTGAAATCACCAATTTCAATTCATTCCTCCAAGCTGCACTTTTCGATTGTTGTAGCTTTGCGGCTTTGTTACTGAGAAGAGTTTACACGTTCATTTTGACATAATAATACTTCGGACGATTGACTGAGACACTGAGTTGTCATTGATTCACAACGGCGTCTGCTCTATTTATCTATATCAGCATTGATTGACAATGTAGCTTATCCCATATTAGATTAATAGGGGTCAATTAAACTCTTTAGTTCTACAGTTAGCCTACTAATAACCAAGACCCTCTCTTCAAATCTATTCTTCTTCTACTCTAGCCTGGCCTTTACCTATTAATCTCTCAGACTTAGACAAGTCATGTCATGTGGTGTCCTTTTTTATGTTTCAACTTATGATAAGTAAGCTTACAAAACACACAAAATAAATGCGTTATAATATATGAAAGATATTTTTGAGATGCCTGTAGGCATTCCCGTGACCAGCCCAATGTGTCAAGGAGGGGCGGTCGCATTTGCATGGGGTGGTTGATCGAGACTGATTTCAGCTTCAATTGAGAATTTGTTCGAATTTTGTAGGGGGGGGGCACTAGTAACGGGTCTGGCTGTAGGCCTAGTGGACAAAAGTTATGGGGTTATTTATTGTCAACTTGGCACCTAACCATAACTGAATCATTAGTCAAATTCAAATTCTTTCCCTGTTAATGATCAAGACATTCTCTTTTGTGTTTCAGGTTGCAGATAATCTAGAAAAGCACATCAAGAAATATGAAAACCAAATTATAGGATTATGGGTGATATACGGCTATGTGACAGAACTGTACCCGAAGCTAGAGAGGGGACAGTCTACCTTCACATTATGTCAAAAACTATTCAAGTAAGTTACATTTACTTTGAAATGGTAGTGGCCAATAAGAGCTACTGGGTAGGTATCCAATTCTCTATTATGTTCTATCTTAAGCTAAAGGGACAAATGTGCCATTTTCTTAAACAATCATACCTTAGTCTTAGAAACAGGATTTTTTTAGCTAATCTAATAAGTTAATGTGTCTAGAAATATGCACGTTTGAAAGTAAACAGGATGGAGTCATCCTTTCTTGAGACACCGCTACATAGAAATGACATCTATAGTTTTGAAGGAATTATGGGATTTTTGTACATTTTTAGTACTTCTGAAGACTATTTACATACATTCAAGACTCAAATCAAAATGGTGCATCTGGCCCTTTAAGTAAGAGTGTGTCAGCTCAGATAAAACAAGACTTAAAACTAAACCCTTTTTCATTGTGTTCAACAAAACAATACATGAGTTTCTGTTAATATTGTGAAGCCATTCTTGATATCAACCCTCTCTTTCAGTGTCAGTGCTCAGATTGTCCTGGATGTGCAGTTCGGACAACTAGACGAAGATCAGCCTTACAAAAACAATTTCCGAAACACCCTGACAGCTTTCCACCAGGTTGTGTCGGAGAGGGAAGGGTCCAGTCGATTCAGTGTGATACTATCGTTAATGGAGACCCATTGGAGTCACCCTGTCCTGGGTCAGGTCATGTCAAATGATGAAGATGATGAAGAAGGCTCAGGTATAGTTTTTTTTGTTATGGACAGTGATTCTATTCTTGATCTGAGGCCTTATTCATGAAAAATTAACTTGTATAATATCCAGATTTTGAGAAAAACAGTAAGCTGATTGGATAATTGAACTGAATTTAATATCCTAATTATTGATTGACCAATCAAATGGCTAGAACATTAAGTTAGATTATCAAGAATAAGACTTGCGGCATGTGAAAGTGGGGCCATTTAAGATGCCTGTTTCAAAAAAAAGGAAAGAAATGTATTTTATCAATTCATTGGTGAATTGTTACAGACAGTTTCACTAAAATTGCAATAGATATGAGCAAAAATATTTGCTAATGTTTTATGAAGAACTAGCGAGTATATAGGATCCCCGAGAACCCATAATGTTTGCAAATTATTTCATGTTTTGCACTATGCAAGAGGCCTTAAGTTGGAGTTTTAAAAGAGTTAAAACTTGACACCACTAAGGCTTCTTTAGGTTATACCCTCATTCATTTGTAGGACTGGAATACATTACAAGTGAAGATCCAGATATATTAAGATTGCGAGTAGAAATGATGTTGCAACAGAACTGTGAAGAGTTCGCTCTCAATCTATGTACCTGGTGTTTGAAGCATCCAGCGTTAAAATCTGACCTGGATATTCGACAGATCCAGTTAACACTGATGAACAAACTACATGATTTGGATAGACTACAGGAAGAGGTTTGTACCTGACAATACTAATAATAACATTACTTTAGAAGCTATTTTGACTCTCTGTGGCAGGCAGCTGCGGTGGCTCAATGAGTAAAACGCTAGCTCGCTAACTTGAAGGTCAAGGGTTCAATCCCAGCATTGGTTGAGATAATATCTTTGGAAAGAGATGCAGAGTTCCCAATTTATTATATGAAAATAACATTAGCTGTGTTACTCTCAAAAAATTATGTTGAGTTAGAAATCCAGAAATTTTCAAGGGGGTGCTGATATCACAAATTCAGTTCTGGAGTGATATCGCTAATTCATATTTATTGGTCTTTATATCATTCTTCACTTTCTTTCATTTTCTTTCATTTTCCTCTGTAGGCTGAAACCATATCTCTGAAAGAGTGTGTAGCTCTTGTTCAAAGATTTATGGAACTTCCAAAAAACCAGAAAGTTTGTACAGTTTTGACGCAGACATTTCTCGTTCAGAATTGGATTAAAGAAGGGGATGATGAGGAAACAATAGTAAGTAGAAAAAAACTCCAGTGCTTCTCTTGTACTGCCAATGCATGTTTCGGTTACGAAATTGTCACCAGGATAGGTTACTAAACTGAAGAGACTGGCATATTGCCCCACTGTATTGCCCACAATATCACCAGTCTTATGGCAAGTTGTATCTATCAGAACTATTATTATTAAAGTGAATTCCCATTAGAAACACTGGCATAGGTCATAGTATTTTTTTTCCAAAGCAACCACCATCCACCAAGAAGAAGAAGAAGTAATTGTACCACACTTTTGAAAAGGTCTTTTTCTTGCATTACAGGAGTTATTCAAGCTATGGATCAAACATCAGTATATGGTAGATGAGGAAGAGGATAAGTTCATCAGTAATTTGTGGGCAATAGCTAAATTATCTCGGACCACAGAACAGATTGTACTTATTATAGACCTCATTAGAGAAAAGGTAAGTTAGTAATGTTTTAAACTTACTTCCATTTTTGTTACCTAGAGGAGATTTGAACCGTTGGCAGTTAAATGCCTGGTAGATGACAATCCAACTCGCTACCGACTGAGCTATTTCACTGCCACTAATTTAATATAATGATCATTTTAGCTGTGAACTCGTATCACAATTTTTCTTTATGGATATTATCTTATTAGAGACAGTTTTGTGACTTTGGATTTTACTTTCTGTTTATCTAATATTTTGTAAATTATTTTGTCATTTCAGTGTGGGGATTCCCTACTACAGTTTTATACGGATATGTGTATATATGCTATTAACATTGACAAAAGTGTGTTGGAAAAAAGTATGCAAAATGGTGAAATGTCAGAAATACAAACTCATCAGCAAGATATGTCGTTGACGTGTTGCAAATTAGCCGATATATTTCGTTACAATAAATTAAAAACGGCAAGATACAGCATAGTGACTGCGTTTTCGTTAAATCCGTCGTATTCCAGTTTAACGAAAGTGGAATCGTTCTATAAATCAGATAATCCAGCTTTATTGGTCGATACTGGACAACATATAGTGGCCAAATGTTGTGGTAATTGTACATATAATCGTGGTGTATGTACTCAAAAAAATAAGGACGAAAAAGACAAAATCAATCCTGCGACTGTCTATGAGGTCGAAAGACTATTGAATATGTTGAGGCCCTATCATTTAAAACCAGAACTATCATGGAAAGAGTTAGGGCCTGCTTGTACGAAATATCTTCAAGAAAGGGAGAGAATTCTCGCTCTAATGGCCGAGGCGGAGGCCAAAAAGAAAGCACAACCTAATCAGTTAAGCCATCAACAATTGGCAGCGAGTTTACGTGAAAAACTTTTTGTGGCTGCAGCAGCACCAGTCGAACCCAAACCTTCCCCTAAGCCAGTGCCTGTCCCAGTTGCGACAGTGGAAGCATCAACAGAAACCAAATCTTATGCAAGCAATCTTCAGCAAGTTGTAGAAAATCTTCAGAAAAGACTTGGAAAAGCTCCAGCTAGTGCTCATGGAAAAGTTCGTCCCAGAACTGGACAAAGCATAAATTTAGCGAAAAATTCTGGAAATATTGTGAATAGTTATTCTATGAACAGTGCAAATCAGTTGCCTACAGCAAGCCAGATACTCGCCCAAAAGAAATCAGATGCTGAATCGATTCGTCAAAGGACTACTCAGCAAATTGCTGCAACAATTCAACAGACTTTTTTAAGGCAACATGAGCCGGAGAAACCAAATTTCATGGTGCGTGTGCATAATACAAATCCAAACCAGGTGCCTACGAATACATCCATAAGACAAACTTTCATTAATCCTCCGAATCAGCCACCTCAAAGGTTTCTGTCCAGACCCCAAGAAATCACTAAACAGTACTTAATTCAGCTCCAGCAACGACAGCAAGCATCTAAAGTTCGGATGGTGAAACCTCAACAAGTCCAGTCTCCCCATGTGCAACAAACTTTGAAAAGTCCACAGCAAATTATTCACAGCACGGTGGACTCTCTAAAGCAGTTTTCTAACCCGAGTCCTCAAAAAATCGTTCATCAGAAAATCTCCCCCAGTGGACATACATATTCAACAATTCAGGTGAAGAAAGGGCAAATGGTCCACGGTTATCAGCAGTTACAAAATCCAGTATCCCAAAGAACAAATCAAGGGATTGTATCAGTAGGATATCAAAACACCAGACCACAATTAATGAAGCAAACTGTCCAGCCTTCGAGCCAGTTTCAGCAGCGAGTACAAACAACCCAGATTCGCTCTCAGAATCCACAGCAACTTATCTCCTCAGTGTCGACTGTTCAATCCATGAAAACAGCCCAAACTGTTGTTAATAGAATCACAATTCCTTCAGCTCAGTATACACAGGGACAGAAGCAACCAACATCTCAAGAAGTAATCCAACAGGCCAAAAATCAGCTGTACACCCTCTCTCAGAAAAAAAATCCATCACATCCTTTGATGAGAGTTAATCAACCACCTGATGCTCAGAGAATGCCCACCACGAATACATCAACTCAGTTTATTGATCCAGGTTCCAATGTCTATTCAACCTCACAAGGAGTTCTGCAGATGCCATCAGCAGTCATAACTACAGCGCAATTTCAACAAGCACAGCAGTTGTTGCAGACACAGTCTTTGAATCAAGGTGACGTAAAACCCACAAAGGTGCGTGGATTACCAATATCAAGCTCTTCAGCTCATCAAGCTACTTTGGCTCTGGCTGATAAAAGTAAAATAATCAAGAAAAGACCAGTAACAGCTTCTCAAAATCAGCTGCTGGCCAAGGCAGAAGCTCAAGGTTACGCCTCTGGGAAAGCGGTAGTGAAGATCCTTCAATCACAAGGATTGAATATGAACAGTCCAACTAGTCCAGGATCATCTCAAGTAATACAAGCTGCACCAAAGCTTCATCCAGCCCCAGGGAACACTCAGCAGCTGATCAATGTGAGTCCTCAGCCGTTTGGTTCTCGAATTGTCACCCTTAATCAGCCCCAACAGATGATACAGAAAACTGTCATACAGTCCCCTACTGCTCTGCCTACAACATCCATCCAGCATGTAGTCTCCAATCAGCCAGTATACCAACAGCATGTTTTGTCAGCTCCATTGAACCCTGTCCAAACAGATTTGAACACTCTTCTTACGGTGGCTTCGGCAAACACTAGAACAAATTCTTCCCAACCCATTGCAGTAATGCCGACGACCATGAATGTATACAGAACAATGCAACAAAATGTTTTAAATCCCACAGTTCTTTCAGTCCAGTCTGACTTGAGCTCCATAACGCCAACCATTCCTCAGTTGGACTCTCAGCAGTTTCGTCAGCTACAGAATCAAGTCACAGCCAGTCAGGCCCAGCATACCATTCCAACTCCAAACCTCTCAGCTAAACAGCTGCAAGAAGAACTGAACAAAATCAATCGGCATTCTCAACAAAATGTGTCCTCCAATCCAGACATGACCATAACTGTAAAGCCTTCCCAACATGTAGTATCATCAAATCTTCAGAAGCTTCAACCAAATCTGCTGAGACCAAAGATTCCCTCACAGAGTGTTGCATTTGTCCCTAAGGTGGCTCCCAGACCTGCCAGCAGTATTGCTTATTCACCAAATCAGCAAGTTATCACACAAAAAAGTTCCCCTTTAAGCAGCTCAGCTCCTCAACTTCATAGAATGTTAGTTCAGCAAGAGTCTTCTCAAATTTCAAAGCCAGTCACAGTCTCATCAGGGTTAGGAAACCAGAGTTTGTCAGTTTATGGTAATACAATCCCAAAATCTGGAAATGTAGTAGTTACATCAAGCCAGCAATTTGTTCCTGGAGTGGTGAAAACAGAAGTAGTCCAACAAGAGGGAAATGAAGTGGAACCCCCACCACCAGAGCAACAGTCAACAGTAGAAAGCGTCAACTCTGACAAATATGCTGAAGAGCAAAAAAACATTTTTGTAAAGAGTCTCTTGAACGCCAGTGATGAAATTTTAGAAACACTATCAGCTTTACCTGACCCCTCTTTAATCACCGATTTATTCAAGAATGCAAATCCTGGGGATGAACTACATATTGCTCTGTCCGACAATATTGAAGATTTGGGAATAGATGATATGTCTTCCTTGATCATTCCAGAAACGAATGCAGAGTCCACAGCTGTCCAACAAGGTGACAACAATGTTGCTGAACATGTTCAGCAAACAAATGCTGAAGAATATGTACCAGTGGAGTTGGATCCTGCCGCCCAAAGTCTACGAGATGTCCAAGGAATACACATTCCAGATTACAATGAACAATATCAAGTGAATTCTGACAGTTCATCCCAGCAAAACATGCAGTTCACCATGTTGAATCCATCTTCTCATCAAATTAACGAAGCGTATGGAGTTAAAGCTGAAAGCAATGAAGGAGATCCCAACAATATGCCTGGAAAAGCGTCCATGATGTCCAAAAAATGTGGTTCGGTGTTTAAATGCATTATTTGTAGTTCTGTCTTTTCGACGTTAGAATCCTTGCAATTCCACGTCCAACGAGTTTGCAAGCCAGATGATTCACCCACCAATATCCATGATACCTTAAAGTTACCAGACAGCAAATCTGGGGGAATCAATGCCAAGACAATTTACCAATGTGTCAAATGTAGCAGCATCTGCATTTCAGAGAAGGAAATGCAGCTTCACACAAAAAACTGCCCAAAGGATAATTCTCACTTGTTTGGGGTGAAAAAATCAGAGCACACGTCAGTCCTTCCTTCAGCTAACAAAGAATACCAAAGTGTCAAGAGATTGGTAGAAAAGCAGCAAATGGAAATCCAAAGAGAAAAAGAGATGATCAAGGCAAAGAAAGAAAAAGAGCAGCAGCTTAAGAAGATCCAAGCACAAAAAGTTCTGCAGAAACAGAAAGAATTAAAATTGAAAAGAGAAGCAGCGAAGTTAGCCAAAGCCCCACCACCACCAAGATTTAAAGAAATGACGAGTTCCTCTGGGAAAACCTTTTATAAATGTGATCTTTGTGGCCAGACATTCTGCTCTCCGGAAGGTGTACATGATCATTGGTTGCCATGTTTGAAGAAGAATCCCATCACTAAACGAATTAGACGACCAAACGTAGAAAAACAAAAACTTTTGGAGAATCCAGAAAAGTTTACAAAAATGATGTCCACAATTTTTGATTCTGTGGTTGGTCCAGTTGATTCGAAAATTGATGCTCCAAAGGAAACTGGAAGTGACGAAGACAATAAAGATGCTAAAGACTCTGAAGAGGTCACTGAAGATGAAAAGTCTGAAACTGCTGAGGATCAGAAATCTTCTAAAGATGAACAAGTTAATGGTGAATCTGAGGATCAGAAATCTGCCAAAACTGATCAAGAGACGAAAGAAGATGAGGAGTCTGCAGAAGACAAACAGGAACATGATGGTAAAAGTGATGAGGATGCAGAGAAAGATAAAAGTAGTCAAGATGATGAAGGAGAAGGATCTGAAGATGCTCAATCCACCATCAGCACTGGTACTGACATCAGCGAATCTGACAGAAGTCTTCGAAAGAGAAGACCAATCCGAACACCAAGGTACTTCTTTTCCTCTGATAGTGATGAAGACATGAAAAAAGCCAAGAAATTGTCACAAATAGAGTCTTCAAAAAACCAAATTTTCCCAGAAGTTGAGCTGGCGCGATTGAAGAAGAATTCAACCTGCTGTTTGTGCTCAACAAAATTAAAAGACATGACTATTAAACTTCAGCATTTTGCAGTGAAACATTTAAAGATCCATACCATTATCAAGAGTTGGAAAGGCCACTTCTTCAAGTGCCACCTCTGCAACGTCAAGTTCAACGTTTACACCAAATATGTCTTCCATCTGAAAGATCATGAAACTGAAATTTTAATGAAAATTTCTAAAATGTTGGGAAAAGATGGATCCAGTAAAACTGGTGCAGTACGTCCACAGACAACAGATATGAAACTCAGCCTAATGGCAGCCAGGAAATCAGTAAAGAAGCACCTGTCACCTCTTAAAAAACCAACACCAATTAATCATAGTCGAAAACTTGGCAGACCAGCCAGTAAAGAGAAGACTGTGGGACTTAAAAAGCACAGAAAAGACAATAAATCAGACTCTGATCAGCGCTCACAGAGGCGGAATGTACGTGCTGCGCATACGCAAGCTCTTAGCAAGATTAAAAACAATGCTAATGGTTTTGACATTCTGAACACTCTTCCCCATTTCAATGTTGATGTGTCTTCAAGTGGACATTCCAGAAGTTGCAGCCCAGAACCAATGACAACCAGAAGACAGACCAGATCCAGAAGGACTACCTTGATTCGTAAGCCAACCAGAGAAACCGATGAGGAATCATCTCAACCTGATATGTCAGAAAAAGAAATGGATTTATCAGACAAGGAAACAGAAAATAGTCAAGAGAGCATGGGAAGCCGTGACACAGAAGTGAAGTTGTCTGATTTAGAAGCTGAAGAAGAAGCTACCTCGGAGACCAATGACAGTCAGGATAAAGACACAACAGACCAAGATTCGGTTTATAAACCCTCCACCAGTGATGATTCACAAACATCAGATCACAGTTCCAATTTGGAAGCCAAAGGCCAATCTTTCTTGTCCTCCTTCATGGACTTCATCGGAGAAGAAACGAAGGAGGAAGAAGTCACGAATGAAAATGTACAGACTTCATCAAGTTGTTCCAGTTTATTGGGATACAGAGCCGATCCAACCCTACATCGGCATCTATACAAAAATATTGGGAAGTATAAAGGAACTGTTATCCAAGAACCAAAGAAAATTCAGCGAGGTAGGAGATCAGTTGCTGCTCTTGATACTGAAGCTTCAAAGGAGAAACCAAAAGGAAGATCCAGACGATTGTCCGACAGTGATCTACTGACAAAGCACAAACATCTGTTGAGCAGTTCACAATTGAGAATAGTCCTTCAGAAGCTCCCAGAACACTTGACTGATCAGACGCCAGGCAAAGTTGAAAGTGGACGTACATCCACCAGTGACGATACTATTATAGAGCGAGGGTTGTCTGAAGAACGTAGACTTGATTCTCCAGCTGTGAATTCTCCATCTGAAGAACGTAGATTTGATTCTCCAGTCGTAAATTCACCATTTGAAGAACATACATTTGATTCTCCATCTGTTAATTCACCAGCGATATCAGAAGTTTCATCAAGAGCCAGATCAGAAGAGGTAGAAGTTATAATGATGGCAGACACTTCTCCTTCGCAAGTCATTTCATGCTTGCTGGGATCAAATACTGGATCGCCTCCCTTGGCAGTTGTTGGTAATGGCAATATTATGAAAGCCCAAAAGTCAAGCGAAATAGTTAAATTGGATAATGAAGAGGATGACATCATTTTGATCGAAAAGAATTCAGATGACGAGGAAGAGGTTGAAGATGCTGATGACAATACTGGAGGTGGAGATCCTGTAACAGTTGGAGCTTCATTAACCACGTGTATGGTGGTCAAAGCAGATACTCCAACAGAAGGAGTAAAGACATCTTCACCTGATTTGATAATTATCGAAAACAGAAGCCAACCAGTTAATGTTTATCCAAACACTGCCAAAAATGAAGTGATGCCAGAGACCAAAGTGGAAATTAGTCAAAATAATGCCACTGAAATACATGTAGTGAAGGGTGCTAAAATATCTTTATTAGCAGATTCAGAGAAGCTTCCAATATCTGAGGACAAAAGCGGATCATCCAATAGTCAGACTGCTGATTCCAAAATTGACAGCCAAGCCAATCTCATTGACAGTAGCACAAGTAAAGAGCCGTCAAATACAGAACCATTAACCACCATTTTCGATTCATCTAAAACACCATCCTCAAACTCAAAGTCATCGGTTTTAAGGATGGAGTCAAAACCAGAGTCACCCATACCAGCAATCACTTCCTCGGAATCACAAGATCTTGTGCCCATGAATCCATCCTCACTTCCTCAACCAGAATCTCCAATACCTGCTATTAATTTACCAGGTTCCACAGAATTAGAAAATACCGAGAACCAATCAGACTCACCTATTCCTGCCATAGATTCCAAAACACCAACAGTGATGTCTACTAATCCAAAGTCTGAAGAACAACTACCTCAACAGTTAGTTCCGCCAGAGGAAATTCCTGAAATGAAGTCTAAGACAGAGACACAGGTTCCAATGATGGAGTCGAAATCAGAACCGACAACCCAAAAGATTCAACTGGATTCTGCCAGTCCTGCAGTTACCCCAAATACAGAGTCTCCAATTCCAGGTGTTGAATTAAGCTCTGAGTCACTTACCATTGATGCTGATTCCAAATTGGAGTTTCAAGATGGAGTCAAGGCTACTATTGAATCACCAATACCTGCTGACAATTCCAAATTAAAGACGTTAGCTTCTAATGATAAAGCTTATTCTAAGTCACCAAGTACTTCAGCCAGCACTGAGCGGTCCATTCCAGCTGTTGAATCAGTATCTGATTTAGAAGTTCCAGCAGCTGATGTATCATTAGATGCAGCTCCATCACATCCACAGAGTTCCAAATCAGAATCTCCCATTCCTGCATTGAGCTTAGACTCAAAATCGTCAGTTGTCGAGATCCAATCCAAAACAGAAACCGCTTCATCATCATCAGAACCATCACCAGATTCTCCCATTCCTGGAGTATTCTTATCAGATGCCACACAGACCTCCATCAGCCCAGCTGCTGATGATTTAGGACCAGCATCAGTAACCACTGAAGAAAAGTTGAACAAGCTTTCAAGCAAATTATTTGAAGCATTGACCAAAGATCTTCCTCAATATATAGATATGAAAATCATCCACAACTCAAATGATGGAGAGTCAGCCAGATGCATCCAATAGTTCTGATGCTGTGCTACAAACTGTAGCTTCAAGAGATACACTGCCTAAAGCCGACATTAGTGATTCCAAACCAGAAAGTCAAGTTAAAAATCAATCAGAATGCGAAGCAAACCCCATAACTGAAGACGTACCCAATCCTAAAGAAGTTTCAACTGAGAAAAGTGCTAACCTTGATGAAGAGATCTCTGAAGCCTGTAGAGACGAGACAGTTGCTGAAGGAACTGAACTAGCAGTATCCACTGAGCAACTTTCTTCTGTCAGTGCTGAGAATAACAAAGAAGAACATATTGCAGAACCTCCAACATCCATGGGTGATGGTCATGACAAAATGCGAGCAGAAGAAAAACACAGCTCACATATCGACAATAAGGAATCTCAAGAAATGGATCCAGCTGATCCACTTAACATGAATTCTGAAGAAAAGGCAATTGAGAATTCCAACCTTACAAATGAAGGCGACGAAGAACTCCCTGAGACAGCATCAAAAGACCAACTGGAAGAAAAATTGTCCCCTGATATTGAAGCTGATGAGTCACCCAAGGAGGATGTAGATCTAACTATGGTTTTTGAGGATTTATCCAAAAAGGAAACAGATCTTAAAATGATACCTGGTGTCCGAACAGAGGTTGAAGGTGAAGACACTGGCTCTCAACCAACACCAAAGTCTTGTGATACCTCAGAGGATGAAATCAAACAGGAAACTGCAGATAAGGATCAAGAGTTACCCCAAAAGGAAGATTCTTCATCAAAGAGACTCGATACTCAAGCTGATACCGTATCTAGCGATTCCAAGGAGCTACCAAAGAATTCTGAAGAATGTATTGGCAATATTTCTGTGACAACACAGGATAGCAAAGTTGAAGAATTACCACCTTCAAAAGAGGATCAAGCTGGGAATGACTCAAAAGGAATTCCTGAAGAAGTCAGAATAGGAAGAGATAGTAATGATGAAGAAAAAGCCAAAGCTTCCAAAGATCCACTAAATCCTGAATCCCAAAGAACCTCTGACTATACTGACCCCAATGTTCAAGCTAAAAATGGTGATTTAAATGATCATCAATCCAAAAGTATCACTGAAAGTAAAAACTTTGATGTGAAAGAAATAGAAAGTGGCTCTAGAGAATCCTTGACAGATACCAAGAAAGTGGTGAAACCCAGACAATCCATATCTGTGACTGATACACGCTTTGTACGAAGCGTTGCTCACAGTATCAAGCTTCTGAATTCCAACAAGTCTGCTTTACTGAAGATTGTGGATTATTCAGAGTCTGATAGTGAAATAGACAGTGAGGCAATGGACAGTCGTCAGATGGTTTTCGACTCCAACGCAGATCAGCAATCCACAGATCCAGTAATAGAGGCTTCAACTGACGAACCTAGCTCTGGATCCACAGTAACATCCAGTAATGATGCTGTTGCTGATCCTACATCCTCAAAATCAGTTGATGAATATGTTGAAGAAGATGCTCCTAAAGAAGAATCCAAGACAGTTACAGAGTCAGAGAAGAAACCCAGAGAAGCTCATTTCAAGAGTGGTGAACTCCTGACTTCCATTGCCTCAAAAGACTTTTCTTCCAAAGATTTACCAATGAGCGTTGCTGATAACTTGAGCAAGATGCCTAAAATTGGTTCGACAGTCATTACAAAAAGTGGCAACAAACATAAGATTTTGGACGTGAAGATCACACAGCCGGAAAAACCAACAGAAGAAGAGATACCCGAAGCTGGTAAAAGATCTGGGCTGATACAGTCACTCCGCGAACAAATTACAGTTGAACCTTTCAAATGGGACGAGGAAGACGAGGATTCCCAGAAGAAGGAGAAGAATGAACGATCGCGGCAAGCTGTCCGAAATCAATCAGGGAATGTGACCCCTTTTACTTGGGATGTGTCCGAAAGCGAGCAATCTTCAGGTGGAGAATCTCCTACAAAACAGGCTCAAGCTGTTCGAGAAGATGCGGATTCTAAGAAAGAAATATCAACCACAAATTTGACAAAAGAAACAGAGAAGAAAGCTCTTGAAGTAACTGCTCTAAAAGATATAAGACGTCCACAAAACAGTTACAAGCTAGATCATCAACAAAATAGTTCCAAAATTGAGTCAAAAGATCCAAAGCCTCAAAATTCTGCACTGAAAGATGGTCACATCAAAAGGTCGGGAAGTATTTCCAAAATTGACACAAAAGATCCAAAAGAAGAATTCCATGCAAAGGCAGGCCGTATTGACATCATACAATTGAAAGGACAAACAAGGAACAAAGAAGACCCAGTTCCAAAACCCACAGCGAACAGTTTCAAAACGGATTCAAAACAACAGCATAATAACTCTCTAACAGAAGACCATTCCCGGAAAGATAGTGTTAAAACCAAATCATCCACAACAGAACTTAAACGAAAAAAATCGGTAGATGCAGATGATTGTTCCAAGCAGAAATCTTCAGAGTCTTCCACGAGACCTGTATCTTCAGCTTCTAGCGCTCCAAACAAATCCTCGGAACCCGCACAGTCTTCGTCTTCTACAAACTCTCTAAGCAAATCTTTGGAGTCAACACAGTCCACGAGGCAATCATCTTCTGTGAACTCACAGAGTAAACCTTCAGATTCTATACAGTCCACGAGGCATTCTTCGTCTGTCAACACTCCAGGAAGATCTGTACGAGGGAAAGAACCGTCTAAAAGTAACTTTAATGATGATACAGGTAAATGTTCAACAAGATCATCTACTAAACCGTTTGTACGAACCAGCGAGCGACAGAGACTTCGTCAACTTTCCCCCAACAAGTTCACTAGATACAGCCCGTCCAAAAGTCTATCACCCTTAAAGAAATCTCTAAATCATTTGAGATATCGTGACAAAAATGGCAAAAATATCAGAAAATCTCCAATACGAATTAGTCATCATTTGGAAAAAAATTCGAGGAGAAACTCTGAGAAAAGTGAGGAGGACCGTAATCCAAAATCTGCGACAAATAACGATAAGCCCAATAAAGATTTATTTCTTGTGTCTTCGTCGCATCGTGATAGTGATAAACATACGCGAACACTCAAAAGAGAAAATTCCGACTACGACTTGCATAATAATGAGAAAAAACTAAAAAGTGCCGTGGAAACATCCTCGACTAGTAGCGAAACGAGCAATTCAGACAATCCTAGTCCGGTACGGAGAAGTAAGCGGCGTTTAGAACGATTGCATCGGAAACTGTGCTGCGATGAAGACCATGAAGGGGACAAAAAACGTAAATTGGATGACGCTACGAACTGTAGACATGGTCCGACCTCGACTTGTAGTTCTTGTGTAGGGAAAAAAGTTGACACCCCTTTACCGGCTGTGGTGCGTCGGTCATCAAACTATCGACGCCATTCTTACCATCATAATAATATTCAGGAAATCAAAAAGGTGAAGCATTCTTCCACACCTCCAACGCGAAATGTGACAATGGTGCGTGTGGAATGCGATAGTCCGATCAAGGATCCTCGCGGACATCAACGGTCGTTAAGTGATCGGGACCGGAAACAATCGGACCAGGATAATAAATGGAAGTTCCGACCACGAAATAAGAACAAGAAGTATCCATACACATACACTCGTGCTCGTGAAAAGGAGTGAATTTTCAGATTTTTGTTAAAATTTAGTGCTATTGAAAAAAATCACGTCAACCAAATTACATGGAGAAGGGGGTATACATGTAATCATTTGATCTACCAGCTGATAGAATTCCAGATCATTTTCATCTCAAGGTTACAATCTTTGATTCGGTTAGTCTTTAAATTCAATGAAACTGAATTCGTACGCCCACCCAAGTAATCGGTAACAGCCTATGAGAGCCCTATCAGCTGGTAAACCAGATAATTATAGGACTATATCCTTTGCAATTGGCTTCAACATGTGCATTATTTGAATATCATTATACGATTGATTATATTGTATACAAAGTAACTGGAATCAATTTCATTTTGAGCATAAACCGCTCGAGATACTTAGGGTCCTTTTTTCTGATCTTTCAATTCTTCGAAAGTTAATCTTTATTGTTTGCTACATTTTTACTGGGAAGTTTCAAAGCTATGTTATCGTTATGCAAATTCTGATAATGTCATAGGATGACTTAGCTAATCTAAGCTGCCAATGATAGGCTATTCGTTCCGATAGAGCTAAACATTTTGTGTATTGTATTTCTTTCAAATCATGTATCAAAATCAATATGGACTTGTGCCTGAAAGCATCCTAACTTCTGACATTTTAAGACATATCATTGGTTCAGGAGATATCTACTGAAACACTGACCAATCAGGTATTATAAAATTATTGATTTCGGATGCTTTTGGTTGCAGGTCCCAAAATATTCAAGAAAAGTGCTAATAGATTATGTATTTGTAATTGTTTGAATGTGGTCGTTATATAAGATGTATCTTAAAAAAAATCCTCGGATGTCCCTAGTAGAGTTCTATTGCATACATTCATTTATTAAACATAGAAAATGAATGCGGGTTTTTCTGGATAATACCAATTGACTCACAGGGTGTATACTAGGTCAAAATGTTTATGCACATGCTTTTATCAATCATAAAAAACTAACATGAATAGTAAGTCGAGCAGGGATGTTTATTCATATCCGTGTTGAGAACAGTCCACTTTATTTTGAGGTAGTTTAGGTAGTCTCAGACATATTACACAGTCTTTATATAGTATTCATAACCATTCACTCTGATATAAATACTCAAAGACAACTTGTCCTGCCTTGAAATAATGGACTGTTCCTGATCGTATATGGACGTGCATTAATATCTATGACCTGCTTAACTATTGGATGATTGTGGTGTTTTTATTGAACTGTATGAATGAGAAGCAATATATTATGTATATACTAAGTTTGTACAAATGTTTTTCTACCATTGCCTTTTTGTTAAGAACAAATTAAGTTACTATGTGTTCATATTTTTTAGCCAAATGTCCATCCAGTCTGGTCATGAGTATGACCCAGTGATGCCAGTTACTCACTTATAAGTGATGCTTGCTGTCCATGACTCAGTGATGCTCATGACTCAATGATTTTACTGGCTCATGACTCAGTAAACATACTGGCTCATGACTCTGTCATTATACTGACTCGTGACTCAATGTGTATATTCTGATCATTACTCAGTGATTATACTGGCTCGTGATTCAGTTATCACACTGGCTCGTGACTCAGTTATTATACTGGCTCATGACTAGGTGATCATACTGGCTCATGACTCTGTGATTATACTGACTCGTGACTCAATGTGTATATTCCGATCATGACTCAGTGATTATACTGGCTCGTGATTCAGTTATCATACTGGCTCATGACTCTGTAATTATACTGACTCGTGACTCAGTTATTATACTGGCTCATGACTCGGTGATTCTATTGATTCATGACTCGGTGATTATACTGGCTCATATCTCGGTGATTATATTGGCTCGCAACTCAATGATTCTATATCTTCACGATTCGATGATTATACTGGCTCATGACTCAGTGATAATACTGAATCATGACTCAATCGCCTAAAATCGTTGGCTCGTGAGTCACTTGTAGCATTAATTAGACAGCATAGCCGAGTCACTACCATCACTGATTCATGAGTCATTATCAAGTAGCATCACTGGGTCGTGAATCACTACAATCGTCGAGTCACTAGCATAAATGAGTCACTAGTCTTAATGAGTCACTCCCACCCATGACACAAGACCGCATCAGTGAGTCACTAACATCACTGAGTCGCGAGTCACTACCATTACTATGAGTAGACAGCATCAGTGAGTCACTACCATTACTGATTCATAAGATCACAAGTCATCAGGAAGCATCACTTTTGAGTCACTAGCATCAGTGAGTCACTGCCATCGTTGAGTCACTATGATTAATCAGTCACTGACTCACGGGTAGACATCACCGAGTCACTAGCATGAATGAGTCACTAACTGTTATGAAGGTAGTATTAATGAGCCGCTAGCATCAATGAGTCACTATCGCCAATGACTCATAATAAGACATCTTCAGTGAGTCACTAGCATCACTGAGTCGTGAGTCACTACCGTCGTTGAGTCACTAGCATTCATGAGTTACTGACTTACGACATCAATGAGTCACTATCACCAATGACTCATAATGAAACATCTTCAGTGAGTCACTAGCATCACTTCGTCGCGAGTCACTACCATCGTTGAGACACTATAATTAATGAGTCACTTACTCATGAGTAGACATCACCGAGTCACTAGCATTAATGAGTCACTATCTCTTATGAAAGTAGTATTAATGAGTCACTATCAACAATGACTCATAATAAGACACCTTCAGTGAGTGACTGGCATCACTGAGTTGTGAGTCATAACCGTCGTTGAGTCACTAGCATTCATGAGTCACTGACTTACGAGTAAACAGTATCACCGAGTCACTAGCATTAATGAGTCACTATCTCTTATGAAAGTAGTATTAATGAGTCACTATCAACAATGACTCATTATAAGACACCTTCAGTGAGTCACTAGCATAAATGAGTCACTGTTATGAAGGTAGTACTAATGAGCCGCTAACATCATTGAGTCACTAGCATCACTGAGTCGTGAGTCACTACCGTCGTTGAGTCACTAGCATTCATGAGTCACTGACTTACGAGTAGACGTAACCGAGTCACTATCAACAATGACTCATAATAAGACACCTTCAGTGAGTCACTAGCATCACTGAGTCGTGAGTCACTACCATCGTCGGGTCACTAGCATTCACGAGTCACAAACATTCATGAGTCACAGTATTAATGAGTAATCAGTGAGTCACTAGCATTAATGAGTCATTAACCCTTATGAAAGTAGAATTGATGAACCGCTTACATCAATGAGTCACTATCACCAATGACTCATAAAAAACATCTCCAATGAGTCACTAGCATCACTTCGTCGCGAGTCACTACCATCGTTGAGTCACTATAATTAATGAGTCACTTACTCATAAGTAGACATCACCGAGTCACTAGCATGAATGAGTCACTATCTCTTATGAAAGTAGTATTAATGAGTCACTATCATAAATGAGTCACTAACTGTTATGAAGGTGGTACTAATGAGCCCCTAACATTATTGAGTCACTAGCATCACTGAGTCGTGAGACACTACCGTCGTTGAGTCACTAGCATTCATGAGACACTGACTTACGAGTAGTCAGTATCACCGAGTCACTAGAATTAATGAGTCACTGACTCACGAGTAGACGTCACTATCAACAATGACTCATAATAAGACACTTTCAGTGAGTCACTAGCATCACTGAGTCGTGAGTCACTACCATCGTTGAGTCACTTGCATTCACGAGTCACTAACATTCATGAGTCACAGTATTAATGAGTAATCAGTGAGTCACTAGCATCACCGAGTCGTGATTCACTAGCACCATGAGTCACTTCCATCAATGAGTCAGTGACATTAATGAGTCACTGACTTACGAGCAGACAGTATCACTGAGTCACTAGCATTAATGAGTTACTAACCCTTAGGAAGGTTGTATTAATGAGTCACTATCAACAATGACTCATAATAAGACACCTTCAGTGAGTGACTGGCATCACTGAGTTGTGAGTCATTACCGTCGTTGAGTCACTAGCATTCATGAGTCACTGACTTACGAGTAAACAGTATCACCGAGTCACTAGCATTAATGAGTCACTATCTCTTATGAAAGTAGTATTAATGAGTCACTATCAACAATGACTCATAATAAGACACCTTCAGTGAGTCACTAGCATTAATGAGTCACTAACCCTTATGAAGGTAGAATTGATGAACCGCTAACATCAATGAGTCACTATCACCACTGACTCATAATAAAACATGTTCAGTGAGTCACTAGCAACACTGAGTCACTACCATCGTTGAGTCACTAGCTTTCATGAGTCACAGTATAAATGACTCAGTCATGCTAGCAGACTCAGTCATGCTACCTACATTTGAGTCAGTGATGATAGTGGCCCACGCCATTAGCATTACTGCTCTCATTAACCCGTTAACTGATAGAATCGCTGAATGGTTAGCAGATAAAACTACTGTACCAAGTCGTAAGGATGTATCACTGATAGAACTACGGAGTTGTGAGTGGATAGAGTCGTGTCCAAACCACTCCCCTAGTCGTTATACTTAATAAGACCATGTCAAAACCCTTATTCGTGATACGATGGGTGGATAGATTCTTTGAGTAGTGAGGTGGCGGCAGCATCACCGAGTCAAGAATGTTGAAAACGGGAAGAACTACAGACTTAGGAGCAGGTGACAGGTCGATTTAAGGTTACGAGTAGTCAGTATCACCGAGTTACTAGCATTAATGAGTCACTAACTCTTATGAAGATAGTATTAATGAGCCGCTAACATCAATGAGTCACTATCACCTATGGCTCATAATAAGACATTTTCATTGAGTCACTAGCATCACCGAGTCACTAGCATTAATGAGTCACTAACCCTTATGAAGATACTATTGATGACCTGCTAACATCAATGAGTCACTATCACCAATGACTCATAATAAGACATTTTCAGTGAGTCACTAGCATCACCGAGTCACTAGAATTAATGAGTCACTGACTCACGAGTAGACGTAACCGAGTCACTATCAACAATGACTCATAATAAGACACCTTCCGTGAGTCACTAGCATCACTGAGTCGTGAGTCACTACCATCGTTGAGTCACTAGCATTCATTAGTCACAGTATTAATGAGTAACTATCACCAATGACTCATAATAAACAGAATCAGTGAGTCACTAGCATCACCGAGTCGTGATTCACTAGCACTTAATGAGTCACTGACTTACGAGTAGACAGTATCACTGAGTCACTAGCATTAATGAGTCACTAACCCTTATAAAGGTAGTATTAAACAGTCACTATCAACAATGACTCATAATAAGACACCTTCAGTGAGTCACTAGCATCACTGAGTCGTGAGTCACTACCGTCGTCGAGTCACTAGCATTCATGAGTCATTGACTTACGTGTAGACAGTATCACCGAGTCACTAGCATTTATGAGTCACTATCTCTTTTGAAAGTAGTATTAATGAGTCACTATCAACAATGACTCACAATAAGACACCCTCAGTGAGTCACTAGCATGAATGAGTCACTAACTGTTATGAAGGTAATATTGGTGACCCACTAACATCAATGAGTCACTATCACCAATGACTCGTAATAAGACATCTTCAGTGAGTCACTAGCATCACTGAGTCGTGAGTCAATACCGTCGTTGAGTCACTAGCATTCATGAGTCACTGACTTACGTGTAGACAGTATCACCGAGTCACTAGCATTAATGAGTCACTATCTCTTATGAAAGTAGTATTAATGAGTCACTATCAACAATGACTCATAATAAGACACCTTCAGTGAGTCACTAGCATGAATGAGTCACTAACTGTTATGAAGGTAATATTGATGACTCGCTAACATCAATGAGTCACCATCACCAATGACTCATAATAAGACATCTTCAGTGAGTCACTAGCATCACTGAGTCGTGAGTCACTATCGTCGTTGAGTCACTAGCATTCATGTGTCACTGACTTACGAGTAGTCAGCATCACCGGTCATTAGAATAAATGAGTCACTAACTTACGTGTAGACATCACCGAGTCACTATCAAGAATGACTCATAATAAGATACCTTAAGTGAGTCACTATTATCACTGAGTCGTGAGTCACTACCGTCGTTAAGTCACTGACTCACGAGAAGACATCACCAAGTCACTAGCATTAATGAGTCACTTAATCTTTTGAAGGTAGTATAAATGATTCACTATCACGAATGACTCATAATAAGACATCTTCTTATGAAAGTAGTATTAATGAGTCACTATCGCCAATGACTCATAATAAGACATCTTCAGTGAGTCACTACCGTCGTTGAGTCACTAGCATTCCTGAGTCACTGCCATCAACTAGGTCCCTAGCATTAATGAGTCACTAACTCTTATGAAGGTAGTATTGATACGACGCCAACATTAATTAGTCACTATCACCAATGACTCATAATAAAACATCTTCAGTGAGTCACTAGCATTACAGAGTTGTGAGTCACTACCATCGTTGAGTCACTATAATCAATGAGTCACTGACTCACGAGTAAACATAACAAAGTAACTAGCATTGATGAGTCACTAACTGTTATGAAAGTAGTATTAATGAGTCACTATCACCAATGACTCATAATAAGACATCTTCAGTGAGTCACTAGTCGTGATTCATTGCCGTCGTTGAGTAACTAGCATTCCCGTGTCACTGTCATCACCTAGTCACTAGCATTAATGAGTCACTGACTCACGAGTAGACATCACCGAGTCACTAGCATTAATGAGTCACTAACTCTTATAAAGGTAATAATGATGAGCCGCTAACCTTAATGACTCACCAATGACTCATAATAAAACATTTTCAGTAAGTCACTAGCATCACTGAGTCGTGGGCCATTACCGTCGTGGAGTCACTAGCATTCATTTGATACTTACTCACGAGTACACATCACCGAGTCACTAGCATTAATGAGCCACTAATTCTGATGAAGGCAGTATTAATGAGCCGCATCAATAAGTCACTATCATCGATGACTCATAAGACAATACCAGTGAGTCACTAGCATTCGTGTCACATCCATCACCTAGTCACCAGCATTAATGAGTCACTGACTTAGGAGTAGACAGTATCACCGAGTCATTAGCATTAATGCGTCACTAACTCTTATGAAGGTAGTATTAATGAGCCGCTAACATCAATGAGTCACTTACACCAATGACTCATAAGAAAGCATCAGTGAGTCACTAGCATCACTAAGTCTTGAGTCACTACGGTCGTTGAGTCACTTCCATCACCTAGTCACTAGCATTCATGAGTCACTAACTCTTATGAAGGCCATATAAATGAGCCGCTAACATCAATGAGTCACTATCACCAATGGCTCATAATAAGATAGCATCAGTGAGTCACTAGCATCATTGAGTCGTGAGTCACTTCCATCACCGAGTCAGTAACATTGATGAGTCACTGGCTTACGAGTAGACAGTATCACCGAGTCACTATCATTAATGAGTCTCTAGCATCAGTGAGTCAATAACGAGTCATTAGCATCAGTGAGTCGTGAGTCGCTACCATTACTGACTCATGTGTAAACAGCATCACTGAGTCACAACCATCAGTTATTATCATTACAGAGTCGTGAGTCACTAACATCACGAGTCGCGGGTCACAGATTCATGAGAATCTAGCATTAATGAGTCGATTGCATAATTGTCACCGTAAAGCTACCTGCTCATGACTTTGTCATGCTAGCGACTCAGTCATGCTACCTACATTTGAGTCAGTGATGATAGTGACCCACGCCATTAGCATTACTGCTCTCATTAACCCGTTAACCGATAGAATCACTGAATGGTTAGCAGATAAAACTACTGTACCAAGTCGTAAGGATGCATCACTGATAGAACCACTGAGTTGCGGGTAGATAGCATCTTTGAGTAGCGAGGTGACGGCAAAATCACTGAGTCAAGAGTGTTAAAAACGGGAAGAACTACAGACTTATGAGCAGGTAGCAGGTCGATTTAAGGTTCTGCTCATGACTCAGTGATGCTACCAGCTCACAACTCAATGATGCATTCAGTACCATGACTCAGCGATGCTCGCTATGTACAACCCAGTGATGCCAACTGCTCGCAATTCCAATTGATGCATTCAGTACCATGACTCATTGATGCTATAGTCTCAAGGCTCAGTGATGCTATTGACTCAGTGATGCTAACTGTTTACAATCCAGTGATGCTAGCTATTCAAAACTCTGTAAAGCTAGCTGCTCACAACTCGGTGATGCGTTAAATACTATAACTCAGCGATGCTCGTTATCGACAACTCAGTGATGCCAACTGCTCACAACTCAGTGATGCATTTAGTACCATGACCCATTGATGCTATAGTCTCCAGGCTATGTGATGCTATTGACTCAGTGATGCTAACTGCTCACAACTCAGTGATGCTAGCTATTCAAAACTCAGTAAAGCTTGATGCTCACAGCTCAGTGATGCTAGCTACTCCTGACTCAGTGATGCAAGCTATTTACGACTCGGTGATGCTAGCTATTCACAACTCAGTGATGCTAGCTATTTACAACTCAGTAATGCCAGCTATTCACAACTCAGTGATGCCAGCTATTCACACGTCATTGATGCTATAGACTGAGTGAAGCTAGCAGCTCGTGACACAGTGATGCTAGCTATTAACAACTCAGTGATGCTCAATATTCACAGATCAATGATGCTATAGTCTCACAACTCAGCTATAATCTCACAACTCAGTGATGCTTAATATTCACAGCTCAATGATGCTAGTCTCACAGCTCAGTGATGCTAGCTATTTACAACACAGTGATGCTAGCTATTCAAAACTCAGTGAAGCTTGATGCTCACAACTCAGTGATGCTAGCTACTCCTGACTCAGTGATGCAAGCTATTCACGACTCGGTGATGCCAGCTATTCACACGTCATTGATGCTATAGGCTGAGTGAAGCTAGCAGCTCGTGACACAGTGATGCTAGCTATTAACAACTCAGTGATGCTTAATATTCACAGATCAATGATGCTATAGTCTCACAACTCAGCTATAGTCTCAAAACTCAGTGATGCTTAATATTCACAGCTCAATGATGCTAGTCTCACAACTCAGTGATGCTATAGTCTCACAACTCAGTGATGCTAGCTATTTATAACACAGTGATGCCAGCTATTCACAAGTCATTGATGCTATAGGCTGAGTGAAGCGAGCAGCTCGTGACACAGTGATGCTAGCTATTAACAGCTCAATGATGCTATAGTCTCACAACTCAGTGATGCTTAATATTCACAGCTCAATGATGCTAGCCTCACAGTGATGCTAGCTGTTCACGACTTAGTGATGCTATAGTCTCACAACTCGGTGATGATAGCTGCAAAAGACTCAGTGAAGCTAGCTGCAACACAACTCAGCGATGCTAACTATTTACAACGATGCCAGCTATTAACTCAGTGATGCTAACTGTTCAAGGCTCAGTGAAGCTAGCAGCTCGTGACACAGTGATGCTTGCTATTTACAACTCAGTGATGCTTACTATTCACAGCTCAATGATACTATAGTCTCACAACTCAGTGATGCTAGCTGCTAAAAATGCAGTGCTGCTAGCTGTTCACGACTTAGTGATGCTAGCTATTCACAACTCAGTGATGCAAGCTGTTCACCATTCAGTGATGCTAGCTATTCACAACTCAGTGATGCTAGCTGCTCAAGGCTCGGTGATGCTATCTGCTCAAAACTCAGTGATGCTAGTTGCTCAAGGTTCGGTGATGCTAGTTATTTACAACCCAGTGAAGCTAGCTGCTCACAACTCAGTGATACTAGCAATTCACAACTCAGTGATGCTATAGTCTCACAACTCGGTGATGCTAGCTATTTATAACACAGTGATGCTAGCTATTCACAACTCAGTGATGTTAGTAGCTGTCCATGACTCAGTGATGCTCTAGTCATAGCTCATCAGTGATAGGATAGCTATTCACGACTCAGTGATGCTAGTTATTTACAACTCAGTGATGCTAGCTATTCATAACACAGTGATGTTAGCAGCTCACAACTCAGTGACACTAACTGTCAACATTTCGAGCAATTAAGTGAAGAACACCCAAGTTTAAAACTTCCCCATTTTCCACAATATTTAATATTCATTTTATAATAAATTGTTCACAAAACAAGAGAAGCTATAGCGCATATCAATTTACAATTGATCAATAAATATAATGAAGAAACTGAACCAGTTTCTCACAAAATCATTTCTAATAATCTGATTGGTCAATTACCAAATAGATTCAAGACAAAACAATGAAATAAAATAATAAAGAGCAAACTAATTGACTGAATTTATGAATTAAACATTGTATTTGTGACTTTTGACAACATAAAATTTTGGCAATGCACGCATTCCAAATACAACAAATACATATTCTTGTTCGTTATATTTTGGCAAAAATAAAATTTTAAATAACAAAATAATATTGCTAAAGACAAACACAAAAAACTTAACAAAATCTCTTGAAATACACTTTAAAAACAACAAAATAATAATAAATAGCTATAATTCTGTGTTTACCATACAACTTAGAGCGTAATATGAATATTTGCAGCCAGGAAAAAGGCAGGAGTATGAGAGAAGTCATCTTCAAAATGTCAAGGTATTAGAAACTTCGTACTGATACCTTGACTTCAATAGCCACCTTTCTTCTAAATGAAGCAATTTGATTGGATTGTACACCAGCTTATACAACCAATTAGAGACCTCAACAGAAAGTCTGTGAACACAAAGCCACAATGTTTACAGCCTTTTGTCATTGGCTGTATTCACTGGCGTACAATCCAATCAAATCTCTGCATTCCATGATAAAAGAAAGGCGTCTATTGTAATCAAGGTATTAGACGAAGTTCATAATAGCTTGTGAAGATGGAGAGAAGTGAGCACTATAGTTCAACCATCTTTTAAGTATTTTTTAAGAGTAATCTTTAGTGGAATATATTTGTCAAGGTATGCATATATCTAAGACTTGAGTTTTTAAGTATATTTTGAGAGTGAAAAGTGTGAGCATTATATTCGCAATGATACAGTATATGTAATAACAAAAATATGCTTTGAGTCTTGATTTATATTTCATTACATCTTCATAATATCAAGCTATTACCAACTGTATCTAATACCTTGACTTCATTGAGCTTTTTTCTTGTGTCACAGAATGCTGCGATTTGATTGGATTGTGCTTCCTATATACAGCATCCACAGATAGCCTATAGACACAAAGCCATTATGTTTACAGCCTTTCTGCAAGGGCATTGATTAGCTGTATTCAGTAGAGCACAATCCAATTAAATCACTGCATACTTCCATAATGCAAAAAAAGAACCTAATGAAGTCAAGGTATTAGACACAGTTTGTAATAGCTTGACATTGTGAAGATGAGAGCCTTATCTGTAGGTATATTTGATCAAATGAGCTGATACCATTGTATTTATATCCTTGGACCACTTTTATCCACTGTTTTTGTCTTCTTTAATCCTCCTTTACTAAACGATGATATAGAACTTAATAAAGCCCCTCGTCCCTCTGTATTTCCTCCAGCTGGCGCTGACACTGATCTCATTGGGGGTCCAGGTGGGGGTGGGGGCGGAGGTGCTGCAGCTACTGCTGGTGGAGAAGGAGGTACAGGGGCAGCCACAGGTGGTGGTGGTGGTGGTGGAACAGGAGATGCTGAAAAATAAAATCATATAAAAATTACTCTTTGAGCTCTATCAGCTAGGAAGTAAATATCTGGACAAATATACAAATATTCGAGCTCAATTTTTGTTCATAGCACTTATCAGAATTAGAATATGAAGTTGAATGATCCTGCAATCCAACAGAATCATACTGAGTTATTCTAGACCATCAACGCTTCTACAAAGGTATTTGCACTCTTGCATGCTTACTGGAAGTTTAGGCTATTGTCACTTTTATTACAGTATGACCACAATTGAGTATCAGCTGGTCAAGTTAGTATAAGGATGACTTAATGCCTTTGATGGAGTCAAAATTTACATAAATATAAGTGCTTGAATGATATAAATTTGCTTTTCATTAGAGGCACCATGTTAAAATAAACTGTAAACTTAATAGGAATTAGAAATTATTATTGAAACAGGTAAGTATTTTCTGGAGGTGAAGTAAGAAAGTCATCTAAATATTGCATTTCATAGCTGTAAAAGTTCAGGTGTAGATCCTGCATCGCTTTTCAGCACGAAAAATTATTTTTCCTGATTTAAAAGGGAAGAAATAGATGCAGGATGCCTATCTTCCTTCAGAACGCATATTTAATTAGAACACAAACATACAATTTAAGGCAAGGCATGCTAAAACAGATTTAGGCATAGCACAAAGTTTTCATATCTGCTTTCTTTAAGCCAAATCGCTTTAGGCAAATAAAAAATCTAACATTCTCTAACCCACATCGCTTTAGGCAAATAATATTTTTTATCATGCTCAAATCCATATCCTTAGCTTTAGCTGAATCATAATATACCAATAACACACAGTAATATCAGTTTCCCCAATAATATACACCAATACAAGAGAAAATTTCCAATAGTTCAAGATAGATAACTCTTAAGGTCTGTGTCAAAAAAACATTCTGAAAATCAAGTTCCATAACTCTTCAAGGGATCTAGGCAGCCCCAAACCCCTGACTAAATTATTGTCTCCTTCATAGCTTATACATATTTATGGCCCTGGATTAATGGAACGCTTTACGTCTATTCTTAATAGAATAGCTCGGTCTTAATTAGACATCAAGAAAAAGATAAAATTGATTACGAACAACAATATTACATATTTAGAAAAAACGAACAAGACACATACCAGAGAGTTACAGCCAGAAATAATACAACAGTTCATATCTACAAATTTAGGAGAATTTGACATACACTCACAGCCTAGATGGAAGCATTTTAACAAGGATAACAACTTAGATTCACAAGGATCCTTTCTACCAGATCTTGGTTTGATCTTTTCCAGATTATCAGTACCCATTTACAGCTGGGTCATCTGAGAACACTGTGGTAAGATGACACCCAACTGAGATAAGAACCCAAAAACACCATTTATTCGACCTAAATAAGCAAATGACATCATTCCATAGCCAGCAAAAAGCTTACCAAGCAATTTCTAGCCAGTGACATGCAATTTCTATAATCCATATCCACACACTTTCAATGCAGGGGTAAAATACTGCGCACTATATTCGCAAATGTACAGTATGTGAATTCTCCTAAATTTGTGAGTTAGAAATTAAGACCTATAAGATATATTCAGAGACTCAACTAACATACTGGTTGAACCAAATCCACATGCCCCACATCTCTAAGGGGACCTCCCAGAAAAAGTGCAACAGAGCGTGTTAAAAAATATTACCTGGGGAGGGTCACCAAGCCACTTAAATAAACCACCCCCCGGGCCATTTATCTAGTTGAGGCACTGAATATATCTAATAGAAATACACTGGCTAAATTAATATAGATCTTACTTGATACAAACACACTGTTAATCTAATTAGCTGTAGACCACAAAAAATATATCAAAATCACTGTATTAGTTATGTGGACACTCTAAAATTATGGCAAGTTGATAAACCCAGGCACAAAATTATGTTAAGGTTTTTGGACTATTCAATACAATGGAAAATTTATGAACCCAAATACCAAAATAAACATGAATTATTTTGAATATCTCAGAAAATTATATTGACTTGACAAATCCGATGTCATAGTGGTACCAGGTGCTACAGAGTGGACAGTGGGCATAGCCTGACACTTACAGACACCAAAGAAACATCATTGTCAACCATAACCACTCCATCAAACACATCATTACAAAATTTGTGCTAATAGAGAATCAGTAAACCATACACCTTAATACTTGTGCCCTTATTCATCAAAAATATCTACCATAGACATTCATGTAAATTTAAACCCCGTTTCTTAAGAAATCTTACAACAAAAATTGTCTAATGTGAGAAAATTTACATGGAGGAATACAAAACTTCGCGAAATTTTTTGAGAAACAGGGCCAAAATTTTACCAATGTCAATTCATTTTTTTTACTTGATCATAGAATTTTAAATTAAGGAGTGCTCTGGTGTGGGATAGAAATTAGTTAGGCATATCTAAGTAAGCAAAGCGGTAAGACACAAGTACAAACCTGGTCCAGTACTGCTTGGTGTTGTTGTCTTTGATGAAGAGGGTGGTGCAGTTGGAGAAGTTGGAGAAGTTGGACTTTGTACTTCTAAAGTACCGTTTTCTAATGCTTTCTGAAAAAAAAGGGCAGCATCCAATGTCAAAATGCTGAGAAATCAACCGTTCTAAGATCCTGATGCTGAATTCATATCAGAAACATGGTATCCTCCCAGATGTAATCATTGTGATTAGTAAAAGTTAACTGTCTGTATACTATGATTATTGTAGACAAACTAGATGTCAAATTTTCATTCTTAAAAGTACTTTAGACAGCTAATATAGAGCTTCATCAACCAAGGAAACTAATATTTATATGTATATATCCCTTTAATTTCTATCAGCTGGTAAAGCTAATATTTAGAGGACTATATCACTTAAAGGGATTGTAAAGAGGTCTAAACTAATCATTTTATGATGTCAATAAGGCATAAAATCTGATTGTAAATTGATGCTATCAGTGTTCTTGATACACATAAAAATTAAGAAAACCTCTTTACAATCCCTTTAAGTTTCTTGAAAATAAGCCCTTGATTTTAGAATTCATTGTTCAGTCCTACCTTTCTTGACTTTCTACGTTTTTTCTTCTCTTCTTCTGACATGTGGAATTCCTTGGCCTTCGACAATCTCTTAATCTTACTGATCTAGTAAAACACAGAAATAGAATGGGATATCACTCATAATTACTTACTTTGAGTACAAGCCTTAAAGGCCCTTGTTCGCCACATTCAGAGGTCGATTTGGGCCTTGAATATATGAAGATAGTCTTCAGGAGTACAAAACTCAACAAAAATCGCACAATTCCTTCAAAAATCATTCATTTTAAGACAAATAATTCAGGATAAACATGGCTAAGAAGGCTCAAATTTTGATGGGTACCTGTGAACACTATTACTGATTAGCCAAGCAACAAAATTCCAGTTTCTGAGACTAGGGTACAACTGGTCCAATGGATGGTCCCTTTAACTCACTTTTTTTTGTTCTTCATGCAGTCTGTCTTCGAACTGGGATTTGGCTGTTTTTAAAACATCTTTTAATTTATGTGGTATTTTTAGTTGTGGTTTGTCTTTAACTTGCTGGCCGACATCCGAAAACAACCTGAAATAGATAAACCCTTACCACACTCAGATTTACATAATAAAATGTCATATACCAACTACTTTTCTGTACAGGCAATGAGGGAAATTTGCCAGGACTGCGACAATAGCCTACAGCTTTTCAATTTCCAAGGGATTTTTAAATGTGCACAGCTTGAATAGCACACAGGGCCTCCCATAGGAAAGGCTAGACGCTTTTTCATGCCAGTCCCTAGGGTGGGGAACCAGGTTGAAAAATCCAAATTAACCAAGTTAATAAACAATGAATATTCACATAAGATGCAAATTTCAATTTGAAATCTTCATCTAAATACGGAAATACACAAAAAAATATTAAAAACCTAAACTTACGGATGCATGAATAAGTCAGCCAGTGCTGGAATGCCATTTTTACAAGCTTCTGTCGTTAAGATAGATTCTAGTACAGACCCTGTTAAAAAAAGACCGAAAACAAATTTAAATATGAGCAGGACACCAGGGAAGGATAACCCTTTAACAAGCAACGCAACACCTCTTACTACACACATGATTGATGATCCCTACCCCCAAGGATTCAGAAAGGGTAAACCATACTTATTGATTTAAGCAAGACACTCTGAGGCTGACCTCTTACACTACCAAAACTTGTCCCCACCCCCCACTTTCTCAAGCTTGGTGACCCTTTTTGTCTACTACAGATTCCAATGAACCCTAGTTATACTTACTACTTTGAGCAGGCCACTTGTGGGGGCAGGGGTGGGGAAATCATCACAATATCCCCTTAACACACAACCCTGCCACTTCACTACCCGAATACACTGGAATACCTGAGACCTAAATATCTCACAGATTTGAGCTGGTCAGTGGTCACTCTTTGGGAAAATTATTGTAGGAGGGTGACACCTTACACTACCCACATGCTTTCTGACCTCCCCTTCCCACCCCCCCAAAAAGGGGGTATTAACTCTACAGACGTAGGCCATTCTGGTACAATATATCATAGGTAGAGCCACCCAAGCAATACTTACTGATTTGAGCGGGACACTCAGGGGGGAAGTTATCACAGGAAGGTGTATTAAGTTGGGTACCAAACGTCATTTCATACAGAACATGACCAAAACAATAAACATCTATTAACTCTACAGTCTGTAATATAAATAGTACCGGTATACAATGTCTATTAACTCTACAGTCTGTAATATAAATAGTACCGGTATACAATGTCTATTAACTCTACAGTCTGTAATATAAATAGTACCAGTATACAATGTCTATTAACTCTACAGTCTGTAATATAAATAATACCGGTATACAATGTCTATTAACTCTACAGTCTGTAATATAAATAGTACCGGTATACAATATCTATTAACTCTACAGCCTGTAATATAAATAGTATTGGTATACAATGTCTATTAACTCTACAGTCTGTAATATAAATAGTACCGGTATACAATGTCTATTAACTCTACAGTCTGTAATATAAATAGTACCGGTATACAATGTCTATTAACTCTACAGTCTGTCATATAAATAGTACCGGTATACAATGTCTATTAACTCTACAGTCTGTAATATAAATAATACCGGTATACAATGTCTATTAACTCTACAGTCTGTAATATAAATAGTACCGGTATACAATGTCTATTAACTCTACAGTCTGTAATATAAATAGTACCGGTATACAATGTCTATTAACTCTACAGTCTGTAATATAAATAGTACCAGTATACAATGTCTATTAACTCTACAGTCTGTAATATAAATAGTACCGGTATACAATGTCTATTAACTCTACAGTCTGTAATATAAATAGTACCGGTATACAATGTCTATTAACTCTACAGTCTGTAATATAAATAGTACCGGTATACAATGTCTATTAACTCTACAGTCTGTAATATAAATATTACCGGTATACAATGTCTATTAACTCTACAGACGTAGGCCATTCTAGTTAATATTATGGTGTCTGTGTTATGCCAACCTGTCAGGACAGGGCGTCTGACAGAATTTACCAGATATACATGGTGTGCATCATATTCGCTATTATACTTTACCTGTATTTTTTTATATTGAGTATAAAAGGGTCTATAATAAGAAGGTAAACCCAGTAAACTATTATGTATATCAGTTAGATAACAAACATCATTATCAAGTATAATATTACCAGTATGTAGATGACCTGCAAATACAAAACACAGTGTGCAAATATTTACATCTTACAGAGTATATTTTAAAACATTTTTTAATATCATAGTTGAGAGTGGAAGATAAAGACTTCAGGGGAAAAAACCACATGCATTCATACAACCCCCCATTGTAATAGATCATATCAAGTAAACCTTTAGTGCTTAACAAGTAGGCATAGGAGGTCATAATCCCATAGAAAGTGAAGGCTATGATCTCACTTACCCTGAGCTTAATGCTAGCTGTCAATCAAAATGTCATGTGACTGTCAAATTCTTAACAATTAAGTAAGCCACTGAATAGAATATTTACCCTACAGTGATTGGATGGAGAAGTGGGTTCTAAATGATGACAAAACATAGTCGGATTAGTGTAAATAAAAACCATAATTGCCTACAATACCAATTCCTGCTATAAGTGCCCAAGATACACATAAAAAAGGCCAGAAAACCTCTTTACAATCCCTTTAACAAAATGCAAAAATCTACTCACCATGTGGAATGTGTTTCTCCTGTAAAAATTTCAATGTTTCCAAAATCTGTTTTCCGTATAATTTGATCGCTCTCATATCTAGAGGAGAACACAGTTTTGGGTTGGAGTATTTTTTAATGTAATGTCCTTTTGGTTTACATTTACACAAATAATCACGTAACGTTCCTTTCTCGCAATAACTAGATATCACAAGTCCTCCATTTTCATTGGACGTAGAAAACACCGGGGTTAAAATATGAGGATGCTGTAACGAAACAAAACAAATCAGATAAAAAAATTTCAAATTCATAAAAATTATATAAGTTTAATTACTGCAAGTTTGATACTAAAAAATCATGAAATAATAAGCTGGCTAACTGAAATCTTTAAGTTCTACGACCAATGTATGTCCTATTTTCTGCTGGGAATTGGGCTTATGAAGATGAGCAAAGCCGTGCAGTATGCAATGATGGGCATTTTGCCACGATCATAGCTGCATTAGCCACTTTCTTTGATTTCAAAACGTCAATGATCTTTAGCAACTGGTCTTATGCGAGTAACCATAAGTTCCTATCCCCGTCGACCTGAATCAAGATTTATCCGATTTGAAAAGTCAACTTGAAACGGGACAGACAGGTGGACACATGAAGATGACAATGCCGTCATTAAGGAGAAATTACACCAACCTGTATACTTGATAATAAAGTCATTATGGCTGTCAATTCTCTCTCTCCTATATACTGATACAGTCCAAAATCACTCTGGAATAAAATTAAATAAAGACATATACTGTATAATGGTGAATATATTGCACATCTCTTTAAACCCTACAATAATGAGAAATTATGTTTATGTGCTCCCTTTCCTTTGATAAATCTGGAGAAATCTGCAATGGTAAATAATACGTACCTCATATGGGCAAAATTAATTTTAATACCTACCCAAGATAAAATCTGTTTTATTTTTGGTTGACCAATAGGTTTCACCATGATATAATGCTTTCTTATTCTTGTACCTGAAATAAAAAAAAACCTGTTAGAAACACAAGAGCTTTGGTTCAATCTGAACCAATATGTGACATACCTGCATTCACTAACAGGGGGAAATCACCTAAAAATAAATCTGCATAAGTGACGGAGAAAGCAAGGATGAAACTAAAGGTATCATTTCAACTCATAGCTTAACTAACTTTTTAAGGTGCTCCTGCCTTTCGACCTGCTTCACTGACGTAGAAAATGAAAATGAAAATATAAAGGCACTTATATATGCTCACCTATATCTACAAGAGGTTCTATGACATCCCATTTCGGTTCCGATCGGAAGATCATTGAGACATGTTGTAATGCTACTTCTGAAAATATACAAAAAAAGGAATAAGTGTACAAAAATTTTAAATGTGGAGCTTACCTGAAACTAAGTGTAAATATTACTTAGTTTTAGTGCCTACCTGGGAAATTAGTAGAATATGTTTTAGGATCCAGGAATCTTTTAACACATAAAGACTGACTCAGAAAATGGTTGGATAAAACTGAATCCAGAAAATCCTGAAAAGATAAAATACAATCGTTTATAAGAAAGAGAATCACAAAGTTGAAAATATCAATCAAAGATTATATCAGTTAAACCTTTCAACACAAGCAACCACTCTTCTAACAAGCAAAATCCTCTAGCCATAGGACTCTGTAACCCTGACCCGAAAATTTGAGTAGGCCCTAGCCCTGCTTACCTGTAACCCTTTCTGTCTCACAGCAATGAATTCTCTTTCAAAATTTCCAAACACTTTCTTAGGAGGTAGTTTAAACTCAATATTTGAGATGCGTAACTGTGATTCTAAATTATCAAAATCGCTGTATCGCTTTGTCAGTTGCCAAGTGTTCTCTTTCCCTGCTCCTCTCTGGACCTTTAAAATATACTCCTGCAAAAAAAGATATAGTACTGGTACAATAGTACTTAGGGTTTTTGTTCGAAATTACACCAATTTTCATCTTGATTACACAATTTAGTACAACAGTGGACATCACTCTAGTATATAACTTAGCTAGTTGAAGTACAACAGTGGACATCACTCTAGTATATAACTTAGCTAGTTGAAGTACAACAGTGGACATCACTCTAGTATATAACTTAGCTAGTTGAAGTACAACAGTGGACATCACTCTAGTATATAACTTAGCTAGTTGAAGTACAACAGTGGACATCACTCTAGTATATAACTTAGCTAGTTGAAGTACAACAGTGGACATCACTCTAGTATATAACTTAGCTAGTTGAAGTACAACAGTGGACATCACTCTAGTATATAACTTAGCTAGTTGAAGTACAACAGTGGACATCACTCTAGTATATAACTTAGCTAGTTGAAGTACAACAGTGGACATCACTCTAGTATATAACTTAGCTAGTTGAAGTACAACAGTGAACCATGCTCTAGAATATTACCCAGAGTTAGGTGATGTCTGGTGTTTCCATAAGCTGACAATAGTACAACAGTGGACCACATTCTAGAATATAACACAGAATTAGTTGATGTCTGATGTTTCTATAAACAGGCCACTCTCTAGAATGTAACCAAAAGTTAGGTGATGTCTGGTGTTTCTATAAACAGACAATAGTACAGTTGACCACTCTCAAGAATATAACCCAAAGGTGATGTCTGGTGTTAGGTCTACTAAAAACAGACATTAGTGGTTCACCATTCAGAATTTAACCTAGAGTTCATGATGTCTGTTGTTTCTGTGAAAAAGATTAAAATGTCATTATTCAGGTTGTGACTTACATCCTGCTAGACTAATCCTACATTACATCCATACTATCGTGTCGCAGACATAAGTCGTAAAATACGGAACTTACGATATGGTCGCCTGTTTTTTGAGCTGTTTCAATGTAAGCCGACAAAACCTCCGTGTCATCTATTTGAGCTTTCGATGAAGATGTTTTCTCAAACAAAGCCATCTTTGAAAATCACCAAAACGATGTCTATTTAAAGAAATATTAGACATTCGCTTGTGATTTTGAAGTTTTGTGTTGACATTTTGAGAAGGGGGCGTTCCATATGGCCGTTAATCGGTCTCGAATATACCTTATGATGATTGTCGTAAAATGTCAATGTCGTTATTGCACTTTATTTTAAATATACAACCAACTAAAATTTGCTTTTATTTTAGGGAACGAGAACTAAATGGCTTGATTGAACTACACTAATCGTTATCTTTACAAATTAGTGGATTAGTGAATCATGATATCTAGTGTAATCTTGTCGAAACGTTGCATAAAATTACCACCAATACTTCAGATATGATAATGATATTCACGACCCTGAACATGATTTATCAAGATCAAACGATGTGATATCAGTATAGTCCGAAACAGGGCCAAGATTTAATTACATAGGACCTAGGCCTAATATTGGTCATATATACCAAGAATAGGCCTATCGATGTGCCGTATTTAGTAGCGGCGCAAGTTGAATTTTTACTTTTGATGGTGGCATAGCGTAATAACGCAAAAACTATGTCTTTTTACATTAATGTAAACAAAGACCGTCTCTACCCTTTAAAATTTCAGATTGAAAAAAGTTCAGATGCTCGGACTATCGTCGGCTGACAGTAGATAATAATCCAATATGTCGCGGAGTTGTGAGCGTTTACAAGAATTTCACGACCAAATCTCGACTGATTTGAAAAGGACTGTTAAATTTTGGGTGGAAAATTCGCACGATTTAGAGAAAGAGTAAGCAGATTTTCATTCTTTTCAAAGCAGAGATCTTCATCTCACCTATGACAAAACTTCCCTCATTGCACACTGTTTGACACTTCATAAACCAATGCAGAAAAGAATGACACAAAACTCTATGTGATTCTGTTTCTAACCGATAACATAAGAGGCCACGTACTTTTCGGAGCCGACTTCGGGTTAGTCTTGCAGTAAACTAGGTAGCCTACGTAGGTTCGTAAACTATTGACACTTGAAGTAATTTTTAAACGACTAGGCTAGGTCCCTATTTGTGTACATGTATATAGCCATTGGTTTCTTTTATTTTTTCAGTGGATTTTTCAACTGCCTGGGAAAAGATGGAAAAGTTTACGATACAACCAAAAATACTTGGCTACAAGGACGGCAGGTTTGTGAGTTATTCTATACCATATGTTAGTTTTAAGATTGATTCGGGATATGGCATTATTTTGGACACCAATACTACTCTACACATCCAAGCTCGACATCATTGTACAAACCTTATATATGAGTAATAGTTTCTGACGACTTGTCTTAAAGAGATGATTTCTGTATTGTTTATATATTTCAGATTTGGACTTACAGCACGCTGATAAGACATGTACCTGAGGTTTTTGGCACTGAAAAAGATAAAATTCTAGATTTTGTAGAGAAAAGTAGGTCCTTGTTTATTACATTGTTATAATGATTAAAAAATCTCTCAGCAAAAATTTCTGATTTTATGAGTAATATGACGCCCATTCTTATACTTGGACCATATTTATTATTAAATCGCAGCGAACCTAAAGTAAGAAATTAAATCTAAAAAGAGTTATGCATAACTGATTTTTTTACACTTTCAGATGAAGATCGGTGAAATTAGATGACCAAATCCCTTTAAATTATGACCCTTGGTTTATTTTTACTATTGAAGGTGCCAAGTTTCTAATTTATAAAGTGAAAGACCGCGAGACTAACAGGTGCCCGTTCAGTACCACACCAACAGGACTGGCCATCAAATACCAGAGAAGCATCTATACCGAGATCTTCTTTACAATGGCCATGATAGAGCTTTATTCTGTTACCAATAACGATCTTTATAAGGTATATGCTTACCAAAAAACAATTTTAGCTATGTAGACACACGCAAACGCAAACGAGTTGGATTGTCGTCTGCTTGGTGATTAGGTCCTATAGATTCAACCTCTGTCGCAAAGCACCACCAATATCCAAAGACATATTAAATTGTTTTGTTTCTAGGAAGAAGGGTTGAAGATGTTAGACAAGATTATCTACTGGACACAAGAAGATGACACCGAATTGGGCAGAACTGTCTTACCAGGGACAACTCCGATCCAAACTCTGGCAGTACCAATGGTAGTTCTCTCCCTTGGCCTTTTACCTTTGCCAGGTAAAACCATTAATCTTATTGAAAGGGGTGCTTTCGAACACTAGGGTTGATCCTATCATTCTCTGTGGGATTGAGAGAAAAGAGTTCTAAAAGCACTGTCTGGCCCCGAAGAGCGGCATTTTGGGTCTCGTAATCATAACCCGTTCCCATCTGGTTTGCCTATAACAAAGACTTCTTGATCCCTACGTTTAAGCCTAGGCCCCTTATTGTCACTGGAAAACTACTTTCTCTATCATTGGTACTATAACTGGAGAAGATCATGAATCCATTTTCTGTTTCTTTACAGAGGACAGAATGACAAAATACAGAGAAATAGAAGAAAAATGTGTGAAAGACATTATGAAACATATACAGGTGGGATTTGACAATAACTAAATTTCAAAATGAATGTTAGAGAGTTAAAAAGCCTTAATAATGTGGACGTATATCATTTCTATGTCCATGTAAGCTAAAGAGATCTGTTATAAACCTGGATCTAATGCGAAATGAAAACTTGGACATTTGTCTTTATGTTTCAGAGGAATGGTAAAGTTATTTTGGAGAATGTTTCTCCTGATGGAACCGAGTTGCCAGGAAGCATTGGCCGACTCATGAATCCAGGTAAAATGCCCCAAGAACTCAACACGCACGAGGTATCAATCTCGATATGAAGCTGAACAGTGGGTTTGGTTTGAGCTTTAAATCTTACCTTCAAGAAGTGAATTCTGTTCATCATCATCACCATCATCGTTATCAGAAGCTTCAGCGCCCATCAACACATCACTATGACCATTAACACAATCGACATGATCAATGTCATCATGGACTAAATCTCCACCATTTCGTCAACATCGCCATTACCATCACAATCTTCATCAAGCATCATTCGCTACAAGCCTGCAAATATCAACTTTGTATCTGTTTCAGGTCATGCTATAGAATGTGGTTGGTTTCTGCTGGAATACGCCAAGAAGTCCGGTAACTCTGAACTAAAACAGATTGCTTTAGACAAATTTATAATGGGCGCTTTTGAAAGTAAGTTACTCGGATTAACCTTCTAATAGTTTGTGCAAAAACAAAAACGGAAAAGAAAAATGCTAAGAAGAACGGTGGTAAAGATTCAAATGAAATACTTAGTAGGTCCTCACTGACACGAGAGTCGAAAATCCATAGGTTTCATCTCAATCCTATCCAGAATTCCGGTTATATAAAATAATATTACACATAGCTACCAAATATTTCTAATAAGCAACTGCCCTATGTCTAAACAAAATATAAAATTCCTACCAAGAACGATGAAGTCCGTCCATCCACCAACCAGTGTTCACGAGACAAAAAAATGAACAAAGACAGAGAGAGACAGTGGTAAATATTAATCAAGGGTGATAAGTATTAAATGAATTTAATAAAGGTTGAAAAGAACTACTTTCTGCTACTGTGTCTAATTAAAACGGTTGATTAACCCTTCGGCAAATCCCGACAGTTTCCGTAAACCCGAGCGTTCAACGGTTGATCGTTTGGATGGATACTTTATCATCTGATAAAGCAAATATATGGACGACTATATATCTTAAAGTTAATGTACTTGTACAGTACGATAATCTGCAAACAATAACTCATGCTTACTGATGCTCGTATTTCAATTTTGGAAAGTGTTACAGATGGCTGAAATTGACCTCTATTATAGATTGTGCAGCAAATATTTAGACGATTATATCACTTTAAGTACTGACTTGTATTTGGTAATCTGTAGACGATAACTCATGCTTACGTTTACTGGGACACCTTTATCCCTTGTACAATACAATTATCCATATTACTTAAGCTTACACTTACTGATGCACTTTTTCCCTTTCTTCAGGTGGTTGGGATGCGAAACATCAGGGGTTGTTTTATTTTCTGGACGTGGACGGCTGGAGTCCGACACAACTAGAATGGGATATGAAATTATGGTGGCCCCACACAGAAGCTTTGATAGCATTCCTAATGGCCTACGATCAGACCCAAGATAAAAAATATCTGGATTTATTTGAGAAGGTTTTTGATTATTGCTACCAGCATGTAAGTTAATAATAAAAATGAAAGGTGATACAGTATCTACAGAGCTGAAGAAGAGCAATTAGGAAATTCCGCATTGATAGAAATGAATCTTTAGTCTTGCAGCACATGCTATGTAGTGTACAATGGGCTAAATTTTACTCTTTTCGTCGAGGAGATTCTGGTTGGATCAACCTCCATGGCATACATTGTGTGTCCCATTCGATAGGTCAGACGCTTTTTCTGCTAGTTGCATGTGTTCATAATTACAAAACAAAACGTAGTGTTGATTGGCCAGTTTGAAAATCACGTGACATGATTTTTTGTTTGTTCTAGTTTGTGGATAAAGAAAATGGAGAATGGTTTGGTTACCTGAACCGACAAGGTGATGTGACGCATACCTTTAAAGGTGGACCATGGAAAGGTAAACCCTATTCCTAGATCATGCGAAAAGGTTCCACAGGTTCGAATCGCTCAAAACCATACAGTTGACGATGTCAGGTTTAGCACTTCTAAAAGTCGATCATATGGTGCGACAACTCGTCACGTGACTGCATTATGCCTAAAGCGCATGTACGAAAACTTCAAAGCACGTTTTACTTCCGCTCGTGAGTTCTATGGTATACGTCAGGCGTAGAGAGAATGGTTGCCGTAGATACGATTGTGATATGACGAAGGACCATATCATTCGGAAATTCTCGACAGTTTTGTAAAGGCGGTCAGGGCCCAGATCTCCATTTCATTTCATTTTCAACGAGTTGTGTATTTCAGGATGTTTTCATGTTCCCAGATGTCTGATGATGTGTCAGCTGATCCTAAAGAAATTACTGAAGAAAGAGACCGACACATAATATACAATTTTGAATAAATTCCCTTACATTTACTGTAGTTTTCTAACACTTTTTATGTGAATTGGGGAACTGATAGCATCGATTTTCACCATTCAAATTTAGAAGTCTGAAGCCTTTATGTCGTGCAATTCCACTTTAACTAAATTTCTCATGAAATTGTAGACGAACCATCCGTCGTTTGACCACAGAAAACTGCCATTGTTATCAAATGGACATCGTCATTTGGATAAGGTCTGAAAGAAAAGATACTTCTATAGAAGCACCGGCCAATAAATTAGTATTTAATAGTGAATACACAAGACCATAATGGATAGAGAGGGAGGTTATTCATCTACCAGTCCTCCGATGACCAACGACATTATTAGATCGAGATAACTTATGTAAAATCGTGCGCCTTAATATTAATACCAGAAATGAAACCGTGACTTATCTATTGGTTAAAACCATTTCTGATGCAACAAAGAATATAAATACTCGCACATGATTGGTTAATATCTCCACCGAAATCACGATGGCCAATAGAAAACTGGAACGACCATGATGAAAGCATCTCTCAAGCCCAGTTCACATCAAAGTTTCACAAGCAGCGACTTGTTAATTACGATTTAGGATTTTACTCCAAAATACAATTAATTAAAATTAATAATTAATTAATCAATAACTAATTATTACTCAAAACCGCCACCACCGGCACTGATTGGCTGAAACTGGAAGTGATATTCACTGTCCCTACCTGGCCTCAAAAATCAAAACAAACATTCTATCATGCTAGAATCCTGCCATACGACCAGGACAAAATTGGATCAACATTAGTGTGAAGGGGACTTAACTATGATAAAATCAAAATATTACCATTTATTATTCAGTCCCACGTTTTACGAAAGTTAACCGGCTGAATTCAAGTCTAATCTACAATACTGTAATACAAATAAAGTGTTTGTCATCTTTGTAATAGTCTGTTTTGGAGAGCAGTCCATCTGATCATGGCGCCCGATGCGAAACCCGGGTTGCCCAAACTCATCATGCCGACAATAGGTAGGTCAAAACTCTTTCCTTGCCCTGGCCATCTTTATTGTCCAGGTGCTGAAACGTACGACGTAAAACTTCATTTCCTTTGCTAGAGCATTGGTAGATTTTACTCTTGGCCACCTTTTTGATGGTATTTCGAGTGTCAAATCAGCTGATTGGTTCGCTGCAATAGTCCTTACCACCGAAAAGGTTCTGAAAGGAATACAGATAAAATACAGCAAAGTGTTTCATACGTTCACTCTCAGACATTGAAATTGTCACGAGGCTTCTAATGATTCTAACGTGGTGTTCGCTGATGCCATCATACCGCCAATGGCGAATAAGTTACAGCCCACCTCAAAATGGAGCAGTTTCTTGGATACATCCCCTGGTTTGCTCTATTTCTACCAAGTTATCACGACGACTATATTATAGCCCATCTTCAAATCATATTGGGAGGTTTCTGGGATTATCAAATAATAATCTGAAAATTTGTTTTGATTTCCAGGAACTAATAGAACTGCAGGAGAAGCACCAGAAAGTATCAAACAAAACGGTGTGCATGAAAATGCTTCCAGTAAACCAACCAACACGGAATCTAAGAACTCCCAGGATGCTTCCACCTCCAGGCTTCAAACTTTTAAAGAGAAATTTTTTTCTTGGCGTTGGAGACTAGCAGGCATTGTCTGCTTAGGAAACTTTGTGGTGATGACGTTACGTGGTTCTATGGCTATTGCTATAGTGTGTATGGCGGGCCCTGGGGGACAGCCTAGGTCAAACAATTTTACAACGCGAGGAATCAGTCTGTTAAAAAACGATACAAGTCAAACATCAATGGTAAGATTAATACTATTTCGTTTAAGTTCATATACATGTAATTGAAGAAATACACATATACGTGTTTGATGACGTCACTAATCGTAAAATTTGCTTTATCACAAAAAACCCTTCGCGATTAGTGATCTCATGAAGCACTTAATTTTAGTGGAATAGCAGGAACAGCAGACGTCTGACTAAACGTAGGAATGGTGCAAACTGATGCTATCAGTGTCTCCAGTACACATAATTTTTATTTTGTAAAAAAACCTCTTTACAATCCCTTTAAAGCAAGTGAATTAGGGCATCAATGTATAATGGCAAAATGATAGTTTTCTGTGATCAGATGCCACATTGCAGGAACATCAAATACATCATTGCAGGCGAAAGAGTATGAATTTAGCTGGGATGAAGATATCAGAGCTATGGCTCTGTCAGCGACCATGTATAGTGGATTTTTCATGCCGTTCGTGGGTGGAATCTTGTCTCAGAGATTTGGTGCCAAAAACTTTATAGTTGTTACTTTAATTTCTGCTGGAATCTCCTTCCTGTTAATACCGGAAATGACGAGGCTACATGTCTATGCTGTGATTGTATTGAGATTTTGTGTCGGGCTGTTCACAGTAGGTATATATCCTAGTGGATCTCATTCGCTTAAAATTTTAAGGGAGAGAGGATGTCTGCTTCATACAGTGGCTCAACTATTGAGTGGGGGTCCGTGGATTCACGTGAGTTGGGACCCCGCCCCTGGGCAACTTTGTTTCAACATATCGCATAGTGATTTGAAGCTAAGAAGTCCTGTATCTGTATCCTGGATGACAAACTTTGATCTCTATGTGAAAGTGATGCAGAGTCTCGCTGATTTCTGCAAATCATTTCAAATCCAAAAACTTCCATTAGAGTCATAATAGTACATATATAGATATTTGATTATGGTCTCAATTCTTCTATAGGTAGGCTACATGTCAGCTTTACAAGATATCTGGGCCAAATGGGCACCACAGTTTGAAAAAGTTTCATTAGTATCCATCAGCATAGCAGGTATGTCGTTACACTCAACAACCCACTTTCAACACTGAATGAATTGCCAATATCCACATGGCAAATCTAATAATAAAAAATACATTCAATTTATTGAATGTTTATCTCATTTTGTGCTATCGGTGCATGGCAAACGAAAACCAAGATCGACGTCTGATTGATTTGCAAGATAAAATCAACACAAAATCTCCACTTAAGGTAGGCCTTAGGCACCATGAATGTTGGATCATGTGTATTTAATTGAGGCATTTAAATCATATGAAATGAAAGAAGTTTACGTCCTTCTTTCCTGCACCTGTTCATGCTAATGAAGAAGAGCGCTGTCGGGTAGTGTGCAGTGAGGGAAAATTTGCAAGGAAAACGATATAATTATTCTTATCGACTTCAATTCACGATGGATCTTCATCGTGCACAATTGGAGGCATTGAAAGCCTGATCATCTTCCATTCAGCTTTTTTTTTATCCACTTCCCGAATTGATATTTGGTTTATTATCAATTTAGGCATCAATCTGGCCAATATGTTCGCCTCTCTGATTTGTGGTTATCTGTGTACAATCGAAGTGGACAATGGCTGGCCTTTCATCTTCTACATTTTCGGTGAGTAGTCTGTAAGACACCTATTTTGTTACAATCTGATAAGGGCTGTACATATATGTATATATATTTCTTGGTAATGATAAAATTAATTGATGTGTTTTATGGGGAATTTGTCTGATGTACCGTATTCATGATTCTTTCGTAGGCAACCACCTTCAGTAGGCGACTAGCATTCTCATGACCGCTTGCTTAATTCAGAATGTGTTTCCAATTCAAGGTTCACTGTGTGTACTGTGGTGTTGTTTGTGGTTCGGTACTGTGTCCAACTCACCAGACGAACATATGTTTATAACGGAGGAAGAACAGAAATATATAAAAGATAACAGAATTGGCATGTCAGGCAAAAAGGTTTGAGATTTAGCCAGCATTTTAGGATTATCGATAGCCAGCTTAGTAATCTGGACTCATGAGTTAAGATGCTTCATATTCACACGGCGACCTAGTTAAGAACCCACGACTTTCGATATCATGTATAGATGTATTGACCTAGCTGATAATGCTACTGTTACTATTACTGTTAATGTCACATTTTTTTCTATTTTACCAGAAAGCGAAAACACCATGGAAGAAAATATTAACATGCAAGCCGGTATGGGCGTATATAGTTACTCAGTCCTGTAATATGTGGTGTGCTGTCACCCTTTTTTTATTTCTCCCACTTTATTTTAGTAGTATATTGGAATTTTCTATAGAAATAGTGAGTATTCATGGTCATAATTAATCCCCGTCGATGGTTGTTTGCCCAAAATGTGCATCTATTCTTGTGTCAACATACCAACGACTGGAAATGGCAAGGTGTCCCAAATGTAGAAGCTACAAACCATCCATGGATCTCTTTGTTGAACACAGAATCATAAACTCCAAATTTTAAGATACCTGCCAAAACCCGCATCGTACATCTAATGGAAAATACCTATTTGAAATTCTTAAAATTCAACAAGGTTTTGAAACATACTGAAAGGTAACTATTGTCTGTGGGAGCTATATCATAATTCAAGAGATGTAGTCCAGACAAAATCTCATTTCTCCGTCATGCATACATAATCACACAACTGGAAACCTTTAAACAAAAATAACTCTAGTTTCAGGATTTCAAATAGTTCAATTGCTTTTTTTCAGACTGGAGCCCTCCTTTCCGTTCCATTCTTCTTCCGTTTTCTTGGTTCATTATTTTGGGGATTTCTCTCAGACATCTTACTACGAAAAACTAATTTAGGAGTTACAAAAATACGAAAACTTATTCAAGGCATAGGCAAGTTTCTTATTGTATTTCATCAGAAATTCAGCAATTTGGTCAATATCTGTTTGCTGGATGGATATTTTAGTGTTAATCTGAGATGTGTTAATGGCATACAGGTATTTTATTTCATCCAAATCTTAAATCAAAAACGATTTCCTTGGGCTCAATACCAATTATGTATACAGTAATTGTTGTTTTGAATTTCAGGCTTCACTGTGAGCGCCTTGTCCTCAACGTTAGTAACGTTTGTACCATTCCAGTATCGAGCAGCAACTGTGGCCATTGTGGCAGTATTGTTATTTTTTCAATCATCAGCAATGGCTTCATCTGCCATTACACCTTTAGATGTGGCTCCGAGGTGAGCTATTTATGAATACAATTATGCAAATATTCTTCTACAAGATATCCCTTTTTCTTGACGTTCCTCCCAAGTTAGTAGGTGATATAGGTGATGACATATAACGTAACATAAGTGGTTATTCTTCTGTACATAAAATGGAAAAGTGTTGCTTTAACATGCATATATTCATGTAGTTCAGTTTCTGTGGACTGGCTTGAGCTGAAACCAAAATATAATCCCGTTTATTCCTTCCACACTTCACTCTTGGGTAGAATCGCGGGGTGTGACACTAACATTCTATTCCATTTGATTTCATTCACACTGTGTTTATCGCCCTCATGATAAGGTTTAAATTAAAATCAAAAATTTAAAACACATGTACTAAATTCATTGTAGGTTTGCTGGTATTTTAACTGGTCTCTGTTTGGTGGTGTCAACAAGTTTAAGTGTCATCGTACCCTTTGTGGTGTCTTCAATAACCTTCGGGGTAATATTCTTTAGCTCATTAACCAGTGGCGGAGCCAAGTTTACGACCGAGGGGGGAGGGGGGGCGAAATACCTGAAGTTGCCCGAATTTCTAACCTAGTTATGAGATGCCCGGGCAACTCCCTACCCCTCCTTTGGCTCCGCCACTGTCATTAACCAAGGGTAAAACTAATCTGTCTCACGACGGTCTAAACCCAGCTCACGTTCCCTGTTGGTGGGTGAACAATCCAACGCTTGGCGAATTCTGCTTCGCAATGATAGGAAGGGCCGAGATCGAAGGATAAAAAAGCAATATCGCTAAGAACTCTTGGCTGCAAAACATTGAATTGCAAACGATAAAGAATTGAGCACTCAATGTAGACACTCGAAAAGAGATATATGTTGACATATCTAATTACAGAGTGTTGTCAGGTGTTCAGGCATAAATATAAGTGCGTCTGTCTTTATTTGTGACACCTACCACATTACGTGTTGATGTGGAAACAGCACTTTTCTTGGCATTAAAATCCAATATAAAGCCAGTGGATCAACTATCATAGGGACTTGAACCAAGTCTACGGACCCCAACCTCGAGGGCATCACACTCCCAGTCTGAGAATTCAGGAGAGCATAAATTGTAAACAAAGTTCCCAGGGGAGAAGCCCCACTAAAGTCACTGAGTTAAGCCACCATTTAAAGCATATCTTTAATGGGAGCAGAGCTAATTTTTTCGATTGATGTACATTACTTAAGAAATTTGTCCCCTTTCTTGTAGGGAAGACGAGAAGTCGAATGGAGATTTGTATTCTGTATGTTGACTGGCGTTTATATGTTTGGAGTTTTTGCTTTTCTGTTATTTGGCAGTTCTGAATTACAATCATGGGCGACAGATTCAGAGGAGAAAGATGTGCCCCCGGATGCAGACAATACAGTTGATGAAGGCGGAATTGACAATTTAATATTTGAAATTGAAACTCCGAACCAAAACAGTCCTGGTGTGGTGTCAAATAATACTGTCACACGTCGGAATAGAACTGTTAGCTCAGGTGTAGAAAGTATTCCGAGGACACCCGTTGAAATATCGGTAGCGTTAGTTCAACCATCAGAAATCGGAACTCCGGAGTTAGTGATGAAGTTCCCAAAGAGAATAAACGTTCCAAGAAGTCCTGGTACAAATTCAGATGCACACAGAGGAAAAGGTGGTAGTCCAACGTCGCCTAACACGCCATGCAAGCTTCATTCGAAGTCCCCGTTAGCGAATGAATCAAAGCAAGACACGAAACAGGTATGATATCAGCTTAGATTGAATGGTCGAAAATAATCATCGTCGTTTTCGTCTTTGCATCATCATCATCGGCATCGGCATCATCATCATCATCATCATCCTTATCATCATCATCAGTTAATTGTTACTTTTCTTTTTTCAGATTAAAACTGAAGATAGATCAACTTCAGACAAGAATCAGTCCATAGAGGTATTGACATCAGTGGTTCCATTTAACAAAGACCAGAACAGTGTGTGTGAACGGCTATAAAACAAATCACTGTTCAATCGTGTTTTGAACGAAGTAATAAGACAGATATTTAAAGGCTTTACTCTCCTAATTTTCAACTAAAATAAAATCCAGATTTTTTGCAAATACATTGATCTAATTGGTTGATGAAACAAAATTTAAGAAATTTACCAATCAGACGAAATAAATAAAAAAAATCAACTGAAAGGGATTGTAAAGAGGTTTTCTTTTATGTGTATCGGGACATTGATAGCATCAATTTGCACCATTCCAATTTTCTATCAGATGTCTGTGGTTCCTGCAAGTCCACTAAAACTAAATGTTCGATGACGTCACTAATCGCAAAATATACTTTATCACATGAGGCCATCCGATATCAGTGACAGTTGGAATGGTGCAAATTGATACTATCAGTGTCCCCGATACACATACAAAATTTAGAAAACCTTTTTACAACCCCTTTAAGTTACGTTTTCGGGAAAACCACTCAGCACTAGAAAAATAATATATTCTTAAATCATTGTACATTTATTAGTTTAAAAAATCTGTACATGCATGATTAATCCATTCATCAAAATCCCGTCCAAAGATTGGCAAAATCCAGAGAAAAAGTTGTATAGTGGTCAACTCCTCCAAAGAAAAGTACCATCAGGTGTTTCGAGAAGAGTAAGCATGGTCTGCTCCTTGCGCGACACCCACCACTACTATATAGGTCAACATCATGAAATACAACCAATTCAATTTATGCCCAAACAAACAAAAAAATCATAAATAAATAAAAAAAAAAATTATTAATAAACCATTTGCTATATAATTTTAATTAGTTCACTAATTACATAGATTTAGTTAGGTGTACAACAGTGAGACGCAAAAATCCATTAAATTTGAGTGCCAATATTCTCTATTCCATGCCAAAAAACTAGATAATATATATGTTATGTTTGACACTATAACTGCCAAAAGCCGGTCGTCAAATCAAGAGAAATAACGATTCTAGAATTACAAGAAATCTCCACTGAAAGAATTCATTGTGTCTTAAAATAAATTCAAGTCTATGACATAAAATCCTTACAAAACTTGAAGCTTTCGGCTGACTTTACAACGCTCATTATTGGAGATGTCTATGGAGACCAGGTTTTAAAGAGACGGTTGCGTCATTTTATGACCAATCATACCTCACTCTCAGAGACGAGAATTTTTTGAGTTAAACTAATCAGCAATAGTGTTCAAAATTTGAGACTTCAAATCCACGTGTGTCCAGAATTATCCGCGTTTGGAAATTAAAGACGAGTCGTCTTTTCTTAAGAATATACCATCTATAGAAAAGACATCTATAGAATAGGAAAAGAAATTTCTAGTTTAAGATATTTTTGAAGGAATTCTGCGATTTTCGTACATTTCTAGTTCTTCTGAAGACAATTTGTCTATATTCAAGACTCACCCACCCCTCAAATGGCGCATCTGCCACTTTAATAAAGAAAAACAACAAAACTGTCTGATATAAGCATCAAAAATTAATATTGATTAGTGAAAAGTGAAAGGATATAAATTTTCTTTCTATCTGTCTAGCTGAACTATTGGATGATTTTTTATCTTTACAAAATCCTAATTCCTTAGAATCAGGTGGCGTATTCTCAAAACGATAGTAGCGCTAGGATGCCCTAGTTTCTCATCTTTTAACATTGATGCTAGGATGTCCTAGGTTCTCATCTTTTAACATTGATTCTAGGACATCCTAGCACCTAGATCATTTCGAGAATTCATGGCCTGGTTTGTTCAATCCCTCAGAACATTCCAATCTATAACTCTCGATATAATTGTCATGTTTTCAATAATTACACTCGCGCGTTTGGAGAAGTTGGAAATTCGCATAAAGGGATACAGCTAGAGGTACATGAAGTACTATAAAGATTTCTATGAACAACTATACCACAGTGTTCATCTGGATCAAATGAATGTCGTGTTATAATATTAGTAACTTTGACTCCGTTAAACCAATTCCACGTATTAGGATGATTTACATCTGTTGTACCAACACAAACATCAGCAAAAAGAAGTAAAGCTGAAAAAAGAAATAATCATTTTGAAATAGTGGACAAAACGGGATATTGAATTGTTTTAGTCCAAGCAGAGCAATTTGACAGAATCTTTGGATTTCGCTGCCCCACAGTTTTGTCACTGTTATCAAGAAACTGGCCCTGCATTACACGATTTGTTCGCCATTTTCGGTGGTTGACTTTCGTCTTGAATATAAGTAACTAGTCTTCAGAAGGACCAGAACTGTACTATGCGAAAATAAATCCTTTTTCTATTTATTTAGTACACAAGATTATCTTCTCTCTGAAAATTGGAGTATCCTAAAATTGTCCGTCTTGTTGATAGAGTCTCTGAAAATAGTTCGCAGGATTCTTATTCTGAAAATTTCTACTGAGAGCTGAAATTGGGTTTTGCTCAGATGACAAACAAACTTTCGAGAATTTTTTGTCCCTTAGGTTATTTACCTTGCTGTTCCCAAAAGTGTTCTTTCTCGCTCGTATCCATCATGAACAAAACTCCACCTTTACTTTCACAGAATTCTCTTGACTCATTCCATGGTTTTCTTTCAGATGGGTAGAATTCATAACACAAATTGAAACTGCGTTCGTACAACTTGTCCCCCGAACATTCATCTGAAATATAAAGTATTTCTTCAAACAAAACTTAGGCCGAATCTCAAACTCAGTTGCCGAGAGGCTTAAAGGGATTGTTAACAGTATTTTTTTAAATCTAAATGTAAATTGGAATGGTGCAAATTGATTCTATCAGTGTGCCCGATGGACAGAACACATTTTAGAAAAACTTTTTACAATCCCTTTAATATTTCAGAGACTCAACTCAAAAATTTATCATTTTTTCAAGTCTGATAAATATGCGGATTTAGATGGTTCGTTTTTTTCAGTGCTCGAGAAGAGTTAATATACCCACAGAAAAATACGAAACGAACACCCCCCATCTCTTACCTTCAACTTTCCAGTAATGGACGACAGGTAATTGTGTGTTATTTTCCAACTTATTGCCCATGCCATACCAAACTCTGATATCATATAAATAACATTCCAATGTCATCTCCCGATATCCAAATGATTGGCATCCTGGAGTTCCAGCACATTCGGAACCACAGCTTCTAACACTATCAGTGGTTGCTTGAAGCAACACGGGATATTTCAGTAGGTTGGTGATGTTAACGAATTGAAAAATTCCAGTTGGACATTCTGTTTTAACGATGCCAAAAATGGCAAAAATGATCATCAAAATCATATCGCGATTGTGTTTTCGTAAAGGATAAAAGGAACAATACTGAAACGTTATAAGTCCATGTCAATTATAAAATCTCAAATCAAACATAATACGTCACAGTATAATATTATTGTATTTAAAACATGGCTTATTATATAACAATATCGAAAGAACAAAATACTGGAACATCAAACGGCCTACCCATTCGGCAATCCTCGGCAGTTTCCGTAAGCTGAATCTGACTCGGTAATGAATGGTGAATTTCGTTGTGTCTTTTTGGGCGAGACTCTTTACTTCCGGTATTTAACAGTGATTTTTCATGTGATAGGAATATTCAAATCTAAATATAGTCCATAAATTTTGAGACTTTACTCGTGTATTTCATGCTATTGGCTCACCAATATATATTTCAATCTTTGATGGCCTACCGTGAAAAATACGCTTGACGGAAATTGTCGAGAATTGACGAATGCAAGAACAACGTGACTTTATAATGAAAGTTAAATGTAATCCGAAATTTTCTGAAAAAATCTAGTCACTATGCCAATGAGATAAATTGGCTGCGAAGCTTCAGTAACGTTGAATAAACCTTTCCTGTTTCACAGAATGCAGCGATTGGATTGGATTGTACGCTTGTTAATACAGTCAATCAGAGACCTCGATATAAAGACAGTAAACATTATATGTCTTATGGTGTACAGACTTCCTGTTGAGGGCTCTGATTGGCTGTATTCGTTAGAATACACCCAATCAAATAGGTGCATTGACAAACCTTCATGATACAAGAAAAGTGGTTATTGCAATCAATAAGACGAAGTTCGTAATAGTTTGACAATATGAAGGTGGAATGATATTACAATCTTCTAATTATCAAAGGAATACTACCTGTTAGCATGGACATAAAATATAAAGTTTCAAACTGCGCCAAAAAGTGTATATATTCATCGGTTGGACTTAGCAGGTGCCATGACTAACGAATAGAACCTCTATTATAAGACAATATATCCATTACACTAAGTAATTGTTGAAAAACGCTTCTAAGCTTGTTTCAAAATTTAATTTTAATTTAATATCATTACTTAGTTTTATGGATTGATTAGATTATAGAACGATTCTGACGTCACACCTGTAAAGTCCACTGATGAACAAAGACTTATTTTAACTAAGTTTAAAACTTTCAATTTTGGGTCATCCTTAGAGGTAGAATAACCTTTAAAAGGTTTATATCCCTTTACAAGAAGTTTTTTTTTAATATCGCTATCACATTTCTCGTTTCATAATTGATAAAGCGCCAATGTTACCGAGTAAGTTTGATCGATTCACATTGATGCTTATTTTTTTATTATAATTTTCAAAAGATTCAATTAATATAAATCGATATTACGTAGTCAAACGAGGCAGATAAAATCGAATCAAACGGCAGTGATTTACTGAAAGTCGGAAGCTTTCGGCTCAAAGTTTAACTAATTCAACTCTCTCGTGGCATATTGCAATCTTCGTAGCGCAACCTTTTGCGTTGCTTTTTATGGACTACTACAGGTTTGCCTCACTCGAGGAACAAAATTAATGTCCGCTGATTGCAGAAAAAGTATGACCCGATTTGACATAGAAGCGCTGGAAGATCTTTACTACCTTACAACGGAAGTAAACAATAATAATGGCGTATAAAAATTTTCTAAAGAAGAAATAACTAAATTTTTGGTAAATTAACTAAACAATTAAAAACTCTTTTATATGGGGCTGACAGAAATAAATAACTTCTGTTCTTTACTAAGCTATTATGGATTCAGTAGAAAATGTCGGCTCTTTGAAGTTCTTTGCTAGCAATACTAGGCCTAATGAATGTTTATTTGCTTCAAACAAAATGTTAAGAAAATAGCGGAAGGAACAGTTACAATTTGTGTATAGCTTCCATGTAAAATCAATTTGAGAAAGCTGTTATCTTTTTATTCAATAGACAAGCCAGTCCTAACACAAGACAAGAGGCGAAGTTCAAGTCATCAAGTAAATTCAATAGAGTGTTTGAAGCTGTCAAGATGTGGCATTATTTTTTCTCCCATTTTGTCTATCATCTCATAAGATGGTTTCCTAAACATGCTGCCAATAGAATTATTATGTAAGTCTTTATTGGATACCCTAAGTTCCTGACCTCAAAATACTTCCAACAGAGAAGTTGCATATATACAAATGGAAGTTATTATTTCCCTATAAACATTTAAGTTAACTACCTCTTAGAATGAGCATGAAACTATGGCAAATAAAAGTAATATCTACTACATATTGATCTCACTTCCATGTTAAATCAATGTCACAAGGCTATCTTGTCTTTTTTTAACAGACTAGCCTAAACAGCAGAGTCAGAGGTCAAGCTAAAGTAGAAGCCACTAAGTAATTCCAATCAGTGTTCAGTACTGTCAAGATATGGCATGATATTTGTCATATAGTTGTCTATTATCTCATAAGATGGTGATTAAGCATTTTGAAGAATTAGTATCTATAGGCATTCCCTTTTTTTATATTTGTAGATTGGTCCTATTAATGGTGATTATGCTGGGTCTACTGGTAGCTCAAATTTACGTATTAACTTTGGATCATTCTAAAAGATGGTGTGCTCAACCTTTGTTTGATTTTCTAATAGTTTCTATCATAGAGACTTTATTTATGATTGGTAAGTACTGAACTTTTTTCAGTCCATGCGGGTACACAGGTACCGTAGTGATAGAACTACAAAGAACTGAGCACTGGTCTATCCAGGGACATATCTAGGACCTCAGTGATCTGCCCCCTGTTTGTACCTCCAGTCCATAAAGCTAGCACCGCCACTGAAGTTTGTAAAGGCTTTCTCAGACTAGCCTCATGGACAGACATAATCTATTTTTGATTTTTGGAATGGTTTCAGGGTTTTCGTTCCTGTTTATGATAATGTCTCCAGTGCCAGACCTAGTCAAGAAAGTCTACCATGTTTTTGGTTTCATCAATTTGGTGATCGGACTTGCCTCTGTGATAATCACATCAAATTCTGGAGATTGTGTAAGTTGAAGATCCTATATTTTAAATTTTAAACAGGGAAGCCATTTAAAAAAAGGGAGAACCATATTTTACAAAGATAACAACATAGATATCGCAAAAGCTGATATTGCAAAACTAATTACAACTTCATGAGGGTCCTTTCTACCAGCTGGTCCTTAGCCAAACCTCTTGGCATTGATCTTTACCAGATTTCTGTTTTCATTTACAGCTGGGTCATTTGGAATAATAAGGAAAGCTGACTTATTCATGATTATCAGACTTTCACAAACTGACCAATATTAGAACCCATGATCACTATTTGATAGATTTAACACACCTATTGACCTCATGTAAAATTTCCAGAGCTCTTGTGTTCACCCATAGATGTGCATAAATAACTGATCCACTATATTCACGGGTACATCATTTTTTTTACAGAGCAACAGCACAGAAGTATTGCATATTTTGTCAGTTATATTGGCTGTTTTCTCTGCTTGTGCTATTGGTAAGATTTTTTTTTATCAACTTAGGTTCTCAAGGATCCTTTCTACCTGCCGGTCCTTGGCCAAGCCACTAAGCAATGATTTTACAACAACTTAGGTTCTCTAGGATCCTTTCTACCTGCTGGTCCGTGGCCAAGCCACTAAGCAATGATTTAACAACAACTTAGGTTCTCTAGGATCCTTTCTACCAGCTGGTTCTTGGCCAAGCCACTAAGCAATGATTTTACAACAACTTAGGTTCTCTAGGATCCTTTCTACCTGCTGGTCCTTGGCCAAGCCACTAAGCAATGATTTAACAACAACTTAGGTTCTCTAGGATCCTTTCTACCTGCTGGTCCTTGGCCAAGCCACTAACCAATGATTTTACAACTTAGGTTCACAAGGATCCTTTCTGCCAGCTGGTCTTTGGGCAAACTTTTTGGCATTGACCTTTCCAGATAATTTACAACAGGATTGACTGGAATACTGAGGACAGATGACTTTATCAAGGTCACCAGACTTTTACGCGATGCCAGAGATTAGAACCCACGATCACTACTTGTTTGACATAACCAACCAATCATTATTCCAACAATCTAACAGATTACATTTCATCCCATACTCAAACACTATATACAAATTACATCATGTACAGATTTCAACACTTTAACAGACCGTGCTACATCCGCTCTCAAAGTAAGCTTAAATTCAATATTTCTTTCTATATTTTTCAGGTTTCTACACCATTCTCCTACCATTTTGGATCATGAACAGAATCTGGCCAAGGTCAGTGATTGACCCCTACAGTAGGACAGGAGTTTGTTATGAACCAGTCAAATGTTGTTCATGTCTTTGGCACATTTAATTTGAAATTCCACGAATTCATTACTCCAAGACTTTATGATCAGAACATTTTTCCTGACAATGCCACATAACTATGTAAGGAAGAGATTGCCTTCATTTCAAAGTTTCAAAAGTGATTCAGAACTGTTTGCGTCAAAGGAATGGTAAGCCTTATGATAACTTCATGACATTTCTGGTGAGAACCCATTAGAAAAAAGTTTGTGATGCATAACAAAGACAGTGTTTAATAATTGACAGAATTCCATCTTCTTTTGCACAAGCATTATGTGATATTCCAAGTTTTTTGCACGTTTGATGAATTTCTATTACCTTCTATTTTATTTGCAATATTTATATTGAATGATACAGGTCTTTATATTTAAGTCTCGTAATTTCTCAACATTTCCGTCCATTTTGCAATATTTTTGTATAAATATATTTTTGCAATAAATTTCCCTATATTTATGGTTTCATTTGGAATAAAGGGGAAACAACTGTCTATCAAATGTGATTTGCACCGTTTGGGCTAATGAAGACTAATTTGAGGAAATCTTGACTGCATAATAGCAGTGCTTGGCATGGCAACAGTACTCAGGCTTCCCCAATATTGCATAGCAACAGTATTTATGCTTCCCCAATATTGCATGGCAACAGTAAGTGTGCTTCCCAAATACTACATGGCAATAGTAATTGCCAACTGCTTTTGGAAACCCATTTAAGCTTAGCATATATAATAGTAATCTCAATACATCTTCATAATGCTCTCTACTTCATTCAACTATAATAACTAATAGCAAGATAGACATCACAACAGCAGGACAGCAGCATACTTATCTTCATATCTTTAACATATCTGTAACACACAGGGCTTTAGTTTATTGTCCTTTGATATAAGAAAAAAAAAACTCAGAAATAATTGGCATGGGTTTTATTTATGCACATTTTCTTCACAAAGCCTTGAAAAAATAAGTTGGAAAACTTCCAAAAATCAAAAAATAGCAAATCAAATTCCATTAAATGAAGGGATCCTCCAATTCATTACATTTGTTAAAAGAATTCATGAAAAAATGTACAGAAACGAACCAGTTTTCAATTTTTTTTGCGACCAATTTAGACTTCAAATGGCCATTAATACTTTATCAAAATTTATCAAAATTAGGAAAACCATGGCAGTAGAAATTTTTACATAGCATCTTGCATAGATTGTCTCTTTTTCCTTTCCAGCGTACAAACATTCAAAAACATCCACGAAATATAAAGTTTTTATAAATCCTATTTCAATCTCAATGATGATAATTTTTATGTAATTTTTGTCCAGAATATAGTAATAAAAGTTGGAACCTAGCATCCGAAATTGGAAAGTTTCTCGCAAGAAAAGTTGAAACTTCAAGAAAAGTTGCAAGCAAAGTTGGAACTTTGGATCCAAAGACAGTTATCCGCCTGAGAATTTGAAATAGAATGTATAAAAGCTGATATCACGGAGATTCCAGGTTCTGCAGATATTAGGTAAACTAAGCATTGTTATTCTACAATCTAGATGAATAAAGATGACGACAGTTGTTAGGCGTTGGATTCTCCCTCTTCCTTGTTGTCATGGGAAACTTCCTCGTTTCGTTCCTCATGATCTCCATCTTCATCCTGAAAAAAATACTTTAAATTCAGACTTGCATCAAAAAAAAAAAAAATTTTTATTTACAATTTTGTTCCATTGCAATCTAACAACTTTTCTACAACAGTTCTGTTCTAATGAATTCAAAATTTAATTTTTAACCAATCAATTCGTGTAATTTAGAACATGTCACTTGCCAACAATGAAGAATTGTTACTAATAAAAGTAAGAACAGTTACCATTCCAACATAGTTAGGCAGATGCAGGCCAATATTGGAAAAAGTTATCCCCATTTCCAAATAAAGCCGTCCTGATGAGGATTATGTATCCGAAACAAACCTAGTGTCAATGAGTATCAGTATGTATCAATAAGTTTTCATTCTAACTTAGATTATAAGTAAGAATAGCGACATATTGAAATTATTTTAGCACAGTAATAATCATCTACCTTATTTTAATCACAACATAGATGTCAGATTGTGCAGAGACCATTTCAGGAAATTTCAGATTTCAACAGCTAAAAACTGCAAACTACTGATTGATTTCTGTTTGCTGTCTGTGGTAATTGTAAGTATACAGCTGTAGTTTGTTTCTTCTGCATAAGATTATTATTGAAATTTTTCACAGTCTTATTTTAGATGTTGAAAATAAAAGAAGAGTTACATACCTTTCTTTGAGGACGTCTTCTGCGTCGAGGTGGGCCTCGTGGAGGGCCGTTATAGTAACCCCGTCGTGGAGCTTGATCGTAGTAGCGTCGTGGTGGTTGGTAGAATCGTCTGTAAAATGGTCGTCGTCTCATACCCCCATCCCCTTCATCATACTCTCGGTTATTGTAGTTCCTAGGGGGACCACCTCGTCTTGGACCATTGTAGTATCGTCTGTTACCCCAGTAGGGTCGTCTTCCAGATGGGCCTCGATATTGAGGTCTTCTACCTCCTTCCTCATCCCCTTCATCGCCTTCCCCCTCTCCATCTTCATCATCATCTCTCTGGGGCTAAAATTTAAAAAAAATATCCTCAAATTGAAGTTTGCAAGGATTTAATTGTCATGTTTTGAATTACTATAATACAGTAGAAGTAAATCAACATATATTTTGATGAAGATTCAAAATTTTGACTTTCTTTGAGCAAGTTATGACCGAATGAACTTCATAAAACACATGGTAAATAATGTTTTGAGATGTCTTATGATGCCATCACTATAGAGATTACCAGTTGCGACTAATGAAAGTGGTCATGAGTACAGATTGTAGCTAACAACTCAGTTGCATGAGAGTTTCGTTCGAACCTATGACCAAACTGGTGATCGCCACTTAAATTCTAGGTTTAAACATTACATTTTCAGTTCATAATTGTTTATGGATAAAAATAAAACAAAGACTCACTCTAGGTCTGCCGACGCCTCGTCCTCTGCCCCTGTATCGTGGATACCAGCCACCTCGTTGATATCGTCTTCGTTCAGCTGCATACTTGCTTCCTTGGACAGCTGATCCTTCTGGACCAGTTACATTTGCAGCTTCGAATCCCTATAAAAAACAAATTAACGTTAACTACAACAGTTTAATATTGCCAACACATAACTTAATGCCTTATTCTTCCAAAACTATTCGAGATGATTTCAGTGCTCCAGTCAACTGATTGGCCTATCTCTCCTAAATAGAGTTTGTCATCCAATCAAATCACTCGAAAATAACACGTTATAAAATGAACACGGAATTCAAGATAGATAACCTTATCTACATAACTTAAGATGCACTATCAAGCAAATTACACATCGTACAAAAATAAATAAATCGGAACTTACCTTTTCGCCTTCAACAACGTCAAATTCAACTTGTTCTCCATCTCCTACACTTCTCAAATATTTTCTTGGATTATTCTTTTTGATTGCTGTCTAAAATAACAAAACAACTAACATCAATAGTCATTTAATAGTGAGAGAATTCCTGCATTTTCCCTTAAAATCAGGTCATAGTCAAATCAACCCATTGGTAGCCATAAGTAGCATAATTTTTTTATCAATTTGACTGGATTTTATTTCTTTTTAAAGGGGAACAGTCAACATTTTTGGGGATTGATTTCAGTCTTAAGAGGGTACTAAAAATTCCTGTTTCTGAAAATAAGGTATGATTGGTCCAACTGATAATGAAGGTGCTCCTTTTAGTCATTTTGTGTTTTGGATTAAAAGTTAATTTATCAGGTTGTAAAGGAATTCTGTTGTAGGGGATTCTGTCGTGGGTCAAGTATCATCATGTATTGGCATGTATCAATAAGTTTTCATTCCAACTTAGATTATAAGTAAGAATAGCGACATATTGAAATTATTTTAGCACAGTTTTTATCATCTATTTTATTTTAATCACAGAATAGATGTCAGATTGTGCAAAAATTGAATAACTTTAATTCCAATGTCTATGAGTCTTTGTACTAACTTAGTATAAATTTCCATCCCATCATGTTCATGGAATATTTGCAAAATGGAAATGCAGTGTATCACTGGTTGGACAGTCAAATGTTTTCTAGTAGAAATCCACAGGACTGTAAACAATATGGTTGTGTATGTAAGCTCTAGTCTCTGTCACCTATCTTAAGAGGCATTTTGCATACTAACACTAACAGGGCATTACAATGACTATATTTTTAACTCCATAAGCTACATAAAAGTTGTAGAAGAAAGTTGCCTAATGACAACTTATTGGCCTAGACAGAGTTCTGTTTGACACAGTGAAGAGAACATACCTGGTGAACAAATACATCTTCTTTAGTATCATCTCTGAAAAAACAAAAAAAAGTTTGTTTAATTCTTCATTGAAAATCATTATCAATTCACTTCTTTAAAAACCATTATTTATGCAACCTACATTCGCTCATTAGCTCATCCTTTGTTGACATTTTTCCAGTTGGCTGGTTACCACTTTATACTAACCCTTACGTCTGTATCTAAAGCCAAATTGCTTTAATTATTGCCTGATAATAGCCTGCTAATTAGGTTTATTTTAATTACCTGTTAATAAAGCCATACCCACTCTTTACATTAAACCATTTTACTGTTCCTGTTATCTTTGAGGCTGCAAATAAAATTCAACATGGCTTCTTTTCCTTTCTTTTCAAACAACTCACAAACATGAATGTCATAAATAATTCATAAATAAAATTTTCTTTCTTGGCAACTCCTTCCATGGGTCTTGGATCAATGCTTATTAAAAGCTTTCTAAGAGGACATAATAACAGTCTAATTTGGCTGTCAACCAATTAAAAAATTGGCCTAATAATGCATGTATGGACTGATTTATTCAGTTTGATCATGCTCCTTATTCAAACTATTGTGAAATTTCAATACATTTCGCCAATACTCAATGTCTGTTAAAATGATCACAGAATCCTGTCCTGTGGTGAGCAGATAAGGAAATGATTAATTTAGTGTTTGATCATTCCATTTATCTCAAGAAACCTGTGAAACAATCACGATCAGTAGATTACAAATAATATACCAAAAAGAACTTGACAGTGGCACTGTCAATCGGGATCAAGCAAAGGTGGGCGGGGCATCCATTGTTTTGTCGTTGGCTTGCAGGAAAACAAATATCACACAACCGAAACTAACACTTCCTTCAATGTTCTCTCGCTTTTTGAAAGCGATCAGAGATTAAAATGTGTGAAGACCTTATCACCCAATAATAGCCTGATGCATTAGCCATTGTTTGCGCTTTCCAAATCGCCTGACAATGGATTTAACATTGTTAGTTTCAGCTTCCGGCAGCATGGCTGGCGATTGCATTTGCAGACACAACACGAGGTTTGCCGGTTGATAGGTTACAAAATTTGAATTTTACCCAAGATCTTCTTCTCTGACACCTCAACTTGTTCTTCTTGACTGTCCTCCTGATGTTTCTCGGAGTCGGACATGGCTCCTGATGTTATTTGAGGTGTATCAGATGTCCGGATGGTAAATTGGACTCAGTCTTCGTTTTCTTTGTTACTGTCTCTAAGATGGCTACCACATGCCTGCACGGCTGCACGCTAAATCATTCTGAGTTTTGATTGGTCAGCTGACTATGACGTAAAAGAAATCCGTCGCCTTCGATTGGTCAGCACGCTGTGACGTAGTAGAGTCGCTGGTTTCTGATTGGTTAGAATCGGAATATCCCCGAACATGATTCATCTTGCACTTTACTATGAAACTACAACTAGGAACACTCATTATGATTTCAGAGAACAAAGACGCATGTGCGTGCATGTTTTTCGTTTGGGTCAGCCATCATTCAGATCTACTGCGCATTCATTTGGTCATTATACACATGCAGAAGTAATTTCATTTGACATTTGCTTTCTAGCGAGCCTTTTGGCTGGCAAGGTCGTACGTGTAAAGCTGTATGTCAAAGAATGTCTAAACATAAGCTTAGTTAGACGTAACCTGAGCATTCTGCTTTAGGATAGCATTTATTCTAGCTTGCTAGGATATAGGTTTATCTAGATTGCTGCTCTTGATAGCTATAGAGTAGGATATAGGTTTATCTAGATTGTTACTCTAGCTTGCAATGGAGTGGGATATAGGTTTATCTCGATTGTTACTCTAGCTTGCTACAGAGTAGGATATAGGTTTATCTAGATTGTTACTCTAGCTTGCTATAGAGTAGGATATAGGTTTATCTAGATTGTTACTCCAGTTTGCTATAGAGTAGGATATTGGTTTATCTAGATTGTTACTCTAGCTTGCTATAGAGTAGGATACAGGTTTATCTAGAATGTTACTCTAGCTTGCTATAGAGTAGGATATAGGTTTATCTAGATTGTTACTCTAGATTGCTATAGAGTAGGATACAGGTTTATCTAGATTGTTACTCCAGCTTGCTATAGAGTAGGATACAGGTTTATCTAGATTGTTACTCTAGCTTGCTATAGAGTAGGATATAGCTTTATCTAAATAGCTATAGAGGATATAGGCCTATCTAGATTGTTACTCTAGCTTGCTATAGAGTAGGATATAGCTTTATCTAGATTGTTACTCTAGTTTGCAATAGAGTAGGATATAGGTTTATCTAGATTGTTACTCCAGCTTGCTATAGAGTAGGATATAGCTTTATCTAGATTGTTACTCTAGTTTGCAATAGAGTAGGATATAGGTTTATCTAAATAGCTATAGAGGATATAGGTCTATCTAGATTGTTACTCTAGCTTGCTATAGAGTAGGATATAGCTTTATCTAGATTGTTACTCTAGTTTGCAATAGAGTAGGATATAGGTTTATCTAAATAGCTATAGAGGATATAGGTCTATCTAGATTGTTACTCTAGCTTGCTATAGAGTAGGATATAGCTTTATCTAGATTGTTACTCTAGCTTGCTATAGAGTATATAGGTTTATCTAGATTGTTACTCTAGTTTGCAATAAGAGTATGATATAGGTTTATCTAGATTGTACATCCAGATCTTCTGTGAACCATTACATATGAATGAAATCACTTGGGTCCATTTCCAAAGCTTGGAATAAATGTGACAGTAAGGTTCTTTTTCGGCAGTTTAAAGACATAAGATGTTTTACTACCGAAAACAACACTACATTACCGCATACAATTAAGGCTTTGCACATCAAGTAATTTTTGCAGTCATTGCTGTATGTCAAAAAGAATTGTGTATCAACAGATTTTTCTTCTTGAAATCCATTATTTGAACCCTCTATTCAGGTGTGTGGATGGGAAAATAATCAAGGCCCTGTGTACTACAGACTGCTACTGGGCAGTTCATGCAACCCACCCCAATATGGCAAAAGTTTTCTTGAGAAATGGCAGGGACGAAAAAACACAAGGAGCATCAGAAGAAACAATAGGTGTATTTGAAAAAAGAAAAAAAAAACATTGTAATTCGAAAAAACAGCAGAAATACAGTCAAACACAAAAACAAATTTATCTTTCAATTGTGGGTCAAATATTTAACAAGGCCAAGCTGGGGGTAACAGTAAGGCAATGTCCTAAATTTCCTTGGGGTTGACTAATTTTTTGAAATTTTGAAAACAAAGTGAGACCCATCCCCTTACCTAGCATAAATAGAGCACTAAAATGAGTGAGCATATATTCAAAATCTGATTAAATAACTTTAGCGTTTAGTTTACAAAAAAGCATGTGTTATCTCCAAAATTAAGCGAAGTTTATACATGTCTATAAATTGATATAAGGTGGCCAATTTCTTTTTTTACTACATAACCCAAATAAAATCAACTTTTAAAATCAAAAATAATTTTAGAAACAAATTCAAAATTTTAGAACAAGTATACCACAGAATTTGTACATATGATTTAATTTTATCAACACCTTTTTCGAAATTCAAAATACAAATAAATTGATTAAAAAGAAATAATACACATTATTATTTCCAAAATTTATTACAGCACTATTATTGGAATATACATTGGAAATTCATCACTTGCGTTTTTTTCTCGCAATTTTTTTTTTTTTTTTTCAACTTTTCATAAATCCTTTATCTTTTAATTTGAAATTGTATTGTATTGTATCAAATTTTGAATTCATCAGAGCAAGAATTATTGCAAATTGAACAGTTTAAAATTTGCGAAATAAAAAACTTAGAAAAATAATGAATTTCCAATGAATTTGGTCAATTATTTTTTTTGCATCATTTGTTATATTTATGATAAATTAAAACTACCATTTTTCCGTGTAATTTCCTGATTTATAGCCAAGTTTAAGTTAAGTTTTTCACATTTTCTCTCCTCAAATTATCCAACCCAATCATTTATCATATAATATAATTATAAAAGATTGCATGGCTTTAACTCGTTATTTAATCTACCATTTTCTTAAAAGCATGGATGTTTTCTTCTCCCATGGCAGATATAACACTGACCTGAAAAATATAACATAAAAGACACATGAACATCCTCAAAATGAAACTCAAAATCCAACATATGTGTAATTCATTGAACACCTTAGTTTTAGTGGAATTGCAGGAACCACAGACATCAGAATAAAAATTAAAATGGTGCAATTTGATGCTATCAGTGTTTCCCCGATACATATAAAGTTTATATAACCTCTTTACAATCCCTTTAAAGGGAAGGAAATAGTTTTTATGTCCTAATTGTCTGCACCATATGTTGGGTGCAATGAAGGAAATTCTGTCAGGGCAGGACAGTGGCATCAGACTGCTCTTCTCTGATTTTCAACTGTACAGGGATTTTCCGCAAGCAGTCTTTAGCACAAGGGGTCTTAGTTTACGGTCCCTTCCAAACACTACATGCTTTTTCAATGCCCCCCTTCTGAACTGCATCACTGACATAGGTGAAACAAACGTGTTTAATATAAACAATAACGAAAACCCCAACAGGGCCCTTATACTTACAACAAGGGAATCACCGTTATCGAAAGCTTTTCTTATATTTTCACCTAAATCACCATCTGGTAGTTTCAGGTCATCTCGAGTCACTCCACTATCGTCCATCAGGGATACATAATCATCATCTTGAATATCAGCCAACTACACAATAAATAGGGATACATTGTCAGTTATAATTCTTGAAAATCAGCTAACTATGAAATAAACCATAGATTGGGATACACTGTCATAAATGGGGATACATTGTCATAAATAGAGATACATTTTCAAAAATTGGGATACATTGTCATCAATGGGAATGCATTGTCATAAATGGAGAAACATTGTTAAATAAATAAGGATACATACATGGTCATAATTAGGGATTCAGATACAAAACAGATTGTCGTAAAATGGGATACAGTCATAATAGGGAACCATTTTCATAAAATTGAGATACACTGTCATAAAATTGAGATACACTGTCATAAATAGTGATACACTGTCATAAATAGGGATACATTGTCAAAAATTGGGGATTCTCATTAATTGGGATACATAACAGGCCCTACATAGTGCTTTGATTGGTTAAAAAATATCATTAGAACATAACTGTGGCAGAAAATTTATCAGATTACAATGGGGATCTAACCTGAATTAGATTAGTAGGACACAGGGCCTCGATTTATTTCCGAAATTCTCACCTGATAATCTAAACGTTTGACATGTGGTACGTCAATATTATGAGTTGATGGACAAATATCTTCATATTTCTTTCCATTAAAAATATCTATACCAGTTAGATGTACCTGAAATTATTTACACTTGCACTTAATTCTAGTTTCACATTTTGAGAGAAAACAAGAGCATTTATTTGTGCCTCAGGGACAGATCAAATAGACAATAATGCTTCTACTTACCACTTTCAGCCATTTGAGGATCAAGGGTGCCACCTCTGATACAATGAGTTAACTACAAGCAAGCAGTCACAGCCCCTCAATGGACATAATTGTTCCATCCTGAATCAATACATACCTTAGCATGACCGTGTTTACCAGTTTTGGAAGTTGTCATCTCCACAATTTTAACTGGTCTCTTTTTAATAAGACAATACTCATTTTTACGCAGAGCTGAACACTGTTTTGGGTAGGTCAAGGATGCCCCAGATTCAGCTTTTTCAAAAGTAATATCAGCAGCATCTCCCATTTTATTAGATCTGAAATAAAACGGTAAAAAAATCAGCTTTTCGTTGGAAAATATTGAGCTGGGCGATCTTTGTTCAAGTGGACATCACAAATCTATCTTCAAAGTATCCTAATGCATCCTGTAATGTTTTAATACCCGTAATAGAAATTATAACAAAAACAATTTAAACATCACAATTTTGGTCACTATAGTATTAATAAATCAATATTTGAGAGTTCAAAATAGACCTTAATTCGCCACACGGAAAAAGTCGTCAAAGTAGATAATACCATCCTTGTAACATTATGACATGACGCCTTTCTTGTTTTAAGTGGAAGAAATTGAAGCCATGTGGCAAGCACAGATGTTGAAAGGGATGAACAATATCTTTAAATTGTGAATCAAAACCAACGTGGTCAGAGACAGGGGACTCATTTACATTTAGTTGAAAAGTCAACATTATCAGAATTAACCAAATTTAATTGAATTGGAACTTAGAAATTGGCACATGTTTATAAAATGATCTGATATCTAATATTTAAAATGATCAAAGTATGAAAAGAAAATGTTCCATTTTCACAATTAATTAGTCTCAAAAGAATGGACACACGAAGTAGGCTAACTGGCCTACATTTATCTACCTACACAATCACCCATCAAGAACGACACAACGTGTTGCGAATGTTGGCATGGCAAATAAAAAATGTTAAACTAAACTTCAATATTCACAACACCTTCATGAAAACACTACGAATTTCATTACATCATAAAACACAAGCCAATTTTTAAAGGGATAAGTGTAAGGGCTTTAACCGATCGTCTCCAGGACAAAATCTTTTAAAGTGTTTACACCTCACACTTTTTGGATCGAAAATAATAAAATATGGCGACCGTTCTATTTTAAGAAAATGATTTTCACTTTTAACTCGAAATCGGTCAACTTCCAACTAATCCTGTCTCCATATCTAGTCCTATCATAGAATCGGACATTTAGAAAAATAAAAATTAGAAAAGAAAAAGCGTAATTTAAAGACGAAAAAGAAATTTTGAGATGGGCTGAATACTCACGTGTCAGTAGTCTCTGCTCTATGGCCTAAGGAAAAGGGTGTCTAGGCATGCGCCAGGTTGAGGAACCAATGAAATGATAGGATTGAAACATTTGCGCCATTACCTAGATATTAAATGGAGTTATCTCCCTTGCACCATAAATCCCAAATTTAAAGGGATTCTGCAGCCTAATTTTGTTATTTTACAGAAAGTCATTCTGCCCTCGAAAATTGTTAAAATCAGCAAAAATATGTAAGAAAAACATCGAATTGACGAGTTCTGTAGTAATGATAGGTGAGTGTAATAAAAAATACATAACCGACATTCACAAAAGGCTGCGGTTTGAATGACGTCACTATTCCCACACTAAAGATGGAAATTAACTATGTAAATCAATATAATAACCGATTAACTGTTAATTGATTCTTTTGAAGGACTCTGGTCAAGTTCAACCAATCATACGTTTTCCAGTTCTCATTTGATCACGATTTGAAATCGAGTTTTTTCCTTATAAGGAATTGAGAATAATATGAATACTGAGTATATAAAAATAGATCTTTATGTAATATATACAGAACCAATCAATAAATTTGCTTGGCCGACTGTTATCAACAAATTTCCGAAAGTTGTGCAATCCGACCCATTTTTACTCTTTATAAGACTGTGGTATAGTTTTAACAATATTCACTGGGTTTTCCTTATGTCATATCGTGATAGCATACTTTGGAATAGTTTTTCAATCATTCGCTATGAAAAATAGGTAAGATTTTTCTTTTTTTGAGATCGAAACGAATGCTTAGCCATGCTAAGCTATAGGCTATGTTTTTAATATTTGAAGAAAAATCTTTTCTTGGAAAAGTAATTTGCCTACGAAATAAGATTTTTAAGTATGCAAATGTAGAACATTTTTTGATCGATTTAGCAGATATTGCAGAAATCACAGGGATCTCCAAATATTCATGTCAATTTCATCAATTCAGGTCAGGCCCATATTTGTTTTAATTCCGCGTTTTTGTCTTTCCGATTGAACTAAAATTAAAAGGCTATGTAGATGTTATACGCAAAGTTCTTTGGCCTTTTAGGCCTATGCTACACAAAGAAGAATCATCCGCTGGATTAGGTTGATTTTTATTTACAGAAACGCTACAATGGCAGATGCTGCCGACATCACTTTTGAGAAGGTTGAATCTGGTGCCTCGGATACTTATCCTAAACAGTGCTCGGCTCTGAGGAAAAACGAACATTGTCTTATTAAGGGGAGGCCAGTAAAAATCGTGGAAATGACAACTTCCAAAACTGGAAAACATGGCCATGCCAAAGTAAGTTTAGTTTATTTGGATTTTTATCAAGGTATTCCCGAAGGCTATAAAATATACATAATACTTTAAGATAAGCGATGCAGTTACCTGCTGTCTGTAGTCTTTAGCTGGAGTTTTCTCCCCTTATGTGTATTTGCTCCCATGCATCAATAATTATGCTTAAAGTATTTAGTTTTGAACTGGATATAAATAAAGATCTTTGATTAAACAAATCTTAATTCCACCTCAAGTCGCCACACTGTCGTCTCTACGGGGATCGCCGACTTTTCTCCACTCTTAAATTTCTCATAAAGTTCTTGAAAAGGCCTTGTTCTGTGAGCTCCCACTGACATCGCACGATCGGACCCCATCTAATGATTCATGAAAACGCAACTGAGTTGAAGCAGCTAGGTTCAACCCTCCATCTTACGAAATTAAACTAGTTGGCAACTGTGCTTGGCATATAGGCAGTTTTCTGTGGTCATCTTTGTCCCCTTCTTTAGAATTAGGTCAAATCATGCACTGCACGTGTAAATAATTACAGGTACATCTAACTGGTATAGATATTTTTAATGGAAAGAAATATGAAGATATTTGTCCTTCAACTCATAACATGAATGTTCCAAATATCAAGAAAGCTGAATACCAGGTAGGCATAAATATTAGGCGGCGCTTCTTTTAAGAAGGCACTCAGGTGCAAAAATAAAACCCAAAAACATAGCTTAAGAGCTCTTCATAACATTCTTCCAACTAACAGCCCTTCCCAACATGTCTGATATCAGCTTTAGTTGGAAGCTGTCATTAACTTGTATCTACCAAGCAAGCAAGCAAGCACCCAAGCAAGCAAGCAAGCAAGCACCCCTTTAAGTAGGCTAACATTTAACATTGATTGTAATTTCAGTTAGTGGATATAGGTCGTGATAATTTTCTCTCTCTGCTAAGCGATCATGGAATAATACGAAGTGATTTGAGGCTACCCGAGGGAGAGATGGGACAGAACATGAAAAAGATGTTCGAAGCTGATGATTCTATTGCTGTAAGTACCATCTCTAATTGCAAATTCGACAAGGGCAGTAACTCAAAAGCTACATGCTTAAATATGTATTGATTCCGTTACATGTTAAACAAAACTGATATAGTTTAAGCTCTTATAGTAATCGTATTCGAATCCCGACGTAATTCTGATCCGTGTTTATTACAGGTAACGGTGATTGAAGCTATGGGTGAAGAAGTCGTTAACAGTTTAAAGAAACTGTCTGACTAAATAAACCCATAAGTTAAAATTACAGAAAATAAATTCATCGTATGAACAACTGCAATAGAACCAAACCGGAATCCAGTTTCATTCTACATCAAGAGTTGGAGAAGATCCTTGCTAGGTTTTGACGTTGTGAAGCCTAGGCTTTGATACAGTAAGGCCCGTAATGCCGTGACTCATCTGGTGTGATGCCATCGAGGGGCAACGAACGACTTCGGAGACTGAAGACCTGCCAAATGGAAAGCAGCATTATGCGAAAAAACCCATGCACTAACAAGAGAGAAGGAAGGTATTGAAAAATAGCTCCCACAATGGTGGGCAACAGACGACGAATAAGAAAGGGACCAAGCGAAGACCTCAGGAAAATAAACTCTATGGACTATGTCCACAGTAGAGAGTAACACCCCCGGAAGAAGGAAGGGTCTGAAAGCTAGCTCCAAAATGGTGTAGAAACACAACCCCTATAGAAATTTCTTACATTTTCAAATTTTGTATTTGTATTTCTGTAAATATACATGCATGAATTTATATCTTGATTGTTTGGTTCCTGAACCAGAGTAACCCCCTTCCCTTTTCCGAGTGATTCTGGGTTTTTCAACCAGTGCACATCAGAGAGACAACCTAGGACCTGTGTGCTGAAGGCTGTGCAGGCTAAAGCCACTGTCCTTACACGATTGTTTTCACTGCACACTGCATAGCATTGCCCTCAAGAGGAAAGGGTGGTTTCACAAGGACACCCTGCTTTGTTTTGGTCCAATATAATAGATATTGATATAAATTTATTTAATAAAATGACTGAGAAAATAAAATTTATAATAAATAAATGATTAAAGGAATCACATTGAATATTAACACACACTGAATTTAAAAATGGAAATAATAGAGGCACACAGTTAAGTCCTTTTTTAAAAAAAAAAAATCTCAATTTTATCCTCATGAGATATATTGTGTCTTGCCAAATAACAATGGCAGTTTTGACAGTGACACTAGAAAACAGACTTTGAAAAAATTTGAAAAAAATTCAGAGTATTTCACGGTGGTAGAGTAATTACAAAGAATTTATGGAATTGGAGCCCCACTAAAGCCAGTACTGTGGTGGGTGTCACTAGAAAGGCAGGGTGTGCTTACTCATATGAAACACCTTATGCCATTCCATGAGTGGGACATCCCTTTCACAGAGTCCACATAGCTAATGTTGCTTATTTGGTATGTTTATTAGAGGCAAAAATTCTAAAAACTTCAAATGGTTGTTAAAATCTGAAGATTTTCTTAAAATATTATTTAATTGTTTTTTTTTTTGGTCTATTCTAAGAGGTAATATTCCTTTAATGTGTATTAACTTTAGCATGAAAATTTTCACGATATTTGACATTTCCCTGAGCCTTTGTTAATATATGGATTATTAAAGGCATTGTATCTTCTAATAATGTCACAGACAAAACTAAGACAGTACCTGATATTTTTTTTTTTATAATAACAAAGAAATGCCATTTTTGTCTTAATAAATTTTTGAAATGTATGAAATTTTAGAGGATAATATATTACAAATGTTAAAATGTAGAAAATCAAAGATAATTATAATTTTTTACTAAAAATGTGCTGCACATGATCAATATAATTCAAGCATGTTTATTAAGTACTTAATTAAGATTCTGTGTAACAATTCCATTAATTGTTAAAATAATTTCCGGAATTGGCATCAAGACACGTGTCAGCAGCATGAAATAAGCTTTGAGCTCTGAGCTTTACAAACACATGATTTCACTGAGATATCCTAGTCACTTTAAGCCAACCGTATCACTTTTAAGAATAAAAATTTAACTTCTGGCTCAACTGCAATTAAAGTTAATGTACCACAAACGTGTGTCAGCAGCATTAAATGAACTCTGAGATTTATAAATAACCCAAATACATAGAAAAAAGTAATCTTATCATTTACCAGATCATAAACCCTAATTTCAAGTAGCAATACAGCTTTTTTAGAATCAAATTAAAGTTTTCAGTTTGTCTGCAATTAAAGCTATTGCAACAGCTGTGTTGACAGTCTACTATTCAGTTACCTTATTAAATTAAATCAGCCAAAAGTACCTAAAATCAATGGTTTAAAAGAGACTAAAAACCTAAATTTTTAAAAATATTTTGATATTTAAAATTATACTCTGTAAAAAATATTTAAGCACATTTAGTCCAGACTGACATAAAACATAGAGTTCACTTCATTGTGAAAAAGAGACAATCAAAATGGATATCAAGTTAAAAACATAAGGTTAGTTAAGTGATGCCAAATCGTTGTTGACCATCACTAGAATTCCATTTCATTTGTCATAAGAATAAAAATTCGTTAAGATGAAGAGTTTTCACATATTCTTCTCCATTTGTAACAAAAATCAAAAATTCCTGAAGCCACCTTCACGAGACTGTAAGCCGTTTCCATAAAATCAGCAGCTGGTCCTTTATCCGAAGCCAAAAAACAAAGTTTATCATTCACAGCCACCATCTATGAAATTTTCAAAGTTGGTGGAATTCTTCCTTACACATTCTGTGCCAATTTCAACAGACAAGTTGCACACTTGACAAGGTGGCGATTTAGGTCTTGTTGCTACAAGAACTACAACAGCTCCTTGCTATCATTAGTAAAATGAGTGAACAAACTTCACTCGAGACTGGTCACTTGAACATCTTCACTGCCTATATCATTCATCTAGAACTATCACTGCTTTTTGCTGCCATAAGTGCAACAAAGAGCACAACCTCTACTAGAGACTGGCCACTTGAACATCTTCATTGCCACCATAATGTCATAAGAACTACAACAGCTCTGTGCCACTTTCACACAAGACTGGCAACTGTCATGATTTCATTGTCAACGAAACTGCATCAGTTCTTTCCCATCACCATCACATTGGGTGTGCCACCTTCAAAAAAGACTGACCACTTTAAAGTTTTCATGGTCATTAATATTATGCCACAAGCATGTCTTCTTTGCCACCATTACCACAACTTTTTTGGTCATCAACATCACAAAAGTTCTCTTAGCAACTAAAAAAACGTCGCGGGAATGTCTTCTTTGCCACAATTACCACATCCTTAGCAACTTGAGACTTTACTGCCATCAACTAAAAACTGTCTGCAGCAAATGTCTCCATAGCAACTGACAAAATGCCACAAGCACGTCTTCTTTGCCACCAACAGAAAAATGAAGAGAATTAACTTCAGACATTTCGTGTTAACCACAACCAGAATACACACTAATTGATGACATCATCAAGTTTTGAGCACAGATTGCAAGTCAGAAGGTAGAGAAGACACTATAGTATCCATATGATTCTGTAATTTCATCAAGCTATCCTTACTCACTACAATATGATGGGCTGTAGCAAATGCCTGGAAAGATGGAAATTTTGAAACTCACTTAGACAAAGAAAAGGATTTTTGGAAGACATGGAACATCTGTGTTGATAAGGAGTGACTCAATCAAAATCACAAGTAATTGACAAGATGAAATGGAGCTCCATGGCTGAAGGAGGACAATGTCATGCCATGCTGTGGGCAATGAGAACAATTTGCCATGGTTACATGGTTCATAGCCTGTATCACACTGAACCTCCGTTAATGGTCCCATCCGAATGGTTAAACGCTTTTTCTGCCAGACCCTTACTCCTTCATCACCCACAAGGTGAAACTGTGTTGAAAATCTTAAGGTAAAAACTAGACTTACCAGTTTTTCTTGAATTCTTAATTGTCCCATCTGAATGACGAGAGGCTTTTTCCAAGTCATTCTCTCTCATTTACATCTCTGACAAGGGGAAACATGGTTGAAAATCCAAAAGTATTATCTTGAACTATGCTAAGATAAGATGTATTACTAAACTTACCAGTTTTTCTCGAATTCTTAAAATCAGATCTACTATTTCTACCTCTTCTTTACCCACAATCCAATCTGATAAATTCTATAATACAGATAAACAAATATACCATAACATAAATATCTAAGATGGTCTACAGATTAAACAACATGGTGTTCGTGCCACATCGAGTAGTGAATTGTGCACTTACTAATAACTAAAGTTATCTACAAAGGTCATCCTTTAGCGACATTTAGTAAACATGACGTTTCAACAATCTACATTGTCATCTTCAGGTGAAGTGACAATGTAAATTATTGAAACGTTGTGTGTAATAAAACTAAGGAGTACTATACCATAAAATTGTGTTCCGTTATTTAATCTACAAAGGTATATTTAGCTAATATAAAATAACTTACAGCACCACATAAAGCCTCCATATGTAAAGTCTGTAGTTTCTGATTGGCTTCTCGTTGTTTTTCATGGTACCAGCCTTCAAAGTTCGGACTTCGGAAAAAACGTCTGAAAAATACAGAAATAAATCATTTAAACATTTCGAGAAATATAAACCACTAAAACTAAGAAATTTATGATGTCACAAAAGCTGTTAATAATATCTAAGGGCCTTTGCGATATCTACGTCATTATATAGTTTAAGTTGAATTTGCAGGAATCACAGACATCTGGTTGAAAACTGAAATGGTGCAATTGGGTGCTTTCAATGTCCTGATTCACATATAAAATTTAGAAAACCTCTTTACAATCCCTTTAATAATTGAAGCATCAGGATCTTACGCTAACCTACCTATATAAGCCTTCCCAATCTCCTTTAGCTACAGGTGTCAACTGTGGACCACTATGTTCTATTGTTTTCAAAAATCCATCAGGATCAAATGGTCTTAATCGAGGTGGACCCTGCAAAAATCAAACATTGATTAGAGTTGTCTACCTTGAACTAATATAGGTGGAGCTAGATTTGTGAGTACTGCTTGTTGAGGATTTATGGATTCTGGTTCCAAACTGTTTGATTGGAAGCAATAGAATCTATGAATTCCAAGAGTTCTTATCATGACTGGAAGGATCAATCATATACCTCGGTAAACAACATAATAGAAGTATGAAAACTGGTGCATAAAATTCTTTAAGCCTACCTTGTGTGGAGATATATTTTTCTGTAGAGGCATCAAACTACCAATGTATCTTTCCTGTAAACAAACAAAACATTAAGTATATATTTTTTGAATACCTGATAGGGAAACTGGCAATGCAGTGGGCAATGGGGGAAATATTGTCAGGAAGGAGGCAATAGCCTATTATTTTGTGATTTCCAACTATATATAGACTCCTTAGTTAATTGTCTAAGCAACGACATGACACTTTTTCATCCCAGCCCTTCCGACTTGCAGATCGAATCCCAGTTGAAAACAATCTCGATCTTAGCAAGTAGTTAACCCTGGACCTATGGGTAAGCTTAACTGACCAAACCCTAACCGCCAGTGGGTGGTGTAGTGAAAACAGCAAGACAAAGAAACAAAATTTCTTACCAACGGAATCATAAAACTTTGAGTTAATTCTAGAAAATGGCGTCTCAATATTGCGTTCTGAGCTTCTACAGGTCTTTTGATTTGAACACCCTAAAATAATATTTAATATTCAAATTTTAAAATAACATGTCAAAAAGTTCTTTTTTTTTAAAGATCTTATTGGAAGCATGAGATGAACTCTAGTCAATTAGAAATAAAAGACTTTGTCCTTTGCAATGTTGGGCGAAAAGGAAGTCAGGAATGAACTGTATCACTTAATATCAAGGAAAACGTTAAACAAGTATACATTTACAAATGGTAAAGAATTTTTGTACGTACCTTCAGCAAGCGTTTAAGTATTGTTTTATCTTTTGATAAGTAAGATTTATACCTTGTATATACACCTGGAACAACAGTAAAATATATCATATCATCTTATGACTGTATCATATTCAGAATGGTGCAAATTCAGTATATTGGGGTGTATATGCCACAGTTCTTTTACTTTTTAATGGGGGTAGACAATGACTTCTACAGAAATTCATTTTTCTAGCATAAGCATGTGCAATATTATCTTATCAAGTCCTTTAGGAGTTACAGGAACCACAGACATCTAAGAAGAAATCAGAAAGGAGATCAGAAAGTCTCCCTGATACACATACAAAAGGGGAGTTAACCTCTTATGAAGCCAATTGATGCTTTATGTCTCTCCGATACAATGGATAGAAAAATTCTGTTGAATATTTGAAAATGTCAGAGAAGAGTCCAATATCCAGGTTAACTTACCGGGTTTGGAATCTAATGTTTTTAAACTAGCAGCTTTCTTTAATTTATTCAATGGCTTTGGTGAACTAGCTGGAAATAGAGAGAGGTAACATTCATGTATTTAAATATTGAGGTTTAGCAATAAAAAAAAAGAATTTTCTCAAGTTGCTGCTTTTAAGACAACACTTTTCATTGGCCAAAATATCTTCATGATGTCTTAAAGAATCCAATGTGTCAAGATAGTAGGCATAAGAATCAACCCGCGAAAGGCCTGGCTGTGGTATGAGAAATATTTTTCTGCCTTGATGGAAATCAAACCTATGGTCTATAATGACAATATGATTTTGATTACAGAGAGTAGTATTTGTTATACGTATAAAGCAAGCTTACCTGCCCCTGTCATTTCTCCTATTCTTATAATATGAGGCCAGTGTTGTAAAGTTTTGGCAAAAAATGGATTGGTGACACCAAGAATAATTGGTGGTCTGAAATAAACAATGATGACATATTTAATAGAATTTTATGAACCTGATTGGACAAACAATGATATCTAGAGTGCAATGACGACAATTTGCACATAAAGTAGCAAAAACCTTCCATTTTTTCACTTCCAGCTGTAAAAGGATCTTATTGAAGCACATAGGACTCCATTTAATCTCCTTGCCCATCTTCTGTTCAGAGAAAATTTATCTCTTTATTTCCAAAACTAGATGTCCTGATGAGGATCATATATCAGAAACAAGTGTCAGTAGAATAAGATTAGTTCTTGTCAATAAAGGTTGATAATCAAATCTAGAGATTACTTACGGTGCCTGAACTTTGGTGGTATATTCTTTGAACTCACTGTCATGAATTGTAAAATATGGCCGGAAATCTGAACAGTATCTAAGAGGAGCTATTAAACTGTAATGTAAAATTAAAATATCAGATTGCAAGAACATCATAGAAATATCTATGTATATTAAACTGTAATTAAAATAAAAATAACCTTTATCAGGTTACAGGAATTGAGATCAAATAAGAGTTGATGTCCTACTGCACCTGATTGGGCCAATACAGACATGCAATGCCATGCAGTGCGCAACGAGGAAAATTTTCATTTGCCTTATCAGGAGCAAGTCAATCTATGCTTCGATTGAACCCAGGACCTTCATGTTAACAAGGAAATGTACATCTCTTATTTAAGAGAAGGGGAGATAACTTACTTGACTAGAGATTGAACAGTGGTGGAGGTGACAGTCGGAGAGGCAGCCATGACAGCTATCGGCTACAAAAAGAGAAATTCAAAAGGCGTAATTAAAACAATAAGAAACGATAAATCATGAATATATATACTGTATAATAGCGAATATAACGCACACCTCTTTCAACCATTGAGTGAATATGGTCAAATCTCTATAATGCTAATCAAATGGAGATTTATGTCCTACTATTCTGCTAATTGGGCTAAGGAAAACAGGCCCTGCCATGCAAAATTCATAAAATCTTTTGCGCTGTTTGAAAAGAAACCTCACTTACCTCCCCTAGGAGAACCAGTTCCCATAGCAACTGTATATGAGGTAGAATACTTTGAAATGAACTAAAAAAAAAAGATTTTTTAATTATACATTTTATTACATTATAAGTACAAATTCAATTTTGTACCTCAATAAAGTTAAAGTAACATTTGCTAAGTTGAAAAAAATCTTGGTTGATGGGAAATGTATAATACATTGGTATCACTCTGTTAACATTCACTGTGAAATTTTTACCACTGAGAGGCCAAATTTGAGCTAGTATAGGGGTGTGGGTGAGGGGAAGGGATGTCTGGAAGGGGCAAGGAAATGGGAGGGGGTTAATATAAATTGACACACCTGTAAATATCAACTTCAAATAAAGAAGGCAGTATTGTATGTGCAGGTAACGTATGCTGAAAGGAAAATTAACCATGATTTTAACCCTCTATTCACCACTTTTAATATCTATTGTTACATAAGAAGAATATGCTAAAATTAATGCTATGCTATGCTATGCTAATTCTAAATATTTGATAAACTGAATATTAACTGAAGCATAAGCAATTAAAAAAATAATTCAAATATTTTTGAAAACGAAATCTGAAATTATAAAAATCATAATATGAAATAAGAAAACAAAAGTGACAGTATAAAAAAATGAAAATTTATAAAATTGATACTCAAAAAATTGAAATTAAATTCATTTTCTAAGAGAGAAACCAAAAACCAGGGAGAAAAAAGGACATACCGAAAATTTAGCACCATTCACAGAACTTGAGCTAGATTTATCAGTTTGTCGACAAGGAATTTTAACCTGGGCAAAAACACACAGCACAAAATAAAACAAACATAAATAAATAAAGGTAACTATAAACTAATAATATAACTTTAACTATCAAATAATTATAGTATATTTAGTATTTTATATTTCAAATAAGTATTTTATATTTCAAATAAGTTTGAATAAGCATTTTCTATTTCAAATAAGCATCTTATATTTATATTTCAAATAAGCATTTCATATTTCAAATTAGATTGAATAAGCATTTTATATTACAAATATAAAAGCATTTTATACTTAAAACAAGCATTTATATAAAGCATTTTATATATCTGTAACTTATACATAACTCAAAGCAAAGTTCAAGCAAAAATTCTAGAAAACCACAGAATGTAAACAAAAACAATGGAATGTAAACATAAAAAAACAATGAATGTAATTTTAAATGAACTTCAGAGGTGAATGGTTCAACTTTCAACACCTTATTCATACAAGTGAGCTCAAACTCAGACTTCTGACTGGCAGAATTGGAGAGCAACAATGTTTAAGACTGCTAGCAACTAGTGGCATCTGGGAGAAACTGATGTATTGTGGGATTTAGTCGATATGAGTGCAGTGCTGCAGAGACACTGAAAGAATCAATATAAAAATATGTCTACCTGCAGGACGTTACCCATTAAAGGTAAGTTGAGAGTATCACCAGGTATTGGTGGTAGCCATTGATCTATATCATGACAAGCTGAAATAAAGTTAAGAATAAGATTGACGTATCCTTTATCTTAATTTCTTTATTTGAACATGTTACCATTGATTCAGAATACCCATGGGGTTGGGTTCTCAGGGGGAGCTCAGTTCTGGGCATTATAGAGAGAAAATCCATTTCTAAACACTCAACACATTTAAGCATTCTTTTATTCAATTGTGTCATGTAGATGATGACAAATTGTTGGGAAGCAAAACCAAAGAATGTGTACTTTAGATTACATTTTCCCAAATTTTGTCATCGTTATCAAAAAAGCAGGTTCTGCATTATGAAACAGTTTGATTGGTTTAAAAATAACATCATTAGAACATGAATTAGGTAGAAAACTAGTAAGATTACAATGAAGATGAAAAAAATCAGGAGAAAAGCAACAAAATTTTAGTCTTATGTTAACTTGAGTTTTTTGAACACTAAAATGTACTAACCTGCCTCTAAACTGGGTTCCCCATTCTCAAAGAATTCAGGGGCTATAATACTGACTAGTTGATTAAATAATGCTATAAACGGTAACTTGCTTATTAACACTAGAGACTAAAATATAAACACAGACATAGACAATTAACCTTGTGCACTCTCTGAAAGTCATAACATAAGTTTAAAAATGACGACTTTCAGCCTCTTCAGTTCAGTTGTTTGCCAAGTTCAATGCCAACTGAGTCAATATCATACAATTGAAGTATTAAGCTCATTTGGTATATAAACAACTTTTCTACAGCAATTTTGAAATATCAAAGTCCAAAAAATTTCACTTACTTTTTGAAAATATCCTCTTCTGATAGATCTATCTTTAGTTTGACGGAAATATACAAAACCATAATAATACGCATTTTCACACTGAAAAATACAAGTGATTTCTGTTGGTTTTGAATTCCACTAAGCTTTTTTCCTGGAATTGCAGGAACCACATCTGATTGAAAATTGGTGCAAATAAATGCTATCAGTGTTTCCTGATACACATAAAAAGTTAAGCATACAGTTTAGAATTTTCTGTATTTCATGTTCATTCTAAGAGGTAGTAAACCTTTAACCTTACTTGTAAAGAAACAGGACATTCTCTATTATATTGGTTATGACTTCTAACTATTGGTTTCCGTCCAGGACACTGTCGTATCCGAAAATGAAACTGAGTATTTCCCATACAACCTGCAGCAAAAAATGTTTAATTAATACACCTTGTTCGAATGAATCAAAATTAGGTTTGCATAATAAATAATTTCAAAGAATTTTTAAGAAATGTTTAACTTTTACATAACATTTTTATAATTGAATTACTTTTAAAATTCGAACATTGATTTCTAAATAAAGGTCTCATGGAAAGAATTGTGTTTGCTATTACAGAGTTACCACTGGATAATTGTCACTATATGACTAGGCTGATTTAAGTCAATTAGGATACCAGAAAAAATTATCAAGGTGGAATCTCAATCTATCTAAATTTTAATTGAACATTGAAATACTGTTTTACATAACCAACCTGAATTAGAGTCTGGAAATGACAGGTAACAAATATTCATTTTCTGGAAAAAAAAAAACAAAAAAAATATTCAGTGATTATATATCTAATGCAAAAAAACTTTGAATGTTTGCTGGGGCTTTGGTTCATATAGCTGACACCAAGTGGCCTTTGGAAGCATTGGCTACTGAGCTATTCCACTTCCATAATAGTCAGTGTTCCAAGCCAGCATTAGAGGGAAATACACTGCCCTTGTGTACATGTAGTTAGACATGGATAACTGATGAGATGAAATTCTGAATTCTGTTGAAGTTTGGTTGCGGGAACAACACACTTACCTCTTTTTCTGTAAGTTTGATATGACTGGGGTACATTAACTGAAATACAAAAGAAACAGACAAACATCAAAATGGTTAAATTGTCAAAGATCTGTTAAAGGAAATGTGTAGAAATGCATTGCATTTTAAGTTTCGACACAGGAAAAAATGAAAAAGATTAATTTGAATCTTTTTCATTTTTTCCTGTATTGAAACTTAAAAGTAAAACAAGGAATTTTGCAAAGAATAAGGTTTCAATTAGGAAGTAGGTTCAAGTGGAAATATCAAAATGTCATCTTTGCTGGTCCCTTTAATTCCTTCATTTCCTGTCCATTATTTTAAAAACTTCGAAGAAACATTTTAGCATGGTGTTTGAAAGCTGTACTAATTGGTAAAATAAAAAAGTTTTGAAGCCATAACTAAACAAATTTATATCTTCAATTGTCAAACTCTGTTAATCAAACATCAGACGATCAAATTCCACACTTGACATTTGACAAGTTCACTGACTTGACATCTTTTCTATTTCTGAACTGCTATTGAAAATATAAAAAAAATCTGAGATGGAATTACCTCCATCGCCTGACCCAATTCCAAATCAAAAGTCACAACGCAGGCACAATGGAGCCAGTTTGAGAACCGATCCCATGGCAATACCGTCGGGGATATCGCCATATTTTCGTCGGGAATTTTAACAGGTGCTCGTTCACTGTTTTGGTCCACCTCCATTTTCTTGTAGACGACCTTGACCCTGCCTCGACAGGTTTGTTTTCATTGTCAAAACTTTGCTTTCCTTGGATTATTTCTGGAAATTTTGACACACAAATTATTTTAAATAAAAGAAAGTATCTAGGAATTCTAAATCATGACTTTCTAATTTAGAATTTTCGCCTTTTCGGCATCAACAACATTTTGTTTGGAGGCTATATTTCGTAAGGATTTTCAACATGGCCGTCTCTTGAAAGGAGTTCTGAAAGATGTAGGGAAGAAATGGTTTGTTTACTTTGTTTCTAACCCGTGTATGCCTCTTATCATGACCATTCCTTCTTAAGAAATTATTTTTCTTTCCTGATCACAAATTGTTTAAAATATTTATGGCGATCGGCAACCGAAATTCTCGTTTGCTAATGTCAGTCAATGTCAAATTTTATGAAGTGTGAAGAAACTATGGAATTCGAGATCCTATTTATTTTCTTCCTATTTCAAAACTTTGCTTCCTAGTGCGATATCATTTCTTGTAAATGTTGAAGGAAGTAGTTTTGATCAGAAATTTCCATTTCAATGTTTTTTTTTGTCCTAAATACAGATTCCGATAACAAAAATGGCTATTTTGATTGCAGGTGGAAGGTGAGATCAACCTGAATCCAACCATGGCAGCCTTAGCTATTTTAACTTGTCGACCAAACTCTCACCCATTCCAAGAACGTCATATATCATTAACGGAACCAATCAAAGTCGGGCGTTCTGTCGCTCGAGCACGTCCTGCTGTAAACAATGGAATATTCGATTGTAAAGTTTTGTCTAGAAATCATGCCCTTTTATGGTATGAAAACGGACAGGTAAATGGAACTCTTTTTTAATTCTCTTTTGAAACTGCCAATAAACTTAGTGGATCTCAAGTCTATTTTGATTAATAGGTTCAATAGCTTCTGTATAAATTTGTTGATAGGATTAAGAAAGTAAGAAAACAAACTTGTGGCTTGGAAAAACTAAACTACAACTTTGAATCCTGTATTGCTTGGAGCAATGCCAAATTTACAATGTCTGAGCACATTAACTATATTGTTAGGTAGTTTAAGGATTTATAAGAGATACTCTCTTATAGAAGCATTGACTCTCTTATAGAAGCACTGGCCTAGGTCTCAAGAAGTGTTTTAATTTCAAACAGACCCTAATTTTGCACAAGGATAATTTTTTATAATCAATGGTGCTTTACTGTTTTTTTTTTCAGTTTTATCTACAAGACACTAAAAGTAGTAATGGAACATTTGTAAATAATCAGAGATTATGTAAGGGAGGGGAGGAAAGCACAGCCCGAGATATATTCTCTGGGGATCTCATTCAGTTCGGGGTAGATGTCATGGAAAATAATCGCAGGGGAGACAAAAGTAAGTACCGGTATAGCTTTCTTTGTTATGCACATATAAATAAAAAAAGAGGGGATGAAAATAGACATTGCAAACATGAAATTGAAAAGTGTTGAAAATTAGAGTGATGTTTATCAGATATAAGGCTAAGGCTTCTTGCTGTACCTAACTTTATTGTCATATACTTTGCTGTGTAAAGTAGGAATTAAATATTGTTTAAACCAAAACTAAAAAGCACTAAGCTTATGCATTGAAAATGAATGTTGTTCAAAGTATAGTGAAATACAGTAACCAAAAAAAAAACCTCAAAGACCTATGACTGTCTGGGTGTTAAGACCAATTAACAATTGTTCAATAAAATCAGATCAGGATTAAATGATTTAATGAGATTAAGGTTACAAGATGTGATCCTGTGGGTTGAGGGCAAACACCTAATTTGTTTAGCCATTGTGACTCCAAATCTATCAAAGGATTTGAGGGAAAACACCTAACTTGTTTAGCAATTGTATTAAAAAGGTTTAGGGCAAATACCCAAATAGTTGAGTCATTATAACACTTGGTGTAGAAAGTGTTGAGCCTTTGTTCTCTTAAGGTGATGAAAATTAGTAAACCATTTGAAAATAAAAAAGCCAAGGCTTCAAGCGTATTAATAGGGTATTTTCTCATTGATAAGTATTGTTACTCTGTAAACTATATCTAAGATAATGTCTAAGATGGGTGTTGGGAAATCTTATTAGTTATTTTTATTGTATGATTAATTAACCAATCATGAATATAAGGCTGCTAAGTAATCTACATCCCTGATATAAAATATTTCTGTTTTTTATTTCAGTAACTCATGGTTGTATAATATCCACTATCACACTCTATCATCCAGACGGGAGAGAAGCCAAACCGACGTAAGTTATTTTAATTTGATTTCTTATCTTATTACTCATTTAGTTCAATAGGTACGGTACTATATTTTGTCTGGATTTTTGAATTTTTCTATTTATTGTTTATATTACCTTGATAAAATATAATCCATTCACTTTTCGTTTTAAAAACTCTAGAATCTAATTAAATTAGGCTAATACATAAGCTTACACTTAAAATGATCTCATATTAAAATACTATAGCTCTCTCAGTTTTTGAAGAATTTTCATATGGAATGTAAGTAAATGACGAAAAAATGAAAATCAAGTAAACAAGTTTATTATACCAATAACCACTAGCGGTAGTGGGCGTATTAGGACCAGAACCAGTATCTTTAATTACCATAGTTTACTGCCAATTAATAGAAATATTAGTCATATCACCTTATCTCAAGACCTGTGCCAAATTTAGAAAGAACACACCATAATCTTGAATACAGATGTAAGATGTAAAATTATACTTAAAAATTTACTAATTGCTTTTTTATTGAAATAATTAGACTAAAAATAAATCTATAATTTTGACATGATATAACTGATACTAGTTATTAGACCAAAAATATCACAAAATAGCACAAAAATATCACAAAAAAATCACTAAATAGTTATTAGACTAAAAATATCACAAAATAGTTCTTAAACCAAAAAAACCCCGATAATAACAAGGTTTTTCACTCTAAGATTAGTGCTCAATGCACAGAACATTATAGATATTTAAAACAGAACCTGAAACATGTTATTCTAGAGGTTCACACAAAGTGAGTTTCATGCTGTACAATCTTCAGTGTTTTGTGCTTTGCAATCATCAGACGCGATAGCATAGCATGAAATTTTGAGTAAATAGCAAATTTCAGGTTCTGTTTTGATATTTTGAAGACCAAAATGGAATATCTAGGACTACTGTATTAGTACTGGTAGTCTTTTTGTCAATAAATCAAATTTTACTTAGTCATTTGGATGGGACAATAAACTGAGGCCTCGTGTCCTATATGCTGTGCACGTTAAAGATCCCTCGACAATTGGAAATGGAAAAAAAGCAGGCTAATGCCAATGTCCTGGCAAAATTTCCCTTATTGCAACCTGCATGGTGTTGCCTGTCATCATTAGCCCAGATGGTGCAGAAAAGTAGGACTTAAAACTCCATTCATTTCATTTTTTCAAATTTTACTGCATTTTGTCACCTGAAAAGAAATATCAGCTATATATAAATAAGTAAAATAATGATTATTAGTCATGACTGGGTCACTGTGTTTCTATATTCCATACTATTATTATTTAATAGTCACTTTATTATATCATTATAGTATTATTCAAATTAGGTCGCTGTGGTTTTTGTCGTCTGCTAGGTTTTCTTTTGCTGTCAAACAAGTTTCAATTCTGTTAGAATGGCACCGCAAGAAAAGGGGAAGGGGGTAATGTTTTGTTTTGAGAGTAATATGGTGTCTGCAAGGACGTCAGTTTGTATTGTTTTAAATGAGTTGTTATGTAAATTTCTGGTTGGGATCATCAAGTGAAGAAGGGGGTGGGGACAGTGAAAGCTACTAGGATATCTAATGTTTCTAATGAGTTGCAAAGCAGTCTGTTGAAGGGGGGTCGAGATCAGGGATAATAACAATCAACTTTGCCCTGCAATCTTAACCCTTTGAACTCTGAATGTAAATGAAATATAACATCATATACCCTGAACTCCAAGTAATAAAAGTAAAAGTGTATGACGTTAACTCTGTATGACGTTAACGCTGTATGACGTCACTTAGTAACAACTGGTATACCAGCTGCTCGGGTATATATTGCGTTAGTGTGCGGTAAGCTGGTCGCTTGGGTTGAAAGGGTTAAAGATCCCAATTATTTCATTATCAAAATTAGAATGAGCTCATTTCTGTCAGGAAAATTTCCTTCATTGCATACTGCATTAGAATTCATGAGCTCAGCTAGTGCATAAATTAGAATGTAAAACTCCACTTTAATTCTGATAGTCTGGCAAAAACAGTCAGACAACAACCTCTGTTGATATTAACATTACCTAAACTTTTTGTACTGTTGAAAGGCTATGTAAATTATCGGTGCCCTTTACATGTAATAGTTAAATTGGTCTGATTTTGGTGGTAGATTGTGATATGAATATTTATTATATACTATATATAATATACAATTGTTGGTAGAATGGAATGTAATATAGAATTATTAGAATATTATTGGAATTTGTGGTTGTGGAAATTTTGTCATGCGTTTGCTTCATTGCATATTGCTGCTTGCTTCAAATATGTGAAAAATTGATCTGATTTGCTGGTAGATTGTGATATGAATATTCATTATTTTTAATTTACATACATTATTGAGAGAATGGAATATCATTAGAATTATAAGAATATTATTTGTGATTGTATAAATTGTGTCATGGCTTTGCAACGTTGGATCTTTTGCTGAATTTGAAATGTTTGACTCATCGAAGTATTTTTAAAGGAATTATGTGATTTTTGTACATTTTTAGTACTTCTGAAGACTATTTACCTATATTCATGACTAAAATCAACCCCACAAAATGGCATCTCTCTCTTTAAAATATGTCGAACTTGTTGATATTTATTTTGTTTCACATGGTTGGATAGTGAATTTTGAATTTTATAGTGGATGAAATTCTTATTAGATGTTAAACTTCAACTGAGAATATTATATTTTGTAGTGTTGATTTATCAATATTTATTCTGTTTCAAACTAAGTTAAAATGTGTTGGAATAGGTGTATCATTTCCCATCATTTCTGATTCAAATTGGATGTTCATTCGTTGGATTTAATGATTTTGTTTTATTCTCACTGTTGGATATGTGATTTTAAATGCATCAAATTTTGATTTTGAAAACAGTCTAAAGACCCTTCCATTATTGTGGAATCTTTCTATTATTTTAAGGGGTCATAAAGAGGTATTTAGGGCATGTATCCGTCTATTTGCATCATTCAAAAGTTTCCATCAGATATCTGTGGTTCTGTAATTATTAAGTGCTGTATATATGATATCACTATTGCTAAAGCTGGTAAAGAGCCTTGTAATAGCTATGTCATAAAATGCTTAGTTTTTCATAGAACTGTAAGACTCAAAGACATCTGATTGTAAATTGGAATGATGCAAATTGATGCTATGGGTGTCCTCAATACAAATAAAATCTCTTTATTTTCCCTTTAATGATAATTTGGGTGTATAACATTGTGCCATCAAGATGGCTACACACTGGAAAAGTTTTAAAACAATAATAATTCTGAATGAAAGTAGTGAACTATGTGATTATGTGGATTAAGAGATAATATAACAGAATGGGGTGTCTATTTACCAAAGTCTGCCATGAGTGGCCAGATGAAAGGTAATAGTTTGAAATAAAAATCTGAATAAACAACACAGCGGAAAAATTACATATTTTTACTATTTCTACCATGTTATTTCTTTGATTAGGAGCATGATTTAAAAAAAACAATACACAGACAAACGTAGAGGGTTTCAAAACTTTCTTCGTACGAATTTCATTGATATTGATGAGATTGTAAAGAGAAAGTGACCATTTTGCAAGGGTAGTTCATTCCCATAATGCACCATTCGAAAACTTGTCCGAAATCTAACTAGTCCTCCCTCAAAACCTGTCAAATTGAGCTCCTAACCTGAGGAGATAAAAATGTAAGAACATTGGTGTATGCTATTATATTTTTGATAGTCTTAAATTATAAATAATTGGCATTAGAAATATTTTTTTAGTCATAAAAATACATACGAGCAAGACAATTCCGTTAATCAAAATCTCGTCCAAAGTATGGCAAAATCGTGAGTAAAAGTTGTATAGCAGTGGACTCCTCCAAAGAGAAGTACCATCAGATGTTTTTGAAAACTATTTTAACAGAGTTTATATTATATTATTATAGTTTACTATATAGTATATTCAGGAAGTGAGATTTAGAACCGGTTTACTTATCTTGTTCTACTATCAGTAATAATATATTTATATTATAGTTTAAAAAACAGGTGTAAGTTTACCCTGTTTTAATCGTTTATATTACTAACTCCAGTCAGTTAGTCTTTAGTGAGTGATACAGACCAGACCAGGCAAAGCTGGCAGTATCTTATGTTGAAATTCCTTGAGGGAAGTGTGTTTTTATTCAACTTTTCAAAATTTATATGTTATAAATGCAAAGTCATTCTATAGTCAGATGTTGGGTTTAGAAAATTCTTATGCTGTTGGCTGAAGTTTTGGATGTACAATCTTCAGCAGGATTACTGGTTTTGCTAAAGGCTACATTCTGATCTTTGGACTAGCGACATACTCATCTTGTGTTGTTGACAGTGTTTCAGATATACAACCCTCCTCAGGGCGGCTAGTTTAGATATAATATTAGTTAAAAGTAAAAGACTAATTCGATGTACTTATAGTAGAGTGCAGAGATAATGTGGTGTATATAGAATATGATAAGAGATATTCTCTTACAGAAGCACTGGCCTAGGTCATGTGTCAAATACAAAAAATTTCTGAATGTTTCTTAACTGATAATAATATAAGAATGAGATAAGGTGTAAGTTGTGTAATTTTTGGGTGTATTGTATTTAAACAATGACTGTATGTACATAATAGTAGTGGGCTGTATCAACTGTTTTAACTGAAAAGTTGAATTTTTGGAGCATATTTATATAAAGTCACTGTTTGTCAAGGTAGAGAATGTCAATTTTAAAGTGTTTGGATTTATAATTTTTGGAGTTAGTTTTTTTGTGAAATTTTTTGACTTTCATTACATTTTAGCCCTCTTTCTCAAAAATCTTTTGATCAAATTTGGTGCAAATTGAAAATATTTTTCTGTTGTTGAGTTTGACATTTTGGACAAATTATACTTTATATATTTCTTTATCAAATCTATCATTGCATAAGTTAAATAAATATGTGAATAATTATGCGAAATAGAACAGTTGTATAAAGTTATGATTGATAGGGGTGCATAAAGCCTAGGGCAGGTTTTACTAGTTTAGGTGATCAAATATATATTTAGATATGTTTATTACTTGTCTTACAAGTAGACGATATTATTTGTGTCCCAGTTAATTTTATTAATTGTTTAGTAGTCATGTTTCGTTAGTGAGGTAATTGTAAAGGGCAAAAGTGGACAAAAATTGTTTATTTTTGTTGAAAATTTGGTGTAGTGACCAAAATCGCAACAAGGGAACAGAAAAGGATTTCCAATTGCAAACCCATAACCAAATTAGTTTAGATCTGGAATTGTCGATTTGACAAACGAATAACAATATTAACAATCTCTCGTAAATGTTTTGACCTTGACAAAATCAAAACTGAATATTCGATATCTGGGCGCTTTGACAGGCCAAAACTCTCTGAAAGGGAAGCAGAGTAAATTCCATATAAATCCTTAATGCTTACTATCAAACAAAGGTTGTACTATTGAAAATAATTATGTTTTGTATAATTTCAGTCCATTTCTGAACACACCTAATCTACCAGGTATCACAATACAATCACAAGATCTTTATCAACTAGCTCAATATCTACAGGTAAATATTCTCTTCTTCCCTCTCCTGTTCAGTGAGTCCTATTCTTGGAAATCATGTTGAGTTTGAACTAGACAAAAAGTGAATCATGTTCAGATCTTAATCAGACCTATACTGAGTGTATTCACTTCTTCTATTGTCTACTGTATCTATGATTCTGAACAGTTTACAGCAAGCAACCCAGCGCTCAACCAACACTGTCTCTTGTAATAATATTCTAGTGCACATAAAACCACAACAGTGTCCCTGTTACACCTACTTGGCTAGAAAATCTTTATTTCGCTCCTTTAAGTGAACGGTGATGTCAATTATGATATATTATTTTGTGTGTTGCAGGAAGCGTTACACAGAGAGAAGATGTTGGAACAGAAATTACTCACGTTGCAACAGTTAGTCCATAATACACAGGAGGCCTCCGAGAGTGGCTGGCAGGTACGGAATGACATGTTATTAATCCAGATGAAATGTGACTATCTGTTGTTTTGGACTATATTCTGAATGTAGCAGTATTGGTGTTAAAACCAGCTGAGAAAGATAACCTCTTAGAATTAGTAGTGTCTGCATTGATACCATTATTAAGATATTACACAGCTGTGAACCTTTCTCTTATTATATTCTTTTATTCCTATGATGATCTATATGTTTCTCATCTATCTACAGGCATTAATAGATGAAGATAAATTGTTATCGAGATTAGAAGTTTTAGAAAATCAACTACATATTTATTCTAAGGTAAGATTTGTAGTATCAATCCAAACTCAAGAGGGTCTATCAGAATAATCAACCTCCTGTGTGTGTCTATTTCAAAAATTTGAATCGAAAAGCATTGAAATGACTATTTTATAGATGTTCTTGTATTTTGTTCATTGGTGAATGTTGAAGTTCATATTTTTCTTATATTTTTCTAGAACCACAGTGAAGACACAGTAAGACAAGAATGTGTTACTCTCCAAGAAGAAAAACTACAATATGAAACAACAGCTAAGGTAAGTTCTGTTTATAATTCCAGAAAGAGAGAAAGATAAAACATCCAAATTTACAAGGTTTACATACTTGTCTACTATGATACCAATTCTGGGATAATCTATATCCATTAACAGCTAATTCGAGGTCAACAAGAATAATGAAGAATGAAAACATTTTTTTTTAGGAATCTTTAAGAAGAGTTTTACAGGAGAAACTAGATGCTGTGACTAAGCTCTCAGATTTGGAGGTAAATAAGATATATAGATTCAATACCAATCATTGATTTTGAGTCGGTTTTCATCCCAAAATACCATATTTGGTAAAGTTTTAATGCTCTGTTTTGTTATTGTAGCGTTCACATTATTTTATTGTAGCGTTCACATATATAGTAGCGTTCGTATTCTTTTTTTCTAGCGTTCATTAAGTAATTCTGAAGAAGAGTGTGGTCATGTGAAAGAAATGTGTGAGCATGCCCAGAATGAACTCCATCAGCTGGCTGAGAAATACCAGGAACAATTGGCGGCAGAGAAAGAACTCAAAGATAAACTTCAGGTATATTTCTTTGCTAATTCTCGTGGGAACTTGGAACTAACCGAGACCATGATTGTATCCATAAGGGTACTGAAATTGGCCTCTTAATAAACCAAGGCCCCCTGTGCTACAGGCTGTGCATGTTACGGATCCCTTGACAGTTGGAAATTTAAAAAGAGTGGGCTATTGCAGCTGTCCTGACAAAATTTCCATAATTGCATACTGCTTTGCTTTAAATTTGGTTCAGAACAGAAGAATACTCCGTTTCATTTCATTAGCTCCATAAGAAAAAGAGAGCTATTAGAATTTGGAAATCAAAGAAATTGTTACTATTTATAGGAAGCTGAACAGAAATTAACAGAAGAAACAGATAAAGCTGAACAAGAGAAACATGAATTAACAGAAAAACTGGAACAAATGTTACAGCAGGAACAGTCTTTATCAACCAAGGTAAAGCCTGGCTCTTTGACAAGTTTGTAATTTGACTCAAATGACAAAAAGTGAGGTCTTTGTCTTCAGGCTACTGTGAGTTTGCCATCTGTTCGTATCAGTAATAGCATTCACAGTTTACCGTCGAAATTTGAGCTTTCTAATCCATGTGTGTCCAGAATTATCCATGTTTATATATATCACTGTACAATTTCAGATGGAGTCCCTACAAGCTGATAATGATTTCTCTAAGGAACAGTTGGCGGCCATGAAAGGTAAAAAATACAATTTTGAAATAATTTCTAAAGCATAATTTTCACCATGACATTTTCTGTCTGTAAAATATTACAATTTCGGTAAAGTAAAATATGTTTACAATGAAATTTACAAATAGGTGAAATATGTTAGCTATGAAATTTACAAATAGATGAAATATGTTAGCTATGAAATTTACAAATAGATGAAATATGTTAGCTATGAAATTTACAAATAGGTGAAATATGTTAGCTATGAAATTTACAAATAGGTGAAATATGTTAGCTATGAAATTTACAAATAGATGAAATATGTTAGCTATGAAATTTACAAATAGGTGAAATATGTTAGCTATGAAATTTACAAATAGGTGAAATATGTTAGCTATGAAATTTACAAATAGGTGAAATATGTTAGCTATGAAATTTTTCAAAATAGATATTTTTCTAATGATTCTGAAATATGTTTACTATGAAGGTTACTGAAGTGAAATATGTTTTGTTTGTAGCTAAATTAGAGTCTATTAAAGAATTAAATGATGATGATAAAATCAGTCTCAATGATACAGAAGGTATGCGTGGTTTTTTTATCCAATATCTGTGATAACTGTAATTCTTAATCATCAACAGATGTCTTTGTCATTTGAGCTGCCATATTGGAAATGTCTGGCAAAATGAGTCAAATCAACAATCCTCATTATAATGACCTTATATAGATAATGCACATTTTGATTCAGGTGACAAATGGGTAATATGTCTAGTTGGTATTTCATTATAAATTTATGAAAAATATATCTTTGGTTTTTTTTAGTATCGTGCCCTGATATTATTCCATTAAATTCTAAAGAAATACTGGAACCATCATCATCATCATTAGAAGGTAGGTCATGCTACTATTCAAGCATGTGCAGAAGGCAGGGCTTAATGTGTCAATCAAAATGCTGACTCCACCCTTTCACTTCATTTTCCGTTCACATTTCTTTAGTAAAAAATAGAGAAAAGAGCAGGATAATAATAAAATGAATTCATCTTTGAAATATTTCAGAGAAATTAAAAGAAACTCAGCAACAAATAGAGAAATATAAGGCTCAGATTACTGAGTCTGATATAAAACTGAATGAAAAAACAGACAAGGTGGAAGAACTTCAAAGTAAGTTGATTTTCTATATCAGAACCTGATCCTCGTCATCAACAATTTGGGTATATGATAATCTTCTTGAGGGGTTAACAACTTTGAACATAGTAAACGCCAATGATAATAATTATGCAGCTGGGTTGGAACACTGGTTGTTGAATAGCTCGGTCTGTAGAGCAAATAGATTGTCGTCTGCTAAGAAACGAAGTGTCGTTGGCTCTAATCCCTATATTTTTGGCTTTATATATAACAAAGCATGCTTACTGTTATTGTTGTTGATATTTTAGGAGAATTGGAGCAGACACAACTTGATAATAAGCAATACATCGCCAAGATTTCCGCTCTTGAAGGTAGGGTGGCCATTTTGATTTTTATACAGTATATTTCAGTCTTCAATTCTCTCCATTTTGAAGTTTGCGATGTTGAAATTTGACCAGCTTAGAAAAATTAACAAGAAAAATATTAATTGAAATTTAATTATGTTTACCTTAATTGATTATTTGTAATTTTTTCCAATTTCTGATCTCATTTGGAATTTTATTTGAATTTTTTTTGGTGCTTTTGAATATAGTTTTTAGAGTTCTTTGCCATTTTCAATTCTTACACAAAATTGAGTTATTGAAAATTGAAATATCATTCTTTGTTTCTAAGTCTGTATGAATGTTTTCAAATAAAATTATTTTTTATTTTGAAAGATGAAGATGAAAATTTAACAAATGAATATTAATTAAAAAAGTCGTTAATGATTAAAGTAATTAGTGGAAAAGTTGTAATGAAATTTTTGAATATGTGCTGTTTCTCTTTGTCATGTTTTGTCTTGCTTGCCTCTTGTTTTTATTTGCACTGTTATTTTCACTGTTTATATTTCATTTTTCTGCCATTTAAATCCAATGGAAATATCGAAAGAAAATTCAATAATTATTATATCATTCCCTGATGATTTTCTTAATATTTACTCAAATTGAAGATTTATAATTAATGAAAAAACACATTTTTGAGTTTCAAGCATATTTGATCTGTCAAAAATACGCAATAAATATTTTATTATGGACGTTTTGAAATAGCCTCAAGGTGGCAGCACATGATAATCACACATAATAAAAAATATAAGAATGACTGAAAAAAAATATTGGTTTTAGATGGCAGTTTAGTTCTTAATTCATTTTCCTTGAGTTAATCCTTGTTTTATTGCTCCGATTTTAATTTTTTGGTCTTTTGTCTAATGAAATCATGAGTGTTTTGATTTTTTTCATCACACAGAAAAATATTCCGTGTCCGATTTACACATGAACCAAATGATGGAAAACGCCTTGGCCGATTTGAAACGTAAGTCACTTTGACAGCAGTCTGAATTGAAATTTGGCTTTTGGTATTTCGTTTTGTTCATTTCTGTGGACTGCTTCAGTCATTCTGGTGACATTTACACGAAAGGTGCCAATTCAGTTATCAAATATATCTGTTTTACACTGGATATTTTGGTAGTCGTAGGTCTAACTACATTTATAAGAAAATTGTATTCCCAAATTTAACCAATCAAAGACTGAGCATTGATTTTGCACACTGACTTTTTACTCACTGTACATGTTGAAGAAGAGCTTGTTCACAATGTAATTAATTCTTTTGGGTCCCACTGATAACTTGACTCTCTCTTAATCTGAGAACATGTAAAAGAATGGCGTGTTCATCAAAACAACCTATGAAATTCTCTGCTTAGAAAGAGCTTAAAGGAGGATGTTGTCAGAATAAGTGATGTAACCCACAGAAAAAAAAAAACTAAATATCTAAGCATTATTTTAATCAGATTGTGTCAACACTATATTTTGTTCCCTCCAAGACTGAAAATAATGTGTTTGTCAATTTGACACCCCTTTATCTTTAAATGAACTCTTTCAAACATGCATGAGTATGATACAGTGTAATGTATGTGAGGAAGAGTCCATAAAAAAAAACAGGGGTGATTCATATAAACTGCCAAATTATTTTCAGTCTCGGCACTCCCTTTCATTTTTCATTTGATTTAAGTTGGAATGAGAATTTTATGGCTTTTGTCCTGTAACATGTTGTGTTTTTGGCTGGTTGTAAGAGTCAGCTTTTTGTCCTGAAATTGTCCCAAAAAACATTGCACTGAAATCAGAATATTTATCTTAGAAAATGCGTCACCATTGCAAATTTGATTATTAAGAATCGTAATATTTTTGGGATTTGAATTTTTTTTTGAAATATTCTAAAATTTCTTGCGTCCACAAATCATTTCCATTTTTGAAACGGACAGATTAATCTCATGAATTTCATTATGTTTGTGGGGAAAAGGGTTAACAGAAATGCATCGTGAAATGGTCTTCTTTGGATTGGGTCACAGCTCTTTAAATTATGCACAAGAAATGTTTGAAAATCTTGCACTATTGCATTAACCTTTGCACTGAATTCTTGTTCCTCCAGGAAGATTCTTCCTTTGCACCCTTTCATGGAACTTGAACTTTTAGATCCCAGGATGTGCAAGGGAGCTTATTGCCCAAAACAGTAATATCAGTAAAATTGCCCAGAAAAGGGTCATGTTAAGGAGCCAGTTAGCAAAGCAAAACCATCCCCAGGAATGAATTGGTGCTGGGGCTCAGATTTTGTAATCAGAAAATTTGAAGAGTTAAAGGCCCAGAGAACTCATTTCTGACAATTTTGAGTTGCCAAAAACATATCTAAATCTATATCTTTTTGATACGAAAGACACTGTAAATGAATCAATCTCTGCTAAACTGATGAAGGTTTTGCTGGGGCATAATACTCACTTGCTCCAGCCCCTATGGACACCACCCTAACTACAGTGCTTTTAGAAAAACCTCGTAAAGAATTATTGCCCAAGAAAGAAAACTATTTCTTCTTTTGATCAAGGGTGACACATGTAGCAAAGCCAATGAGGGATGATGTTCCCAATTTCAAACACATAGTCAGGACATGATGTACTTTGTGCCAGTTTTTGCCTCATATTCCCAATATTTATGTATTTTATTTTCAGTTCAATTAAATGAATCTCGTAAACAGTGTGATAGCAGTAATAATCTAATCATATCATTACAAGGTAAATATACTTGGTTTTCATGTCTGACAGTTATTAGAAGGATACTCAAAGTTTAACCCTTTGAATACTGAGTGTATATGAAATGTAAGGTCATATATCATGAATACAATTAATATAAATTATATTATATGTGATGTCACTGGACATGTATTCAAGACTAAAATCAACCCTCTAAAATGTCTCTAATAATGGATTTTGTTTACGTCAAGATAATTTTGGATTTCATTGGGTGATCATATTAATATTAGATTTAAACCAGGAAATTTTGGACAAAATAGAGCCAGATGGTAGACACATGCCTTTAGTTCCTCAACAAACAGAAAGTTCATTAAGATTTATTGCCCCGTTTCATGCATTTGCAAAATTTTGAATTTCAGAACAAATCAAGAGTCTAGAAGATGAATTATCGACGTATAGAATACCTCAACACGAAGAAGAAAGATTAACCCAGACGTTAGTTAGGAGTTCAAATCGTGATTATTCTACCATCCCTACTGTTAACACTGCAATAAATACCTCAATTTCGTCAGTTACTACTGATCTCTTGGATGAACAGAGTTTTAAAGGTAAGGGTCAAATGTCAAGGTCA